TAATAATCCCCTGATAAACTATAAAATCCTATATACTTTAATATTTGCAATCAAGCCCATGTGTCAAACCTGATCAAAATAACAGTGTTTGTTCTCGCTCTATTGCTATACAAAAGCTGTATTATATTTCAATGAGAGGATACACTGGCGAATGCCTAGACAACAAACCTGGCTGATGCTAATAAAAAATCCGCATGATCTTCACGATGTTTATGTAAATGTTGATGTGAATCACACGTTTTAAAGCTTCACCAACTGTGAATTGTGGTGATATGAACCTATACCAACGTAACAAATGTTTATCTCTCTGGAGTTACCAGGTTTGGTAACAATGTGTGAATTACAATTTGTTGCCCTAGCAACTTTATTAAGGCGATCATGAATTCTTAAAATAGTGTCGAATTCAGCTCGAGTTGGAAATGGTCCAGCGAAGGGCAGCGCGCTATGTGCTCCATAAGCACAGTTACAACCATCGTACCCTCCAGTGTGTCAGAAATGTTTGATCACCTAAAGCAGCGCCCTCTAGCAGATAGACGTTGAGATGCTCGTCTGACCATGCTTCATTACATTGTAAACCAGAAAGTCGCTATCGTAAAATCAGACAGATTAATCCCTACAGTTAGAAAATCCCGAACAAACCACCTGTTTTCGTATCAAATTCCCCACTCAAAAACCCAGACCAGAAAGGCATCACTCTTCCCTCGAACTATACCCGAGTGGAATAAACTCCCACCTGACATTAGTTCGAGCCCCACAACGGAATTGTTCAAATCAGCCCTCTACCCTCACTTTCCAAACGCAAATTAGACCATCTCGTATCTTTTAAAAATAATCTCATTCCATGTTTTACTCCTCGTCTGACATTTTATCTTCAAATTGTTGAAGTTGGTCAGTACCATTTAGAAGTAGAAGTAGAAGTGTGTTAAGCCACAACTGCGTTAGATAGGTTTGATGAAGTAAAAACTTGAAAAAACAGCAAAGACCACGGGCGGGTCTTTTGATAGATATTTCGGAGCATGTAACTGAGTTTGTAAGTGAATGGAGCTTGTTGGATCTATTCTTATGGGATTGTTTAAAGCTTTATGTACCCCTGAAAGTTCGAGGAAAGCATAGGCCCGCAGTGGCCAAAAACATGTAGTACGCCCGGGGCGACTGAGAACAAGTTTACATTTAGTCTTTATTTTTACAAACATTCTTTAATTTTGCATTACTTGTTTCAACAAGGAAAAGTATTGCAAGGCAATCCATAGTCCCCCACCGGCAATGATTTCTAAATTTAACAAACAGTACACTTATATCAAAAAAATTCAAAAGTAAAGGTCAAAGGTCAAGTCATACATATACATTTTATTTAGAGTCGGTGGGTATATAACAAAATAGCATAAGCTTTTGACCGACATATACATATACACATACAGATACATGGTACATAAAATGCAATACATTAAGACATCAATTACTAATATCACACACATCTTGTTCATATATTACTTTGATAATAGGTATAGTGTTTCACAACACTCAAAGTCCATATACCATATATCAATAAATTGAATTAAATTAAATTAAAACAAGGCTTGAAATTTAAAGTTTTCAATGGAGACACTGTAGGCTGGATAAAGAGAAGATGAGGTTAGAGTAAGGTGAAATATTTATTATTTGCAGGCTGCACATTTACATTTGGTTCCATTCCAGGAGGATATTGAACGATTTAAAATGGCCGTAATTTGTTGTGGTCCTAAAGTTTTCAGGAAGAATATTCCAAAGACAGGCTGCTGCATATTTGAAGGATTTTATACCGTATGTAGTAGTCTTAACATGTGGGATGTCCAAAATGTTTGTATATCTGAAGCTGTAATTTTGAGACTTGGGTGTGACAATGTTGTGGAGACATGACGGTGTGGTTTGGTGTATGCTTTTGTAGGTTTCTATAGCCATTTGCCTCATTCTTCTAATTTTCAAAGTAGGTATCTTTGCCCGGGCCAAAAGTTCACCGTAGTTGCTTGAGAAGTCATCATAAATAAATCTGAGTGCCCTATACTGAATTTTCTCAATTCTTTTAACATTTGTTTCCGAACAGTAGTGCCAGGAGAGTGGGCAAAAACTAAAGTGTGATAGTATGAAGGTGTGGAAAATTGTGAGTTTATTTAGTCTGCTCAGGTGTTTTCTAATTCTATAGAGTACATTTAGTTGTTGTGAGGCTTTTCTACATATGGTTTTGATGTGGAGATCGAAAGAGAGCTTAAAGTCAATGTCAACACCTAGTAGTTTTACACTTTCTTCACATGGGATCGAAATATCATCTATTTGAAAAGAAATGTTTTGTGACCAGGTCTTTTTACCTATTGCAAGTGCTTGGAATTTGTCAGGATTTGCTTTCATTTTATTTATATCGAACCAGTGTATGAGATTTTTGGTGTCTTCTTCGAGTGCGGATGTCAGTTTTTCTAAGTTTGTAGATGAGTGTGATAGGGTATTATCATCAGCATGGTTGTATAGTTGACAGTGTTTTACAGCGAGGAAGATGTCATTAACAAATACGTTAAAAAGAAGTGGGCCTAAGATTGAGCCTTGGGGTACCCCTTTTTTGATATTACTCCAGCTGCTAAAAGTGTCTTAAATCTTAATTCTTTGTGTTCTGTTGGTAAGATAATTTTCTACTAGGTTTAATGAATGTTCCGAAACTCCATAGGCTGCTAATTTGGCAAGAAGAATTTCATGTGGGAGACAATCAAATGCTTTAGATAGATCCATCAGAATAGCAGCTACATATTTGTTATCATCCAATTTTTGTTTCCAGTCTTCAATAATTCTTCAAAGTACGGTTTGGCATCCATATCCTTTCCTAAAAGCACAGAGAAAGTTGTCAAAAATATGGTCGAAAAATTTGCTGAGTTGGTCAAAAAGTGTTCGTTCATAGATCTTGGATATGGATGGTAGTATGCTGACTGGGCGATAGTAAATGGGTTGGACTTGGGTACGCTTTAAATTGGCGGGGAAAATTCCAGAAGTTATGGTTGTGTTGATGAGTTTGGTTATATGAGGGGTAAGGGAGTGTTGTCCTGCTCTGATGAGTTTTGCGCTGATGTGATCTACCCCGGGAGCCTTTTTAATGTTTAATTGTGAAACTATTTTTGTTATATTCTCTTCCTGAATCGTGGTGAAATTAAATTGCAAATTGTGGTCTGAGTTTTCTTTGATTTTGTTAATGCTCTCGTGTGTGTCTGGGTTAAAATCAATGTGTTCTCCTATTTCATTAGCGACATTTACAAAAAAAGTTGTTAAAAGTTTGGCATACCTCAGTTTTGTCAGAAATAATTTATAATTTTGTCATCTTGCAATAAAACTATGTTAGATTGGTGTTTGTTTTTGTTCGAAAGGAATGGTTTGATTGTAGGCCAGAAATCATTTTTCTTAGCTCCACCAGTACATCTTTCCATGAAATAACTGTTTATGGAGGATTTCTTTTGTTTGTTGACATGGTTTCTTTGAATCCTGTATTTTCCCCATGTATTGTTGTTTCGGGTTATAGTATATTTGTTATATAGCATGTGTTTTCTGTGTATAGCTTTCCGTAGGTTTTGATTCATGCAGGGGAAGTTTATCTTGCGATTTGATTGGGTTTTCATTGGTGCATGCTTGTTTATAGTGTTGGTTACTGAATTTTCGAAATTTTCATACATTTCATTTACAGATTCGGATGATAATTTTGACTGTTCAGTGGTGGTAGGCAGAGGTGAAGTTTCCATGTCTTTATTGAAATTTTCTATGTTAAAATGTATGAAGCTTCTGTATGTCATTTTAGTTTGATGTGTAGTCTGCAAGCTACCTTTTATTGATGTTGCTATTATATTGTGCCAGTTCTTGCACTCTGCCATCCCAAGATGTCATTGTACACCGAATCGGGTTACTCCAGGTGAAATAGTATAGAAGTTATTCCCTGGACAAACATTTTCAAAAGTAAAGGTCAAAGGACAAGTCATAGGTCACAGTGACCAAATTCTTGACCTCTGCTCTCCGTCATCCCAAGATGTACTTGGACATCAAATCTGGTTACTCCAGGTGAAATAGTACAGAAAATATGTCCCGTACACGTTTTTTTTCAAAAGTTAAGGCAAAGGTCAAAGCATAGGTCATTGTGACGTCATAGCGACCTGATTCTTGCACTCTGCACTCCGCCACCCCAAGATGTCCCTGTAAAGTTTATGTAAACCAAATCTGGTAACTCCAGGTTAAATAGTAAAAAATATGTCCCGGGCAAACTTCTCGGACGGCCGGACGGCCGGACGGACCCCCCGGGAACCGGTGGGGGACTAATAAGAAAGCACACACGAAAATAAATGATTTCCTTAGTCCAGTAATGCTCTCCTAAGACACATGTTAGGTGAAAGGATTGTCGTCAGCTCAAGAAAGTTCTTGAAAGTGGGACCCGTTTTTGTTTTGTTTGTTTTTATATTTCGAAACCATTATACTGATTATCAGGTGTGTGTTTTTCTGTTGATTAGGTGTTATGGCCGCTTGCCTTTTTTTTATACATATATTTATGATTTTATGCTTTTAGTTAGTTTCTGGTATTCTATGTAAGCGCTCAACAATTAGTTGATTTCTGAATCCTCGCTGTATATAAGCATGTATTAAGTCAGCGATCTTCAGATAAAAGGAAGTTGATATATGGTAAAGTCTTCCCTAGACAACCTATACCTATTGTACACCTGTATTCTGCTCGTTATCTTAAGTCACGTGGTTGCTTGTAATCTGGACACGAATTAAATCATGAGAAAAGCATACACCTCAACGTAACGCCTGATACTAGTACACAGGGGTCAGTCACTGATATCAACATAAGTAGTTTATAGTAATATATATATACACATGTATATATAGGACATACAGCTATTAATTTGTCTATTTGACTTCCAGTAGTGTATCTGGTCCCTGTGGTCAGATGCAAATATTATCAAACCTTGCACATGACCACCTTGATAACCACTATCACTCATATATATATATATAGGCCTATAGGGAAATACAGAGTTAACATTATACTCTCCACAATGAAGTACAGTGCTTTGTTAGTTGTCTCTGCCTTTATCGGGGCAGTATGCGGCCAGGTCCCCCTCCCGAGTAAGCCTCTTGGCTTCACCTATGGAAAGGGGAACACCTCAGCCCCTATACAGTTGTCAGCATTCCTAGGACCACTGTGTCCCGATAGCCTGAATGCCTTCCCAACTCTTCTCCAAGTGGCTGATCACTATGGTTCGCAAAACGTCAGACTCATCACACATCAATTTCCATTGCCTTACCATAGAAACTCCTTTCTAGCGGCCAAGGTAAGTTGTTATGTATATTTTGGTATATTTTGTAAAAGAATAATTGCCTCCAAAATGCTAATGCGAATACAATTCTATCAAAACAGGCAACATTTTTATAAATAATGTTTGCAATATATTGCAATATGATGTGTTGTCAAGGTCATGCGTTGTTTTGGGGGCAATTGGTGATGCAGAAAACATGAAATGATAATACAAAACACGTTGTTTCGCCTGTAGTTTTTAAGTAATTTTACATAGGGAGATTTTCTGCAATGACTTTCCTGATTATTGTCTCATCGGCTGATGCTGTTGGCCTTTCGTTTTGGTTCGTTTTTGGTTCGTAGTGCGGGTTTGCTGTTGCGTTAACGTTATTGATTACATATGAATCATAATGGGCTAAAATGACATCATTACGGAACATTTTAATTGATGAATTTTAATCTGTTGAACAATTAAGTACTACTGATGTGTTATAAATGGTAAGAGTGACTATATGGTGCAGTACTGTTTACGTCGGCTTTCTGCGTTGACTCTTTGTAAAAAAGAAATGTAGTTGTTTGAATTTGTGCTTATTTTTGTAAATTTAGTGATTATTTCAACAAGCCATCGTATTATTTTAGGGAGCGCAAATTGTTGACGTACTGAGCTCTGGGAACCAGACGTACCGCTGGTTGGGTGCTGTTTATGCCCAGATAAATGAATTTTCTAATGACGCTACACACAATAAGACGGAGAGCGTAGTACAGGCGTAAGTCAAGTGACGGTATAGCTTAATTCTGTTAACGTTGTTTGTGGTAATCATTTCAGATCACGAAGTTCAATTTTCACTGGTGTCAGCGGGGATTGTTCTCTTCCTTGTGTGACGTAATAGATAACGAAAAGAATGTAAAAAAAACAATGCTGTCAGAAAATGACAGATAAGATATCAGAGTTTGAAAATGGAAAGTTTTGGGCATCAAAACATGATTTAATTTGAGCAAATTGATCACGTCCTGATACAATCTAGAAGAATTGAAGACGTGTAACAGATAATCATCACTCACTGATTTCAAACCATGTTTAATGGGTACTGTAGTTCAGTTGGGGAGACACGTTTATTTGTTTGTACGAATAGTAAATAGAAACAAAGTCATACAGGCTGTTGTGCGTTATTATTTACAATTATGTTATTTTCATTATAGCATGTATGCATCTATAGCCACGAGCCTGCAACTAAGTGGAAATGCATTTAACGTCATGTACAAAGACTCGGCTATAGAAGAAAGCACCCGCTTAGATTGGAAATACACTGCAACAAGTAAGTTCACCAATAAACATCTCAAGTGGAAGAAATCATGGCTTTTGTATTTTCATGAATCAGAAAAACAATTGAACATTTCTTAAAATCTGAATAGTAGAACGGTGAATCGGATACTGCTGGATATATTCTATGGATAAATGTTCACCGAAATATCAATCTTGGAAAGTAAAACTTGAAATAAGTGGGTCATTTAAAGAATTTTAAAGAATAAGAATTGTATTTTACCTAAATCATGTGTATGGTATTTACAGGCTTATTCATGAATGAAACAGAAAAAAATGCAATATAGAAGTCATATTTTGAATAAACCTGAATTCATTAATGGCTACTCCACAATATAAGTATGCATCATTTGGGTTTTAAAAATGTACTTCTTTCGAAAGATATGTTTTTGTTGGAAACGCTTATTCCTAGAAATATTTAAAAAATATGTACCTAATTTACTTGCCGTTTGGAAGATTGGATTTATCCCCGTTTTCTGCGATTTTTCATCGTTTTTAAGATGATCTCCCTTTATGCCTGTGTTAGTTTGATTTTTTCCCGATTAGACAGATACTCCACACTTCTAGTAAGAGTAAAGTATTTATTTTCTGTCTTACCCGAGGGTAAAGACGGGTGTTGGGGTGGGAGAACACAGAAAAATCTCAACCCTCAGGGTAAGATTCTTAAAAGTCTTGCCATCGGCAAGCCTCTGGGTAGACAGTTAGGAAGCTTACTCGTTGGCTTGAGATTTTGAGGTGTTACCCCCAAGCTGGAGAAAGAGACTATACTAACCTCCCTTTTTGCAGGAGGAGTAGCATGGACTCCAGCCTTTATGATCAATGACGTGCTGATACAGGCGGAACCCACCTGGACACTAAAAGATTGGAGTCAAGTAATCGACGGTCTCCTAGGCAGCCAGCGACCGCCGGTACGTACCTGTCCAGTGATCTAGTTGGTATACTCGATACCCACTTCATTCCGAGGTCATTATAATGCTGAGAAATACAAAAGTAGACAAAATATTTGTATCCTTTGAACAAATCGAAAGAAGAATACTGAATATATCAAAATACAACTTTCAGGCATTGTTATTGTTATATATCTATATAAGTAAACTGGTAAGTAGTCATGAAGTGTTGATTATTTGAATCACATTATTAAATTGGAATAGGCTTGGAGCAAGGCGCACGGTGCCTGTTATTTCAAATTACCGCGTTGTTAATAGCATTCCACCACAGTTTCATTGTATACATGTCTCTCCATTCCGAGGCCATCCTTAAAACGGTTGAATTATTGGTAAATATTTTCGTTAATTTAATTGGTAAAAATCCTGGACATTCATCCCATAACGAATGCTTAAATTTCTCAGATGGTTCGCTTTACGAACATTCAGATTGACTTTGACCAGTATCAATAACTTTGAAGTATAATAAAATAGAGGCTTCAACACAGCTGTGTGATGTTTTTTCATACCAATTAAGAAACTTTTCGTCCAAATACGCAATCATTAATTTTAAATTGTAAAAAATAATGGCTCGATAGATCTCTTTGTTTCATTTTGAAATGTTCAAAATCCGAATTAGATGAAAATGATTAACCAATCACTGGATGAAGAATCTATATACCATCTTGCATTATTCAGTACGGCATACCTCAGTTTATTCAAATTATAGATATTTACAAATCAATATTCAAATACCTTTTGATAAGTTACAATAGGTAATGTGCTCTGTATAGTTTTGTTTCGAAAATATATTTTTTCGCTAAAAAATGTTAAACTTTACCTATGATCACGTGACCAGGAGAAAAAAAAACATCCTATGGAGCGCGCACACTCAACGATGAAAAAACATGAAATTACCCGGTAGCGCGTATCCTCGTCGGAGATTCGTATTTGGTTTGTGTAGATTGGAAATTAGTACATTTTACCTTATGAATGATAGATTTTGTTTTTGTAAGCTGGTTATTTTTCTGTTTGTTGCCCTCTTGCTCTGGTAGTGGTGTTGCGTCCTTCCGTTTTCCGAGGGCCAATATTTCCTTCTGGAAACAAACCTACGCATCCCCCTAATACCAAAACAAACCTACGCATCCCCTAATCCCAAAACCAACCTACGCATCCCCCTAATACCAAAACAAACCTCCGCATCCCCTAATACCAAAACCAACCTACGCAACCCCCTAATACCAAAACAAACCTACGCATCCCCCTATTACCAAAATAAACCCACGCATCCCCCTAATACCAAAACAAACCTACGCATTCCCCTAATACCAAAACAAAACAAGCCTACGCATCCCCCTAATACCAAAACAAACCTACGCCTCCCCCTAATACCAAAACAAAACAAGCCTACGCATCCCCCTAATACCAAAACAAACCTACGCCTCCCCCTAATACCAAAACAAAACAAGCCTACGCATCCCCCTTATACCAAAACAAACCTACGCATCCCCCTTATACCAAAACAAACCTACGCATCCCCCTAATACCAAAATAAACCTACGCATCCCCCTAATACCAAAACAAGCCTACGCATCCCCCTAATACCAAAACAAACCTACACATCCCCCTAATACCAAAACAAACCTACGCATCCCTCTAATACCAAAACAAACCTACGCATCCCCCTAATACCAAAACAACCCTACGCATCCCCTAATACCAAAACCAACCTACGCAACCCCCTAATACCAAAACAAACCTACGCATCCCCCAATTACCAAAACAAACCTACGCATCCCCCTAATACCAAAACAACCCTACGCATCCCCCTATTACCAAAATAAACCTACGCATCCCCCTAATACCAAAACAAGCCTACGCATCCCCCTAATACCAAAACAAACCTACACATCCCCCTAATACCAAAACAAACCTACGCATCCCTCTAATACCAAAACAAACCTACGCATCCCCCTAAGACCAAAACAAACCTACGCATCCCCCTAATACCAAAATAAACCTACGCATCCCCCTAATACCAAAACAAACCTACGCATCCCTCTAATACCAAAACAAACCTACGCATCCCCCTAAGACCAAAACAAACCTACGCATCCCCCTAATACCAAAATAAACCTACGCATCCCCCTAATACCAAAACAAGCCTACGCATCCCCCTAATACCAAAACAAACCTACGCATCCCCCCCCCCCTAATACCAAAACAAACCTACGCACCCCCCTTATACCAAAACAAACCTACGCATCCCCCTTATACCAAAACAAGCCTACGCATTCCCCTAATACCCAAACAAACCTACGCATCCCCCTAATACCAAAACAAAACAAGCCTACGCATCCCCTTATACCCAAACAAACCTACGCATCCCCCTAATCCCAAAACAAACCTACGCATCCCCCAAAAACAAAACAAACCTACGCACCCCCCTTATACCAAAACAAGCCTACGCATTCCCCTGATACCCAAACAAACCTACGCATCCCCTAACACCAAAACAAACCTACGCCCCCCCCTTATCCCAAAACAAACCTCCGCATCCCCCTTATACCAAAACAAGACTACGCATTCCCCTAATACCCAAACAAACCTACCCATCCCCCTAATACCAAAACAAACCTACGCATCCCCCTAATACCAAAACAAAACAAGCCTACGCATCCCCTTATACCCAAACAAACCTACGCATCCCCTAATACGAAAACAACATCTATTATTTCATAACCATTGCCACACATATTTTGTCAATAGTAATAAACGTTTTTTTTTAAACATTTTGTTCTCCACAGTCTAAGCGTGAGACACTATCATCGTGTAAGATTGGAACCAAAACGTGCGAGTACCTGCCAGGGAAGGTCGAGTGCTGCACTAAGGGAGAGGCTTGTATTCCTAATGTTGGGTGTCGTTGTTAAATAAACCAGTTCATCAAGTTGCGTTTGATTATTATTATTTTTTCACATATTTGAAAAAAGGTGATTAATGATACTTAATATTTCTGACCAATTTTAATCATGATTAGAGGAATACTTTTCTTCATGTTTTGCTTGTTTTTGTGTGTGTGTGTTAAAAGAAGGAGAACATTCCCATTATATTTACATTTGCATGGCATTGACACTATATAGCCTCTTTGAAAGCTGTGTCGTTGATGGTACTTTAATTACCATTCATCACGAGACACAATTCTTAGCGTATTAATCCAATATAAATAAACATGACGGCTGCTGAAATATCGATGGGCATTGTGAGATTTGACAATGTCATTGTAAATTTATGTGCAAAATAAAAAAAAATAAGATAAAAAACACTTTTATTACAACGAAAACAAGACCAAGGTCTGCAATATCGTACAAATGCACATCGGTTGAAATCGACAATGCCCGCAATGGAAACAATTTTAACGCTCATGCAATTTATCAGAAATATCGTCTGTTACACTGCACTGATCAACAGGGGCTCGTTACAAATGTTTAAAATACACATATATATTCTATCGACCTACTGACACATATGTTACAGACCTACTGATATGAGTCACAGCACATATAAACATTTCAGACATTTGTAACGAACCTGTGCTCCGTCGCAAGATCACTCACTTCAAACGCACGGTTCCTCAGTTTCTGACGACAGGTCAAATAACGAGGATGTTATAGAATATATCGATTGTTGGCAGGTTCCCATACAATCAACAAATAAATTCACCCCTGGATTCTTTACAAAATGAGAAAAGTTCGAATTAATTCCAAAAATAACTCCCTCGTGGAGGGCAAGATCGGATTTACGGTGTTTACTGTATTTGTCCATGCGCGAAATTTGTTCCGGGGAAAAATCGAAACAATTTTAAATCTAACTTTCAGCTCGGAGTTCTATTGATAAACTTAAATCACCCTATAGACATATCATACGCAATTGTATCGATACTGAATTGTGGAATAAAATTGAAGTGTTTGTTAAAATTTCAAAGTACTACTCTGTTTGCCAATCAGCACGCGACAATACGCTGTTCAAACTATTGAACGAAATTGTGTGGACTGTCGATAAGGCGGGCATTTTTAATTTTAAATATAAATTATAAGTTAAAAAAGANATGCGCATGTTGTCCATTGATTTGAACTGAAGTAATATCAAATACCTCAAGGTGTACCTTATACATTGATTGATATTCAAGGTACTTGTAAAAGAACTCAATATCCTTGTCAATTGAGATGCGACTAGATGTATACAAGAATGAGTAAAACGTAATGTTTATTTCTTAAAATTACCTCATTTGGTTTATTACTGTAGATATACTTCTGTAAGCGCACTCAACTTGTAACGCTTTAACAGATTATCTCATTGAGGAATCAGCACAACAACAACAACAACAACAACAACAACAACAACAACATATTCAATAGAGAGAAATAACGAAAAGAACTAAAATAAGAGTATATCCCCAAATATTTACTTCAAGTTTTCTGAAATATACATCAGGGTTCGTTTTTGTATAAACTATTTCTCAGTCCCAAATTTAACTGTTCAGAATATTGAAATTGACAAAAATGACAAAAAATATGTCGGAATGGAATACAGGGTACATTCTGAGGAACCTGATTCGGAGGTCAGGAAACGGTCTTAGATTTAACCCAAATTCAATTCAATCGAAATAAACACATATTCTTATTGGAACTGATTTTACGTTTTGTGAAATAGTGTAAATTGACAACAATCGTTGGTACAAATTGAAATAACATTTTCATCACATTGGATAGTCATATAACATTTCAAATGAACCACACCATCATTCATTTTTGATTGTTTAAATGTTATACTATATCACAACAAAATGCAAATGTAAAACATATATTAATTTATCTCTAAATGATTTAAGTGCACACAAAGCTATTCGGTGATAAATAAAATCTATCATCTCTCAGTATGTGGGATACAGATATCCTACACATTGGGAAAGACCAAAACTACCGAGGTTTCGAACCCAATTTCTACATCTGACAGTAGGACTTTTATATGCCGACATGTTTGTATAGTGTTTGATTCTCTCCTCCCATCTCTTACCCTAGATGTTGGTAAAACAGGACATGGACCATGAAATAGTAAAATCGCTGTGGTTTTCTAGGACTTTTAGTCACGTGACGATGTCCACCGTCTGTAAAATGATAAGTGTCAAGAAACTTAATCCAAACTCAAGGTGTTACGTGCTTGTTACTTTCTAGTGTATTAGAAACAAAAGGCAACTCGCTACCATTGAAAGACTGTAGCGTTTATAGTTTATCTTGTCATGTCTTGGTGTCATGAACGATTCTTAACTCATAAATTCCTGAAATATTTGAAAGCGTTACTGAAATTTAGGACATTTTCTTAGTTAAGGTTTTTGTTCAACCCCTATAGTACTTTCTTCATGAAAAAAAAAACCCCAACAGAAAACGATGTACGGCAAGGAAATGCCTTCAGTTAAAAACATTCGTGAAACATCCTGTTATTCAACACACAGATATCGACTGCTTTTCTTCTCTCTGGTTTTGTAAGTTTTGTTTCAGTTAATACTATGGAAAAACTGACGTTTCTTACTACTATTTTGCTGTGTGTAACATTAAAAAAGATTATGTATGTGCTGTGTTTATAAAATTAAATTATCTTAGTTATTATTGTTAATTAAACGACGAACTATTTTACATACGATTACCTAATTATCTATTATGTTATACTTTGCTTGTTACCTCTTATAATACCGGTCGTTGTGACGTCAAAACTAAGACACTGTCATGATAGAACTGATCGGTCTTATTGAACACAATTTAAATGAGGTCGAGATGTTGATTTCGAAGATTATTGCGAAAATTCGCATGCATTCTTTATTTCTTGTTAAAAAGTATTTTATCATTAATATGATTGATATGAAACTCGTTTAGAAGTTGTCTTTTTATCGCAGCAGAGCCTCATTTAATTGGTTTATTTTTGCTCGTTTATAAATTTATTGATAATTGGAAATTTGATAAAAATAATTGAAGATGTTGATTTACTTATGATAAAAGACGCAAGCCAATAGATTTATATGTCAATGTCTATTTTTAAATATTATCATAGTGGAGTTTCATAACGCCATGTCAATTGTCCTTTAAGTGACGTGATCGTTACAATGTATCTTTACGTATTTAAAACAAGACGGCTAAATTTAGAATATGATACCGTAAATGAAACGTTTATGTACCTTTGAATTCGATAAGTACACAATATTTCTTCATGGCTTTTGTACTGTAGTTAAAAGGTCAAACTAGAATAATGCAACGCAACAGAAATCTAAACTATCATTTGAAATAGCTCTTTTTAAATTAAAATATATTCAAACAAAAACAATAAATTCTATGTAAAAAAAACACATTTCGGAAAATGCATGAAATTTAATGCAAAAAAACAATCATACAGAAACGCTTGATGATATGGAGCTGGAATGTTAAAGCTAAATATGAAAATGAGAAATGTTTTGCGATGTCGTCCAAAATACTCTTTCATTTTATTTCAAACTGCCCACCACTGTCCTCAAAACACCATATTCTGTTTCATCGCACCTAAAACATAAACACTTTTAATCATCGCCTGTTTAGTTTAACATATATCAATAACAACATTTATGAGGTAATATGAAATACATTCACAAACTAATATTAACGCAATCCTAACATTCTTTGCGGATATCAAACATTCTTCTATGTCGCGATATTTTATGTCAGACTTATTAAATAGCAACAGCTACAAAAACATGGCATTGTTGTGTAATATTTCACACATAAGGAACGACAAGATACACATAACATACAACTTACCCTGATTCACATTCACAAAGTCATTACAGGTCCTCCTGGAAAATTGTTAAATCCGAAGTCATTTACCATAAGGTTGTTTCCACCTAAGAAATTTGTTCCTCTTTGGTCAGGGAATGACAATCCGGGAAACGTATTAGCATCGAAAGGAGCCGGAGAAGTAAACCCGCCTTGTGGTGGTCCTCCAAATCGGAAATCATTAAAGTCGGAAAACTGTGTCCCAGGAATGAAGGTCTGGAATCCATCATCATTAAATCCAACTGGTCTTGCGTTAAAAGGAAACGATCCTGGTTGGTTAAATTGGAAACCATTGCCTGGAAAACGGAAGCCCGGTTCGAAATTAACTCCACCTTGAAAACCCGGACCAAGTGCTAAATTCTGGCCAACCTGAAAGTTTTGTCCAGTTCCTCCATTTAAGCCGATATTTTGGGGCACCAAGTTCTGTCCAAGCCCATTATTGTTAGCACGTTGCCCATTGGAGGAAGCTGCAGCGGCCGCCGCGGACGGGGTTCGAATCCTTGGGTCGTTGAAATCAAGACCAGCATTGAAACGTCCTTCGAAAGATGGTAGGGCTGGCATAACTGCAGGTATATTCAATGAGACACCCCGATTAGTATTTCGAAAATTCCTCAAAGGCAACATAGGAACTGCGGATTAGGAAATATATGTATTAATTGTCAACAAATGTTGTATGATAGATCTTCCTCTAAATTCCATGGCTCACTTATCAAAATGAAATGCTAATTAAAGCTTACGCTTAAGTTAAGTTGAAGTTCTTGTCCATAGATATATACGAAACTTTTCTAAGGATACAAAGTAAAAAAATATCTATATAAACAACCCATTGTCATGATAAAGGAATCTCACAGAAGACCTTTATCATAGTATTCAATTATTGTTTTATACCATGCAAACGTCTGAAAATGGATCGTATGGATTATTAAAAGAAAAGTCCAAATTAAATTTGACGGCACAGTGGAGTCCACTGTACATTGAACAAACCACCAGTGTATGGTTTAATGTATTAAGATTTTATTATCTTTATTAATGACAAAGTTTTTGTTTTTAATATTTCATGCGTATGAGTATAGGCATGGTTGCTTTTTCAGCCTTATTCAAATATGTTATGACAAATTTAACAAAAGTGATAACGTGAACGGATTTTGACCGTCATTTCGGCAATAATTGCGCAGTTTGCATCCGTTCCGTAGTTTCTACAATCATGCATCTTAATAGTCAAGTGCCAATACGAGTTTTTTTATGCTTCCATGTCGTACGTATATGTAAACAAAACATCCGTGGTCTTTAATAAAAACAAATGGATGTATTTTATGGAAAGATATTCGCTAATTAATAATTCATGCACAAATATTATCAACGGCCTGATATTTTTCTTTTTATAAGGAAAATCAGCGCCATAAATGTTTCTCGTTCACAGCAGCTTATTTTTCTTTTATATCCATGTAAATGCATTTAACATTATATTAGACATATAACATGGACAATGTTTGCGCGGGAATACTCTTACCCATCCCCCATTCCTCATGCCTCCCTCGAAAGAGGAACATGCTCTATGCAACTCATTTTCGATCATGTGTATTGTGATTCGCTACAATTGCCACGACGCCTGGATTTGAATCGGACCATACCAGGCTGAACGAAGCTGGTTGTCCTAATGAGTTTAACCAGACGTGACATACCAATACCTTGCCCTCGGTTGTATAAACGAGTTTAAGCAGACGTGACATACCAATACCTTGCCCTCGGTTGTCTAAACGAGTTTAACCAGACGGGACATACCAATACCTTGCCCTCGGTTGTCTCAACGAGTTTAACCAGACGTGACATACCAAAACCTTGCTCTCGGTTGTCTAAACGAGTTTAACCAGACGTGACATACCAAAACCTTGCCCTCGGTTGTCTAAACGAGTTTAACCAGCCGTGACATACCAATACCTTACCCTCGGTTGTCTAAACGAGTTTAACCAGACGTGACATACCAATAGCTTGCACTCGATTGTCTTAACGAGTTTAACCAGACGTGACATACCAATACCTTGCCTTCGGTTTTCTAAACGAGTTTAACCAGACGTGACATACCAATACCTTGCCCTCGGTTGTCTAAACGAGTTTAACCAGACGTGACATACCAATACCTTGCCTTCGGTTGTCTAAACGAGTTTTACCAGACGTGACATACCAATAGCTTGCCCTCGGTTGTCTAAACGAGTTTAACCAGACGTGACATACCAAAACCTTGCCCTCGGTTGTCTAAACGATTTTAACCAGACGTGACATACCAAAACCTTGCCCTCGGTTGTCTAAACGATTTTAACCAGACGTGACATACCTATACCTTGCTTTCGGTTGTCTAAACGAGTTTTACCAGCCGTGACATACCAATAGCTTGCCCTCAGTTGTCTAAACGAGTTTAACCAGACGTGACATACCAATACCTTGCCGTCGGTTGACATCATTGACTGCCTGCACGGGTTGAACGCCACTGTTGATCGGTGCCAAACGATTACCTATTGGTCGTTGTGCAAAGTTTACAAATTCGGCTCCACCGCGATCTTAAACAGAAGACAACATATTTATCAATGTTAAGGAAAACAAATCCTTAAAAACACTTTAAAAAAAATCTTTAAAAGAACATGAATACGGTAGTATCAACATAAGCATTAACGCCAAACTGATAAAACTAGAGCAAAATATGAACAAAGGAAATCTTTACATGGCGACCCTTGCAAAAAGCGGAAAGGGAACAACACACTAGTCATACCATTAACCCGGTGTCCCTTTTTAATTACATGGCATTAAAATGTTTGACCTATATTTCAGCTGTTGCAGATGAAGAAGAGGATACTTATCCCTCCGCAACATCTTGTCTTATGCTACTTGTACTTTTTGAAAAGTCTCAGTGTTATTCATTCGTTTGTGTTGGAATTCTGCTCTTGTTTTATTCGTTTTCAGTTTGAATGACGGTTGAGTTCAAACTATGATATCTCCCGTTTTCTTAAAGTGTGCATTGATGTAGAACATATATAACACGTATACATATCTGTACGTAATTAATATTACTAGATGTCTTGTCAGTAAAAAGTGTGCTTTTGTGTAAAAATTCTGACTATCAAATCGGTTAATGTTTAAGATTTCAGAAGTAGTAGACACGGGTTGTTATCTTAGAAGTGTAAATATTTTATATTTCATTTATTCTGAAAAACAACATTGAAATCAAACTACCGTATATGACCTTGTGCCAACCTAATTTCCCAAGGGAACCATTTCATACTAACTATATAAGCATATTTATGTTATTCATCTGAAATTGACAATTTGTCAATACATTTTGTTTGTTATAAAAAACCCTTACAACTTATTCGAAAGATTGATGAAATATAACTACACTTTATATCAATGTTATCTATCTGATATTAGCAATTTGTCAATACTTATTTTACTTAAAAACCCTTACAACTTGTTTAGTAGATTGATAATATAGATCTATAGGTTATTACTGTAATTAGCCTGATATTATACTAAATTAACGTTTGAAGGTTTGGATTTGATAAATGTTGAAATAAGAGAATGAAAATGAAAATAATAATACAATGTCATGAAAACATGATATTCTTACTTGCAGTATTGGCATTCTGTCGTATTTGCTGTTGGTTAGGCATTTGCTGTCCGAAATCATCAAAAGCCATGTTATTTGTTTGTGAACCAGGATTAGGTACGGATACTCTCGGCAGGCCTGGTATCTGTGGTATCACTTGGGGAAAAGGAAGAATCCGTGCAAGTCCTCTTTGCTGGTTTGATGTAGCGACCGTTTGAATTACATTTTGTCTTGGTAAATTTTGCATCACAGCTGGTCCCATATTAGCATCATTTATATTTCGATTCGTAGCTTGTCCAGTATTAGCAAAATTGCCATTTGGCATCACGGCTGGTCCAGTGTTAGCATTATTGCCATCTAGCATCATATCACGTCTAATTTCAGCATTATTGACATTTTGCATCACAGCCTGTCCTATATTAGCATTATTGAAATTTGACATCACAGATTGTCCAATATTAGCGGCATTCATATTACGCATACCAGCTGGCCATGGTCCAATATTTGCATTATTGATATTTTGCATCTCAGGTGCTCCAAAATTGGCAACATTGACATTTGGCATCACAGCTGGTCCAAAATTAGCATCATTGACATTTGGCATCACAGCTGGTCCAAAATTAGCATCATTGACATTTGGCATCACAGATGGTCCAATATTAGCATCATTGATATTTTGTATCACAGCTGGCCCAACATTACCGTCAACAAAATTTGGCGTCATGATTGGTCCAACATCACCGCCAACAAAATTTGGCGTCATGATTGGTCCAACATCACCGCCAACAAAATTTGGCGTCACAGCAGGTCCAATATTACTGTCAACAAAATTTGACATCACAAGTGGTCCAACATTACCACCAACAAAATTTGGCATCATAGCAGGTCCAAAATTATTGTCAACAAAGTTTGGCATGACAGGACCATTCATCCCCTGGAAGCCATTTCCGAAATTCAAACCAGGCCCGGATCGAAAGCCGATAACATTTGGTCCACCTGGGCTCTCTGTGAAACATAAAATTGTAATATTTCAATACGATGGTCTATGACGTTGCTTAAAAACACTAGATTATTTAACATCTGCATTTTAATTGTTGATTATCATTTAAATGAGGGCTGCATGTTTTCTATGTAATATTCATTTTTTTAAACTGCATGTCAAAGCACCTATCATCATGTACCATAGTATAAAAGGGGTCATGCTTCTTAAATATTGATGAAATGTTGATTTTACTTCAATGTAAGCACATGCAGATGAACGAAATTCATACCAACATTGATCGTTTACAATTCAGCGTTTTTCTTGTGCAGTTTTGCTTTTCTGTTTTATTATTTCATTTTTATTACATTCTATCGGCCATTTAATGGTCATTATATCATTGTCGGTGTTGATGGTTCGCTGAGCCTATTATGATAATAGAAGTAGTAGAAGTAGATTATGTGTGAGGGTAAACTCAGGACATAGAATGTAATCTCAATCAATCATCATGAATGTTGTCAATATCTTCTTCCGTAACTCGTGTTTTGACATAGTATGACATGACTAACGCATATATAGTCGTAAATAGTGACACATATATCAGTTATGTAATTATCATAATATGTAATTGATAATAAAATCACTTACCAAGCCATGGGAAGAAATTACCTTGACTGCGGCCGACTGAAACTTAAAGGGAAAACAAGATGTTTCATAAAAATGATCAGACTAAAATTACGACGACAGAATTGCTAAACGGGTTTTGCAAAGAATGTGTTATTAAAGTAATAACAAATCATGATTGATTAATTGGACTTAACTTCCTTATTTCGGTTTGAGTCGTTCAAAAGACATGAATCAAAGGGTTTTGGTTGAATAAATTATGCTTTTATTTAACTAAAGGGTTCTTATAAGGCAGGCAGGAAATCCTCGTTCTATTAAGCATAGGTAAACACGTGTACATCGTTATAAGCTGTTTTCTAGCCGCCACTATACAACAACAGACTGGGCTTTTTTAAAAACAAGCAGTGTTGTCATTAACGTAAATGAGTGATTTACCTTACACCTGCCTCCATTTTAACTCCCCTTCCGAAAGACGAAATATTGTTTATTTTGTGAAAGTGTAAACGATAGCGGGAATAGATGCTGCTTGTATGTGTTGGATAGCATATTAATTTTAGACGTGTAAATGATGTAATAGATAAGTAATACTTTTCCACTATGATAGAAGTTGAAATAAGGTGATGTTGTGTTTTGATATACAATTTGTCCTTTGGGAGGCCGTTGCTTACTGTATATAGTCATCTACCAAGTGGAATTTTAATGTTTGTTTATAATTCTGTATGTGTTGTTGTCTTAGTTATTAGATAAATGAATAAAGTGATAGAAAGCGAAATCCGCATCAACACAAGTGCTGATAAAATAATTGAATTACATTGATTCTAGATTACCATGATCCAGCTCCACCACAGACGAGAAGACTATCAGTAGCAATCCATTGTCCCCTTGGTTGTCCATTGTATCCTTAATTACACTTAACGATAGTGAAGTGTGTTAGTTAGCCCCTGTCTTAGGGAAAGACTGTTTGTAACATAAATTATACAGCTCCCTCTATTTTATCGATTTGTTTTGTCCATTTGCTCTTGAAAAGTCATATGACTCTAGTGAAAATTGCACAAAAATAGTATATGGTTTATAATTTCTGGTTTAATCGAGGTTGGACGATCAGACTTGTTTCTGGTTTTTTAATTGGTCGACGTTGTGACCTTATTGATGCATCCTAGTTTGAGCCTGACATGAGCAGTATCCTCAACCTTATTATTGCTTTAAATTTTGGTTTTAAATTTGACAAGAAATCGCTCTATGACAGTTATTTGTTACTTTCGATCAACTGCCTTGCCGTATTATTTTTGATTTGCTGTTGGTGGATTCTTTTATAAGTTTATGTTTTAATGTATAACATTTGACCCAAGAAAATCCTTTGTTAACTTGACAACTCTTTCATTTCCTGAAAATCGTTGTGCGATGGTATTCGTTCAATTTTAGGATAAATTCCTAACTGATGGATCGCAGTGATCATATGTTCCTTACTAGTAATTGTGAAGATTGAATAGCGGTAAGTGGATAAGGCGACGGATATTAATTATAATAATTGTTGTGAGCTGAGTGAGTCAGAACGAATGACGACTCGCTAAGTCTATTTTTCAAGATTTTCCTATTTTCCTAGCAGTGCGATTTATAAAGCCATCGTTGTGTTAATTGTTGTGCTACCACTTCAAGGTGTTTATTTTTAATATAAAAAAATATGTTTGTAAAACACTAACATTAAATGTTTATTGGTTCGATTGTTTAAACAGGTTGTATTGAGCAAAAGCAGTTTTGAAATCATTCACCTTACGTAATGTGATATACGTATTAAACACATGTTTATCGGATTGGTTTATAGCTTGTGTTAGTACAACATATTTTTATCATAATTGTCACAAATGTTCTTGCAACCCATCATATGTATATCATAGCTGTCTTAACTATAGGTATGAGATGGGTTGTAGGGCCACGAAAATGGAAACAAGACAAATATATATATGGGGAAAAGCATGCATCGATCAATAAGATGTTGTTGGCATACTTGAGGCCCCGTCGAGGAATTGGTGTCTGAATATGTTTTGTTTTTGTAATTACATCGAAATCATCTCTAGAATAGCTTGTAGCCCACAGGATGTTAAATACAGCATCATGCAAAAAGTATTTGCAATTTGCCAGGATTAACGCTATATTTCATGCATCTCTATCTTTTTTTCATTGAATTTTCCCTCGAGCCGATTATTGCTCAACTGAAATGAAATAAGACACCCTGAAATAGAATAAATTGATATTTAATCTGACAACCTTTCCTTTTTCAAGATATAAAATGCAAGAATTTTTATTCAACGTCACATATTTAAACATTAAACATTATCACTGTAGTGCTATTCTTGCGACAAGAATTCGGTGGAATGATTTGCAAAATAAGTTATTCACAAAGGATTCTAAGATTATTATACAGAATCCTATCTTTCAGTACATTAAATTTGGAATAAACATGAGAAAACCGCGACTACGTTTTTTTCGGACCTAATATTTGCATCTCGTTGTAAACCTCCTGTTCGTTTATGTGGAACAACCGGTTTGTCTGTTTTCAAATCCTGGCGGACCTGGGAATGTCTAAGGCTCGCCTGAAAACAGCATTAGAATACTAGGTCCTACCGACCTTATTTCATTAACGAACAACTGTGATCCAACCGATCCAACCCGATCCAACCCGATCCAACCGATCCAACCCGATCCAACCGATCCAACCGATCAAACCCGATCAAACCGATCCAACCGATCCAACCCGATCCAACCGTTTGGATCGCGATCAACGAAGACTTAATTGTGAACTCAGAATGTCGTCACGAAAACTTTGCTCGGAGAACTATTTGGAAATATATAAAATCATTCTAAATTGGTTCCGATTGACGTTTGTTATCTGGCGGGAGCGATATTGGACGTAAATGGGATATTTCTAAAATGGAAGTATAATTCTTAGAGTCATAAATGCTAATTAGATGCATAACAATCATAGAAGAATGAAGTTAATGACGTACCGTGGAGATTTTTAACCATTTCCTTCTGTTTTTCGTAATCAAACTAAAAATTTGTGTGCAATATTTTACTTGATTTAAAGCAGCTTTTATGTAATTTTATTGTCATTTTTTTAAATACTTTACTGATATCATGCACACCTATACATATATATATTGTATGATTACAGCATAACGGTATCCAATAGATATTATCCGCTATATAACTGCTGATTTAAGGTTTTAAACTGTTTCTTTATTGTTGCAAAAATCAAGTATAATACTGAATATAACTATTGTAACATTGCAAACAAAATTGAAACAAATTGTACGAATACCAGTTAATACCAGTTCATACCAGTTAATCATCTAATTACCAGTGGGGAGCCCCATACTGACCCTTTTTCTGTGAATGTGTATTGGTCAACATGATAGTGGGCCTGTCAGTGGATTGATGTATGTCCTGACTGACAAGTGGCACCACATATTGTCAATACCGTTATATATATAAATATATACACACATGGATGTATGGCGGTACAGTATATACTTAATAATGATTTACAATTGTGATGAGTAATGTTTGTGTGTTGTGTGTACGACCCAAAGAATGCATGTGGGTCAAAGTTGTGCATGTGTACATTCCGAAAGTGTGGTTTAAATATACTTCCATTTCGAAACAACCTGTGGAATTAAACAGTGCCTTCCAAGTTTACTTGTTTCGTGAAATATAATTCAATTTTCTCGAATCTTAAGAGAGAAATAATATATGAATCGTTTTAAAAAGAACTCTTATTCTCTCTAGTTGAGGATCATCTTGAGCCACAGAAGAAAGTTGTATACAGTGGAACCCCCTTACATTTGACTCGGTTACATTGACAGCTATCACTATTCTATATATGGTTCAATATCGATAATCAATTAAGGAAGGATTGTTTGGAGTATTATAAGAACAGGTAAAACAACGGTTTATGAAAATAAATGTGCGCATTTTTCCCCCAATAAAAATAGACATACAAACACTTTTGAAGGGTGCATTTATCAATGAAATATTTCTGTTTACCAACCATCACATTGAAATTAAATGTACACAAATTGATCCCCATAAGTGACGTCATTTTTAAAAGGGTATTTGACATTTTTATATTTATAACACAAAATATCATGAAACGTCATTTATCAATGAAATATTTCTGTTTACCAACCATCACATTGAAATTAAATGTACACAAATTGATCCCCATAAGTGACGTCATTTTTAAAAGGGTATTTGACATTTTGATATTTATAACACAAAATATCATGAAACGTCTATTATTGGGAAATTATAAAAACAAAACCATAAAAGTACAGCCCATTTCAATTGTCTACAATGTTTCATTAGGAAATTAGTCCGGATATCTAACAGGTATAAAATTTGGAATATTGTTAGGTTGGATATATAAGCAGTTGATAATTATTCATTGTTTAAAAAGGAAGTGATGGTGTCCTTTGAACCACAGGGGCGTGACACTGATCCCAACTATTACCCCAATACATTTGTATTATGTATCATACACATATATCCGGACCGTGGGGTTTGGGATCTGTGTCATACGGCTGTGCTTTGAACATATTGTGTAACACTGCTTACTTATGGTCATTTCTCTGTTACATAAAAACTGGAACACGGACATATCGACATTCATTACCTTAGGAAAAGCATGAAGGTGGAACTAAATCTGTGATATTATCATAATATAGAAATCCGAAAACTAGATATACACTGTACATGTCGTAGTATTTAATACTATCAGTCCTGACAATAGGCACAGAAAATAATTATACCTATGCATATGTTATGGGTTTGTAAATAAAGATAATCTTAAGCATCAATAACGTCATGAAATGTTAATGCAAAATTCATATATTACTATTACAATAACCTTTGCTGGGTTTAATTATAATCCGTTCTGCTGTAAACCGTAGTATACCTGTATATGGCTTACTAATTTGTTAATTTGTTAGTGCTTTGGCTTCCTATAACGAATTTGCCAAAAGATTTGTAATGTCACAACCGAAACAAATAGTAAGCATCATTGTTTGATAGAGATATAAGCATTAGACATTACAATGAAACGAAATATGCAAATTTATCATAATGTTGATTTGAAATTAGTTTACAATGTATTGAATTGCACATTTTTATAAGACTTCTGCAAAATAGCGGTAAATTCACATCATATGAAATTTAAACATTACATATTTTAAGTATAAAAATGTAAATGCGTTGAAACTCTGTTAATTACTTACCCAGGCACAATAAGATAAACACAGGTAACATCACGACAGGTGTTCTTTGTCCTGTATACCTGTTCATTCAATGTCCGTCGGGACTGTGGACGGTGCACTATCTACCTAGATGTTTCGTATGACCAGTCGGGGATAAATGACTAAAACAGTGTGTCAGTGATCAATACTTTATGAGTATTATGTCAATCAGTCCCTCCTGTGTTCACCACGATCAGGTTATATTAAAGAGAATCCATGTATATAGGAATGCGTGTATAATAAGAAGTAGACGAATTGTTCATCTCGTTTTGTCTATTTAGCTGACGTTTACAATGACAACTCGTGTCCATGGTTCGTATGTTTATACACCTTCTGAGAAAGAGCATTACCAACTTTTGTTTATTCATTACAATTTACACTTTTTTGAATAGTGATTTAGGTAATTTTTGACATTGTACTCCATATAAAACACATAAAACGAGGCAGTTTATAGGATGTTTATATAATTTATCACAAAATCTTAATTACTGCTAAAATTCAATAAAATGAAACATTTATTTTTAGATATTTAATAATCGCTATCAAATAGATCAAATTTGTTCAAAACTTAAATGCCTTCTAATGAGTTTATAGGGTGCATGTGACAAATGAGATAATTATAAGGATACGACTGCAAAATATGTGTCCATGAAACAATCGCGAGGTCTGGCAGTAGCAAGTAAAACCTATATTTGTATTGTTCGCGAAATAAAGAACACGCCAAGTAAAAGTTTTTACAGTAACATTACAATTGTGTAAACCTTTGAAATATATTAAGGGCGGATTAACAAGAGCGGTTTAATGACTTGGGCAACAATCTATACTGTATCACCAATATAATGAGTATGGGTTGAAATGGCGCAATATTAATATACACGACTATATGATATAAAGGACAAAGACCTCGGTATGGTAAAAAAGACAACAATCTCTCGAGATAATAAAAAAACCCACAAAAACAAGTCAACGGTCACATCAACAGCTAGTTTGTTTGGACAGCAGCATTACTGCCCTGTGTTTAAAGTGCAGGATATACATCCGATAACTGGAGGAAATACAACAACGAGTGAGACACAGATAAAACAATATCCAGCTCACACGCCACTGAAAGGTTTGTCTACAAAATAGTATGTGCAATTTTACTCCAATTCGCCAGTATATATCCCCTAACACATAGATGTGTTAGCTACTTTGGATTTCATCACTAGAGTGTGTTCTTTGCTGCCATCGTTATAACCCGTACCTACAGGTATTTATTTCACATTTTTTCAAATAACTTATATCTGTTGCACTTCCATGTATGAAGTGTATACTTAGGATTCTTATTTTATCTCGATGAACGTTTAAAAAGCAAGAAAATGTACAACATTATATTTTTAAGTGATTTTCAACACGCAGCAGACTTCTCACAATGATGAGAAATATCTTGTTAGATGTTTTCAATTGTGACCAGGTACATATATTTGCTACTGTTCAATCCAGTCGTTTTCTATTTCATACTCCTCTCTGGTTCGTTCATGCCAGATTTTACTAATGGGATGAAGCCTCGTACGCGTATATTCAGGGTGGATTTTACTAATGGAATGGAGCCTCGTAAGCGTATATTCAGGGTGGATTTTTCTAATGGAGTGAAGCCTCGTAAGCGTATATTCAGGGTGGATTTTACTAATGGAGTGAAGCCTCGTAAGCGTATATTCAGGGTCGATTTTTCTAATGGCGTGAAGCCTCGTAAGCGTATATTCAGGGTGGATTTTACTAATGGAATGAAGCCTATTAAGCGTTTAGTCAGGGTAGATTTTACTAATGGAGTGAAGCATCGTAAGCGTATATTCAGGGTCGATTTTACTAATGGAATGGAGCCTCGTAAGCGTATAATCAGGGTGGATTTTACTAATGGAGTGAAGCATCGTAAGCGTATAGTCAGGGTCGATTTTTCTAATGGAGTGAAGCCTCGTAAGCGTATAGTCAGGGTGGATTTTACTAATGGAGTGAAGCCTCGTAAGCGTATATTCAGGGTCGATTTTACTAATGGAATGGAGCCTCGTAAGCATATAGTCAGGGTCGATTTTGAAGGAGAATTGATCCCGGTTTGTGTCTGTTTGGGAATTTTGCGTCATCGTAACAGATTAGGTCATATGAAGATGGTGTCCAAATGTAAGGATCACTTAAAAGTGCCATCTAACTGATATGTCCTAACCTTGATACGTAGGCCGCGTATGACACTCTATCCTGTCACACATCAGCTTATTTTCCATAACGTTATACCATCGTATAGACAATGTAATTTTAATGTTATTTTAACGTTGATATGACATATTTCTTTAACGTTATATAACGTTATTTTAACGTTAATCAATGTTTGTAAAAATTGGTTGTACATTATACTGACAACGGGTTAATCAGTCCTTACTAACATATATTTTAAGCTGAACGTGAATCGGATAGACTGCTTACTATAAGGCCTTCGGTGTGTCGCGTTAGGGGACAGAACCACTATTGCTAATTATAAGGACTTCGGTTTGTCTCAGTTAGGGGACATAACCCCTATTGCTAATTAAACGGTCTTCGAGTTGTCTCGGTTAGGGGACAGAATCACTATTCTTCCCCACTTGGGCGAACGATCAAATATAAGGCCTGAAGCAAGGTATTGCCAAGGTAGGCGTTAGGAAACAAAACAAAAGTTCCTTAAAGGAAAGGAAATACAAATCATATCCCATGTGTTGCAATTTTTGCAGCAGATTAATATTTGGTCCCGTAGAAGATGTAAAAAAAACCATCATAATTCTGCAGGGGGTTCCCACATTAGTCGTCTCTTAAACATTAATTGGGAAACAGAAGGTATATTGTTTTCCCATCCCCCACCCTGCAGAGGAAATAAGTGACTTTACTGGTAGCGCGTCCATTTATAGTTTTGGTCCGTCGCATTCTCTTTTTTCTATATTCTAGACTGTAGCTAGGTATCTTGTATTTATTCTGAGATTCCTCCTGTGTTGTTCATCGAAAAAAGGTGTCTTGTGACATTGTGACAGATGATTTGACCACATATTATCTATCAAACTGGTATAGTAAAGGTTAGGAGGGGGGAATTATATGTATTATATGTATTTCGTCTTCCGAAAAATTTGAAATGTTCAAATATAGTTTCTTTTGTTTTAAAACAAAACTAGTTGGTTTTATAAACAGGGAATATGATAGTATTTGCTTTCGCTAGACACAGCTGGATACTTATCATGCAAACTGTTGAGTTTGGTTTGGACAACTGGGCCAAGAAATGTATGCATATGTTTATTTTTTTTTTGTTTTGCATCCAATCTGCTTACTCGTTTTTGAATTATGGACAGTGAATCCAATGCGGCATTGTGTCGTTTTTTCAACTGTCTGAAGTAGTTCCCCATTGAACCCATCACGCTGAAGTAGGAGCTATTCTTAAGTCATACGCATTAAGCCTTTGATTGTGGTTGAAAAGATAGGAATAAATGTGTTTAGAATAACTCAAAAATTGATTGGGGGTACTTTTGTGTCTGAAGTGCGGTGATATGTTAGCTTCGATGGACTTCTGATGTAGGATATATTACTGATGTTAATGGGATATATACCGGTATCCTTGTTGGCAAATGTGACCTTTACACAATCTCGAGTTACCGAAGATGAGTGACTATCCTTATGGAGTGTTAGTAGAATCATCTCATTACACTAGTAATACATAGGGAGACAGCGTGGTTCAAACATAGTAGACATACAATCGTTTCTCAGTATTTTCCGTAAGATCTTCAAACGTAACATGGCATTTACTTACAATGTTGTAATGTCTATGACTACACCTACATCTCCATTGAGAGGTGAATAAAGAAATGGACAAAACAATGCATACTGGACTTTACAAATTTCCAACCGAATCTTCACAGTCATTGCATCCATATGGCGCAGCATAACCAGTAAGTCTTAAGTAATGTTACTCTACAGTGCAGGTACTAAGTGCAGTGTTATTGGTTGGATAATATGATATTCTCTCTAAAGTACGGATCTTCATACACACAATAGAATGGCAAGGAACGTTGAGATGTTCATATAAAAGGTGATGGTATCCACTGTTAAATGTTGAACGATGACCATTCACTCAGTGTCAGCTACGTAATTGTAAGGTCGTTATCATTATCTGAGTTCTACTTAACGGGATTCTCACTACATTATTAGTGATTAGTTACCTACATACTGTCGGGGATTTGACGAGATATCGTGAAGGGTACCACAGGTGGTGCTTCAACTGATTAAGATAATATCTTGCTAGGCTTTTTGTGTGAAGAGGTTTTTTTAGCGGAACTGGATTTGATTGATCGTCGGCGTCCAGGTAGCTCAATTGGTGGAGCGTCCGTCCAGAGCTCGGAGGGTCCCGGGTTCGAACCCCGGTCTGGCAGTACATATTTCATCTCCTGTTATAGTGGTGCCTGTGACCAACCCTTGTTTCGAGCATTTTGTGTACGCTTGGCAAGGGGATACCCGAACCTCGGTTGTAAGTAGTTGTGTCTTGGGGGACGATGACTTAGAAAAGAAGGGAGGAATGTTGCGGAACTTTACTGGGTTGATCGTCGGCGACCAAGTAGCTCAATTGGTAGAGCGTCCGTCGTATAGAGTCGGAAGGTTCCTGGTTCAAACCCCGGTCTGGCCGTGCGTTTTTCCTCGCTTGTTATAATTATATACAAATAATAGAAGTCAAAATTGGATATATATTGATCTATTATTATTGAGAAAAAAATGCATTTTTATTACATAACAGTAAGCCAATTGGTAGGAGTAATTGTGAGCAGTGTGGTACTAGTTTATTGACGACACGTGGTGACAACCTGTCAATCTATGTATCATTATACTAAGTGTGGTGAAAGCGTATAGTGTATCAGTGTAACTCCCGCTCTAGGTATACAGGTATGTGCAAACTATCAAGTCACGAAACATACAATACTTTCACGATGTTCGTGGTCATTTACACGTAGATGTCTTTCTGAAACCTAACTGCCTACCCAATCTGAAGTATCTTTAAAAGCATTGCACATTACAGTTTTCACAAATAATCTAAGACAGATAATATGACATGGTGTTGTTATGTGCAGTAGGACAGATCTATTTTCAGATCCAGGATCTCAACTTTTACCTTGCTCCGACGTTTAAAGCAAATGTATAAGCTCTTCGAACAATGAATTTCCTTTAAAAGTTTCTTTCACCGGTGAGAAATTTATGAATAGTTTAGACCTTCTTTGATACCGGAAAAATAACCATAAATTTTAATATCTTTTACACACTGAAATATTGACGAATTCGACGAGAACCCGTCTTTGAATGGTATGTACTTTGAACATGGGATTCCACGAGAGAAAGAGTCGGAGACAATATTTGGCGTACGCGAGTATTATTTTTATCTAGTACGTACGCTCAATTGTGTAATAAACAGGTGATGTTGAATTTAGAGCATAATACAAACGTAACAACATTTTTCTGACCAAGGCAAAATATATTTATTGATCTTTTAGACGTTAAGGCACTAAATGCATTACCGTTTTGTCTTCTGTAAAGCGTTCAGTTATATTCAGAATAACAAACGAAATATAACATGAACTTACCATACATCAATTTTTGGAAATACGTTGTGGACGCTATGGAAAAGACGCAAAAAATATGTAAATAATGTTTTATCTGTAAGAGAACTTTAATTTTGCCAAATACAACAAAACAAATCCCAAAACACTCTCTACTACGGTATTACACAGTAGTTAATACAGGCTGGTATTACTATGTAGGTTTTAATGTGTCCTGATATCAAATAATATACAGTAGAGTTATTACTACTTTAAAGTAATGCCTTTCAAATATATTTGGCTTGTACAATTAATAAATAATTATTTTGCATTTGTATTTATTTGAATTATTTACCTTATGATGCCATTGTATATATGAACTTCCTCACCAATAAAAGTAAAATCGCCTCCACACCCATACGCATGCTTTATTTAATAGTCGGCCATTACTACAGACATATATGACATTACTATTATTGATTGGCGCTTGGGATCGTAAGGATGTCACCGAAAGCGACGACGTCGATGGTGCGTGACGTGCAATGAAATCTCCCTATAGCACTGAGCGGGTGAGGGATCAATAGTTATACAGACGATATTCCACAAACAAACAAAGCGCGGATGGTGTTTTGGTAACCTATGTTTTATCGGTTGACAGTTCGTTTACTGCCGTTTTATTCATTCATTTCATTTTTAAAAAATGTCACCTTATGTTCATCAGCACTCGTCCTATCCAAGACAATAGCTTTTAACGTCATTGGGACGTCAAATTTGAAACAAAAGACAAACGTCAAAATGGCGCCGTTGAACGTTGTCAATGGTCGCAGAATATTTGTTTTTCGAAAACTTGCATGCATTCTTGATTAAGTGCTAAACACAATATTGATTCGTCTACCTTTTATATGAAATTGATAAAACTCGTCCAATATTGTCTTTCTAGCTTAAAATTTATAAAAGGTTAACCAATCAATAATAACAAAAAGGTCCCAAATATGGCAGTTTGTGTTTCCTATCTAGTCGTCATGTGTTGCGAAACCGATTATTACCTAGTGAGTAAATAATGAAGAAGTATGTTGATCTCTAAGGCGCCGTTGGTTAATAGAACGGTACGGTACAGAGTAACGCTTACCAGGACTTTAAGAGGGACATCCTGACAGGGTGCTACACGGTGTCCTAAAATCGCTTACCTTTCAACACCCTGAACTGTATTTGTAAAAACTATCTCATTTATACACTATAAGATAAGGTTCTTGGCTCATTTGATATGAAGGTCGATGTTTTATGTGACTTGTTGTTTTGATATCACTACCCTGAATATCGCCATTTGGGCGTGTCATAACTTGGATCTGACCTAGATATAAATGACTAGTGTCATCGGTGATCAGAAGACGCTAACCCTCCCGGAACCCATGGTCTTAATCTCCTTTTACTTTTTCAATATTTTCCATGTAAATCCTTTTCTTTATATTTTGTATATGTTTTATCGATTTTTAGTTCTTATAACAGTTTATTGACACTTCGGTACTCTCTTGTTGTCTAATTTGTATGAGGTACATTTAGTACCTTTAAGGATTGGAGATGAGTGCTTGATCTTGCGACCTTGGTTTCACCAAGTTCTTTTATTCATATATATCGATTTTGTATTCCAATTACGTCATTTTGTGTTGATATTGTGAATTTCGAAATCCAAGACTTGTGCTCTCGATACATGTATTTACTTAAAATGTCGAAGGCTCCGTAGGCGCCACCTTTTTGGATGAAAGAGACGACTATTCTGAAAGCTTTAATGAAGATCTAATCTAAAGAATTGTGCAGTAACTCACTGCTAACATTGATGGCTTTGAAGTTGGGTGTAATCGTCAAAGGACATGTATCTGCCTGGCCGTGCCTACGAATATTTAAACACATATTTCAGGGGTGTAAGTGTTGGTATGGAGAGAAAAAAATTAAACTCATAGTATATGGTGCAAGTATTTATATATTTCACATGAAGTAACTCTATATATTTTTAGTAAGCTTCTTCCCCAATCACAACAAAAAAAACAGTGAGAACATTTTTAACATTTTTTTAATTTTATTTTATACGAGTAATCACACTTTTTCATATTATGTAAAAAATGTATATAGTGAGTATCAAATACACTTGGTATTGTTCATTCATAATCCAAGACACACACACAAACATATACATGTGTATTTATATCATAAAATTTGTATCACATCCTCACATAAATAACATGTTTAACAACCAAAACAGCTCTCAGTATTCATTGTAAAGAACTTGAAACAACAGCGTAAAGCTCTACTTCAAACAAGCGATGAATAACCCTATTCCAGTACGGAAACAAAACCTTCAGTCACGTAAACGTCATTTTCTTACTCATGACATTAATCATGGTGTTTTTATATTGAAATTTCAAATACATGTAATCAGACTGGCATTTCATACTTAATAACACTAAAAAATGTCATTACTTTTTTTCATAACTAACAAAGTTGCAGCAGGACAACCTGCTCTCACAAATTGTAAAAGTCAGTATTATTTTGGACTATTTCAGATGCAAATATATGGGAATGTGGAGACACTTTTCATTTTGACAGCCATTACCTTCAATGTATTCCCCCTCCTAGCTAATTATTGTAGACCCCATCACCTATATATCTATATTTATTTTTCCTCTCCCACCCTTAAATGTAAACCCCAGTATATATTTGATAAGAAATGTCCCCTACCCTCTTAATGTAAAACCCAACTATATATTTAATAAAACATGTTTCCTGCCCCCTTCATATATCTATATCTGGAATGACAGAATATAATGTTTACAAACATTATTGACATAGTTCACAATGACACTTATATGGTTGTAATTTGTTCATAATTCGTTCAAGGCTTTTTGTCTATTTTTTAAATTTAATTTCCAATTTCTACATCACAAACGTTTAAATCATATCCTGCTAATTGAACACATCATTATCAAATGAAGTTACACATTGCATATCTATAGTTTCATGAAATAGCTTTTTGAAATATTGGCTGTGATAAAATTCTGATAAAATTGTAGCATTTTTCTCTCATATACGTTTTTCTGTGTTGATATTCACAGCCACAGTGGAAATATTAGTGTTGGATTGGAAGTAAATGACTACAGGTACCCAAGTATTCCGTAGCAATAATAAAGTTTTTTCTGTCCTTAAATATTTTAACGACACAAATGTTTATTGCTGTCATGGAACCTACCCTAGTTCATTATGTGATTAACTGCATATGAAAGATAAATGTTTGACCTGTAAGGGTTAAAAGATGTTGAATTGTATTTCATGCTTATTTGATGTGTCACATTTGCTAAATCTAACATTTGTTCATACGTAATCATAGTATCTAGTGGCTTACCAGAAACATTTGAACCAGCAAATAGTTCAAAAACCTTGAACGGTGAAAGGAACATACACAGAAGTTTCATGTTTACAGTATAAATAGTTTAACCTGAGATTTTTGCAGGACTTCCCTTTTGTTCACAGGTTTGGAATTTCGCCATATGTTCTAAACACTTACTTCTAATTCACAATTAAATGTCCATGGTCTGTTGTTAAATGACTAGAATGACGTTTCCTTCAGTCTGTCTCCCCTTCTTCTGGATCAGCCTCGATGTGGACTAGGACAGCACCCTTTGGTACAGTGTCACCTTCTTTGAAGAACACCTTTTTTACCACTCCAGCCGTTGGTGATATTATGTTATACTGTGTAGATAAAGAGAACTTATATTAAATGTTAAAGTTGAAATAATAAACATACATATTATCTAACAAGATGCATTGATTTTTTATTATATATTTACTTCTTTTTTTATTTATTATTAAGTGAATGCCTAGCATAACATATGGACATTACAGAAGAATTTCAAGAAGCTCAGAAAAGTCCTCTTGAAAATTAACCAAATCACTATATTTGTGTTTGTAATAGAAAGCTGATAGAGTAAAAACAGGAAATATGAGAACATTGATTTAAGTTTGTTTAGATTCCACAGTTCAATCTGGTCATATTGCTATCATTTGGATAGTGACATATCAACATTATATGGGAATTTGGCGCTACACCAAGGATCATGTATAAAGGCATTGTGAAGAAATAGGGACATAAAAAATGTGGTAGTCAGCAGGCTCTTAAATGTACTTTAGAGTCGTTATATTAAGTGTTTACTGTACTGTAACATTGATGTGCACTCATACCTCCATTTTCATGGCTATCATCTTGACAAGCGGCTGTCCCTTGGTCACAACATCGTCAACACTGACCATCACCTTTTCTATGACCCCTGGCATGGGAGCAACAGGGTCCCCAGTACTGGCTTTGGACCCAGACGCACTTAGATACTCGGGCACCGGCAGAGTCAGGTCCTGTCTGCCATCCTGAAAACAGATATCAATATTTCTGTGAAGAACTTGACTATATAGATAATTACAAATATACGGTATACTTTGAAAATTTTACTGCAGTTCAATTATCTCCTTTTTCGCGCTCCCTACCGAGGGTGAATTCATAATTACAGTAAATATTAGTCAACAGCATAATTAATATAGTAATTAAACGTGAAGGGCAAAATTAACACTTGATGGAAATTGATTTCATTAGTAAAGGGCGAAAGTTGGACTGGGCGAAACATTTCTTGGTATACATTAGTCCGTCCTCATTTAAAACACTATTCTGTGTTTCCCAATATTTATTATGTTTCAAAATTTACATTATTTAGTTGAAAAACCTTTCTCTCCACTAGCTTTTTATTTTAACTGATTTCAAATAAATGTATAAAATATAATGATGAATTTCACCTGGACAAAAATGTCAACTTATACTTTCACTGAGGGCTTCTCTAAAATAAACTGTATCTATTCAATTATTTTAAGACTCCGTTAACATATCTTACATAAGTGTCCCCTTGATATTGTGAGACCCACCTCTGCCTACCAGCACAACACTGTTCAAATGCTACTGTATATGTTAACAAATGTCTCCCTGTTGTAAACATACCAGTGAGAATATGTGAATGGAGGATCCCATCCGTACTATGCGAGCACTAGAGAATTTCCCGTCAATGTTACATGTAATATTCATCTCGTCGCCCTCTTTACGCTGAGTGGCAGTCACATGATACTGCCTGTCCTTGACCTTGATGGAGTAGGAGCCGTCTCTGTTAGACTGCACAGTTATCTGAACTTCTGAAAAACAATTCATATTACAATTATTCACAATTAGAATTCATGACCTCAAGAAATATTCACAGATTACATGTACATCGTACTACCATTTCCAAACTGACCAGATTTTGCTGTTGCGCATTTACTGTTATCGACAATGAATATGAAACAAGTAATATGAACTGAATATCGATCACTCTTGCTGGCCCGGATGTTGGTTAGGGGATCTTAATATGGGAAGAAACCAGAGTTTCCAATGAAAAAAAGCCTCAGTTTACAGTATGTGTTTTGATTAAAACGTCTTAATAACAATGCTGAGGGTAAACATGTTGGAAGATTTTAAAATTGGGAAACAAAAGCAATACACAATTAAAAGTAGTTTATTGTGCTAGGTTGTCTTGTGCTAGGCTGTCTTTCAGTTATTAAATGGAGGTAAAATCAATATATCTTAAACAGTCAAACTGTGTGCTACAAATAAAATTAATGTAATGAATTTTCAAACTTACTCTCATCTCCATCCTGAAGGACAATTATTCTTATTAGCTGTGAGTTCACTCTGGCAGCTGTACACAGTGTAAAAGGTGAAAATGGATCTAAAAAAAAAAAAAAAAAACCACTAAAAAAAGATTGAAAAAAGAATAAAGCAGATGTCATCAAGAGGAAATCAGGACAAAATGATCTAGGATAAATGTTGGTGATCACATTCTTCCAGAGAACCTAAATATTCTGGAGAAAATGGCAGGAAAAATGTTACTGGTGTATAAAGTGATTTCAAGTCCAAGACAGAAGAAATGAGATACATATATATGTAGAGGACCTGGACTGGGTCGATCTCAGGCGACAAGTTAGTTCAATTGGTTAGAGCGTCCGTCGAGTGTTCGAGGGGTCTCGGGTTCGATCCATGTCTAACCGTTGCATTTTCTCTTTCCTATGACAAATTACATACTACATACAAAGTGTATTTACCCCTAACTATACACAGCCTACCTTTAGTAGCTGTTGATCTTTCCCTGGCTCTGACAGCCTCCTGATGTACCAGGGAGATAGCAGCTTGACATAGAGCGGTGTCAGACACCGTCCTCTCAGGGAACAGTTGGTGTATTTACCCCTAACTTATACACAGCCTACCTTTAGTAGCTGTTGATCTTTCCCTGGCTCTAACAGCCTCCTGTTGTACCAGGGAGATCGCAGCCTGACATAGAGCGGTGTCAGACACCGTCCTCTCAGGGAACAGTTGGTGTATTTACCCCTAACTTATACACAGCCTACCTTTAGTAGCTGTTGATCTTTCCCTGGCTCTGACAGCCTTCTGTTGTACCAGGGAGATCGCAGCTTGACAAAGAGCTGTGTCAGACACCGTCCTCTCAGGGAACAGTTGGTGGATTTACCCCTAACTTATACACAGCCTACCTTTAGTAGCTGTTGATCTTTCCCTGGCTCTGACAGCCTCCTGTTGTACCAGGGAGATAGCAGCCTTACAAAGAGCTGTGTAAGACACCGTCCTCTCAGGGAACAGTTGGTGTATTTACCCCTAACTTATACAAAGCCTACCTTTAGTAGCTGTTGATCTTTCCCTGGCTCTGACAGCCTCCTGTTGTACCAGGGAGATCGCAGCCTAACAAAGAGCTGTGTCAGACACCGTCCTCTCAGGGAACAGTTGGTGTATTTACCCCTAACTTATACAAAGCCTTCCTTTAGTAGCTGTTGATCTTTCCCTGGCTCTGACAGCCTCCTGTTGTACCAGGGAGATAGCAGCTTGACATAGAGCGGTGTCAGACACCGTCCTCTCAGGGAACAGTTCATTATAGTGTTGTGGAATGAAGTCTGTGTGCACTTGAGCTGCCTCAAAGTGTGGGTTGCCTGCAAGGTCCATCAGAAACTGGATGTTTGTACTTAAACCAAGCACCTGTTAAACCAAGCATTATCATACAATCAAACAATCAATTAGATTAGATCTCAAACACAAACGTATACTTAGTATTTATAGGTGAATATATGATTCAAGGGACTGTATATTTTAAGAATCCTCCTCGTGAACTTGTTAAAACAATGATATGTACAGGCAGATCCAGCTACCATATTTGGTAATGATAGCACTTACATGGTAGTCAGCCAGTGCAGCCTTGACACGGCGCAGTGCAGAACCTCTGTCCTCTGACCAAACCACAAGTTTGGCGATCATTGGGTCATAGTAAACAGATACCTCGTCACCTGTAGTGCAAACAAAATAAAACTTAAATACTCGCTATCAAACACCTTTCTTTGCGCAGAATTCTCTCCCACTCCTTTTTTGCACACAGTGTCCAACTATAGTCAAAGTTAGAATAAATGTTTCACATTTTCCCTCATCTTGATTAATTGTATAAAATTTTATCAAATCAATAACAAAATAAAAGTGATGACACTAAATTAGCTGATGATTTTCTATAACTAGCAAGTGACCTTGACCTCGGCATTGGAACTTTGAAAGATGAATGTGTCCAAAATTTTCACTTGCTAAACCTTTATATAAAGTTTTATTGTTGAGAAAAGAACACACTATGATAGTTATGACATCGAAGACTCAGGATGGGACAGACATAGGTGAAATTATTGATATGCCCACATCTATAAAATTTTGGGGTATAGAAAAATAGACACCATCATTACCCAAAAAGACCTATATTATACAGCTAATGTTACAATGTACCTAGAATAATTTGCACAGTGGTATGTTTCACAAGAGCTCTCTGGTGAACACCTACCTTGTCTGACGCCGGTGTCAATCCTGGTGTTTTCATCAGAAGCTGGCGTGGTTAGGTGTAGTAATGGCCCTGCCCCTGGCATGAAGGTATTGTTAGGGTCCTCAGCATAAATACGAGCCTCAAAAGCATGACCGTTGAACTGTATGTCTTTCTGTTCAACAGGAATCTTCTCACCACTTGCCACCTAGACATAAGAGATAAACCGTTGCCGCTTAGAGTGAGGCTTTTATTTATGTGAATAGAATAAGAAAATGTGAAAGAGGAACCCTTATAAGACTATAATGAATAACTTCAATTCAGCAATTTTTCATGGAAAGTCCCAGTTAAAATACACGTTTTTGTTTAAACATATTTATTGATCAAATGATTCAAAATGATTGAACAACAAGTTTTTAAAACTTATAACAGTTCTCTGCATAATACAACAAAATGTATGTGTATAGATATGTTTTTTAAAATAATCTTTTTGGGAAATCGAGCAGAATGAAACAAGTATTTTGAATATTAGATTCACAATGTCAAGGACAGTATGAAATGTGGAGGTTCAAGTCTAGAAGCTAACACTCCTGCAGGAGTGAGTCTGTACATCATGTAGGACTGTAGGAGTTCCAGTCTAGATACTGGGTTACACATTCTAGCAGAGCATGATTTGTAAAACGTGTTACACTGTGGAGGTGCCAGTCTGGACATTGTGAAACAATCTAACAGACGCTGGTTTGTGCAATGTTTAACAGTCGAGCAGGTTTTGGTTCGTACAATGTGTGGGGTTGAAGCAGTCTCTGTTGATATGTTATTTACATATGTAACACAATTTACCCTGATCTGCCACTCCACCAGGTCTGTGCCCGTTATCATCTCAGTTATAGGGTGCTCCACCTGCAGTCGTGTGTTCATCTCCATGAAGAAAAACTTCTGGTGTTTGTCCATAATAAACTCAACAGTACCTGGGAATGAGGGAAAGAAACTATAACTCTATAAAAAACTTTGATTTCACACAACATTGTTTTCAAATCAAAATACATGCACACACATAATTGAATTGATGGTTTCTGTATTGTATTGTCTGAAACTATGGTACTGTAGAAATATATACTGCCGGGTTGAATTTTGAATAAAAATAACACAATTGAACAGATGTTACAACAAAAGGTCATTTACAAATTTCAGATGAACACAATGTCGTGTTGAAATTAAGATAAAACTTACACTTACAATTGAACAAATAATATATTGAGATGTCATACAAATTTTCAATGAACATAACACTGTCACCAGAAGAAAAATATTGACTGTCAGTCCATAACTGCTTTACAAGCATTGAACTAAACAGTTGGTTTAAAAAAATAGATTTGTTTTTAATATCTTACAATTCATAATTCTTTTAATCAATAACTGCATTTTTGTTATCTGAAATTTCAGCACCTAGACCATTGTTATGCTGTGATACACAGTTGTGAATTATTCGTGAATAAAAGTAAATCAGCCAATGAACAATTTTTGTGAAGCTCGACCATCTTTGACCTTATCCAGACCCCAAATAACATGTTTCAGATCCCCAGTGACTCGGCTCAGACCTTCCTGACTGGCCAAGATCTCTTATGACTTGGTCCAGACTCTCAATGATTTGGTTCAGACACCAGGGACCTGTTTCTTTATGCGGAACAACCGGTACGTCCGTTTTAAATGTAACATTATTAGGTATATATCCTGACGGACCTGCAAATGTTTATGCAGGTCTTGCAAGGCTTTGTCAAGGCTCGCCTGAAAGTAGCATCAGATTACTGGGGTCTGACCTTATTTTATAAACAATTCGATAATAATAATTTGAGGTTCTTATATAATGCTTTATCACAACCTAGAACCTTTGCAACCAGCCAATATCTTTCTCAACTCCCTGGGGAGCATACAGCCAGTGCTGCCATGTTGGTGCTCACACCTAGCATTCAACAATTCTAGCACTACCCAACCACATACTCATTTACAGCTGAGTAGACTGGAACAAGCAGAGTAAAGTATCTTGTTCAAAGATACAACACAGTGCCGTGATGTGACTCAAACCCACAACCCTTCGGTCATGAGCCCAGCGTCCTACCACCAGACTATCGTGCCTCCATCCTAAATGAACAACTCTGGTCCAACCGGTTCAACCGTTTGGACCGCGATAAACGAAAACAGCCCAAGTGACCAGATCCCTACTTACCTGTTCCAGATCCCTATGACTTAACAACCTACTGACCCTCTGTGACTTAGCTAGACCCTTACTGACCTGCTCCAACATAGTCGACAGCCCGTGCTGCCCGCACTGCCGCCTCACCCAGAGATCTTCTCACTTCATCTGAAAGCCCAGGCTGAAAATGCGACAGTAACTTGAGGAGTGTAAAATAGTTACTTTGTTGCTCGTATGTATTCTGCAGTATGTGCTATATATCTTTAATAATAGACAAAAACACCACTAATATTCTTTATCAGCAAATTTAATGGTTAGTGATTATTTTACTAAAAAAAGAAAAAAATCTTTCAAAGGTTGATAATAAAAATAATATTATTTGAGATTTTTATGCGCAGGGATGTTTGGGAACACTAGGGAACCAGGGTCAAATTGGGAAAGATCAAAGACAAAACTACCATAGAAAAATTGTTTATCTTTTCAAATGGAAATCATTTGTGCAATGAAATGCAATATCACTGTCTATCATACTAAAAATATCTAATCTAAATTTTTAAAACATAAAAACATAACCAAGTACATGTTGTTGTTTTTTTGCACAATGGGAGATCATTTTGATAAAATGGCGATCATTTTCAATTGGGAGTGGCTTTGTTTGACAGACATAAAGAGGAGGTGATAAATATTTGTACGATATCATACGATGTCACAAAATACAATTTCTTTTGTTGATTTCTAAGTATCATTGTAGCAGCTGTTTCAATGTATAAACTAACAGCAGAGACAGCTATCAACTTACTGCTGGTGCCTCTTCTATGATTTTCTGGTGGCGACGCTGTACGCTGCAGTCACGCTCAAATAGATACACGTGGTTGCCATGCTTGTCCCCAAACACCTGTACCTCCACATGTCTGTGATATAACAAATTTTGTTCTTAATAAAACAACTGAAGTGAAATAGGTTTAAACTATGTGCTCTAAATACACAGGAAAACAACTACCTCTTACTGTTGAGTCAGTCTAGTGGACTACATAAGTACACTTTGTATAAAAAAAAAAATGAGTTGTCTGACGTTTGGTTGGGCCGACACTATGTGCACAACTGTTTGTTTTATATTATTATATCTTTTACCTTTAAAGTTAAATTTTACTGTTGGTTAACATATAGATGGACAGTTCAGAACTTTTTTGATAGTGTAAAAGATAATACTTTATATATGAAATATCGGTAAAAATGAACCAGATCCAATCTCTAAAACACAAGCCAATCTCTATAACACAAAGTCTACCATACATAGGTTTGTTGGATATGGAAACTCTACCCACAGGTGCAGAACTTGTTTTCAGAACCTTGGCAAAGCCTCGGTACTGACCAAAATTTTACATCTGAGGGTAGAATATCATCCCGTCAGCAAAGCCTTGGTTCTGACCAAAATTCTGCACTCTCAGGTACAATATCCATATCCTGATCAACAAAGCCTCGGTTCTGACCAAAATTTTACATCTGAGGGTAGAATATCATCCCGTCAGCAAAGCCTTGGTTCTGACCAAAATTCTGCACTCTCGGGTACAATATCCATATCCCGATCAGCAAAGCCTCGGTTCTGACCAAAATTCAACATCCCTAGGTAAAATGTCCATATCCCACATACCTACATAATAATTGACTCTTTTTCTCCCACCTTTTAAATGAAATTTTGGTAAAACAGGACTAAGACAATGTAAATAGCAACACATCTAGATATAATGTACACAAACTAAAGTCATATTTGGAAAGAGCAGATAAAAGTAAGGTATACCACAAATATAGAGACCCATGCAAGACCTTCTTGGCAAGTTTGTTCAACAATTCTTACATTCTTGAAGTGGTGGCACTTGCAGAAAACAAGACCGCCAGTCAGTCAAATAACGTTTTGACGCATTTTCAACAAAACACTGTCGTCTGATTGTGATGTCACAATAGTACAGGTCACTGTGAGCAACCATGTGGGATACACATATCCCAGATGTGTGTTCCACATGGGACAACTGTATCTTTCATATGCCAAGGTGGAAGAAAATAGTGTCTTTTAACTAAACCTCACGGGAGAAGTCCTGCATCAAAGTTCATATACAATACATATTTCTATAAAGAGCTTGTAAACTTTGATATATTCAAAACACATTTTCTTCGCCCACAATATAAAGAAGTACCGAACAAACTAAAAAAATCCTTTTAAAACAGAAAATAGGAATTACCTCGGTTTTTCTACATATTTTTCGAGCAACATGACATCATCACCAAATGATTTCATTCCCTCTGCCTTTGCTGAATCCAACTGCGACTCAAATTCTTCAGCATTGTGAGCAATCCTCATACCCTAAACACAAAATTGTACAAGTCGCTGTTTAAAAGTATTAAGGAACTGGCCCCAGTTTCATGAAAATTCCTACATTTCCATTGGAAAGCATTGCTAGAGCTAGGACAATTTACGATCATAAAAAGTCAAAACAAAAACATACTGGACTTTTGGGTCGGGAATATATGGTAAGTACAAGTAGGAAGGCATACCTCTTAGTTTTATTATGCAATACATTGTATTTTGACTTTTACAGACTGTTTAAACGACATACGAAAAATGTACAATAAAAATTAAATGTCAGGTTACCACTTTTTTTTTTTTTTTTTTTTTTTTTATCTTTCGGACTAACACAGACAAACAGAAAGAAAGTTTGAAATTTGCTGCATTTGTGTTTAAGTATCCTAATGTTGACAATCTTTTCCCTGTATGGTAATTTTTCGGGAGACAAACCCACCTTTCCTCCCCCTCCCCTCACAGCCTTGATCATGACAGGGTAGCCAATCTTAGCAGCCTCTGCAGCAAGTGTGGCAGTTGATTGGTCCTCACCATGGTAACCCTCAATGATAGGCACTCCAGCAGCAGACATGATGTACTTTGATGTACTGGATACCACATTAAAACAGGTAATTCATTATTTCATAAAGCTTTTATTCCAACAGTACACAGAAATAAACATAAAAGATAAACTAAAATGAAAATGAGCTTACAGGAAAAATGTAAAATTTTTGTCTGTAAAATTTGGTTGTAAATATTGGCTACGGAACTCTCATTTGACCGGCCAAACCAAATGAGGCTCAGGGTATCAGTAAGGGACATACAGTACCTGTAATTGTTTTTTTTATAAAACTACTTTAAATGTTTGAAGCTGTAAAGCAGTGAAAGCCTTTATTGATTTAAATATTTTTTCCTAATTCCAACAGAATCAATCGTGAATTTAAACAATATACAAAAAATTCAAATGCATTTTAAAAGAAAGAAGTACATAACTTCATAGCTTCATTTAATTTCCTCTTACAAATTCAAACCATCACCAAATATCTGTTTGAAGACCGAAAATAAGTATTTGGCAAAATTTGATTATTTACAGTATAGTACATGTAGTTATAGTACATCATACACAGTCAAAATATATACCTCTTGATGCCCATGTCTCTTATGGCCGAGGCTGGGGGACCAATAAATTCCACCCCCTCTTTCACACACAGCTCTGCAAATTCTGTATTCTCTGACAGGAAGCCATATCCAGGATGTACAGCCTTTAAACAAATAAAGTTGCCAACAATGAAATTATATAAATTTGGAGTTTCAATTGATGAGTTCCCAATATCCTTTTCAAGCATGAAAGTTTAAAAGGACCTCATTAAATTTCAAGCATCCCAATTAAACAACACAGATGGACTCTCGCCAGCATTGAAAAAATATCCCATATCTGGAAAACTTGGCAAATTCCGCAAATATAGGAACAGATTAAGAAACAAGGGCACCACAAAGAGGTATATAATACGCCCGTCACATGTTGAATGACCAGCTGTTTGTATGATTGATATATGAAATATTTCTGAGTAATTAATAGTAAAGGAGAATAGTTTTTCAAACATGATAGATCAATACGTGTTATACAACATCATGGAATGCATGCAGTATTGCATTATTGGCACCAAGGGGAATAACTCTATTAATTATAGTGACATATTCAGGACACATTACTCCAACAATTATGATGAAGATATCAAGAGAACACCGCTTCAGAAAGTGGATAAATGGCCCTATCTCCGTAAGTTATTGTCAGATATTGATGGTTATCAAACTTTTCCGAGCTGTTATCGTAATAAACCTTCCTATTGGAAGTTTGAATTTAATCTGTTAAACATTACTGTAGTGAAGATAACGAGCAGACACCGTTTCGTAAGTGGATAAAGGGCCCTAACTCAGTAAGTTATCGTTGGATATTGGTGGTTATTGAACATGTCCGAGTTGTTATGGTAATGAACCTTCTTATGAAGTTTGAATTTAATCTGTTGAAAATTAGTGAAGATATCAAGCAGACACCAGCCCAGCCGCCTGCCAACATCTTTCGATGGGCGTAAAAAATGGTAAATTTCAAGTTAGCTGAATGTTTTCAACAGCAAACTTACCTTTTGTATTCTGTATTCAAATGTTCTCATTCCTTTCACCTTTAACTTATTCATGAATCCAGTACTTACATTAATCACTTATATTAAGGCACAGGACACTCAGATATGTATTATAATGCACCCATCACAGGTAACCCACATTCACTTCTACTATCGTTTAACAACTAAAGGAACAGAATAGCACATTACTTTAAAAATATATTAAAACTGCATGACTAGATATGAATAAATCAATTTTGATTTCCTTTAAATAGTCTATATAACTTCTGACAATGCTAGCCTGTATAGATAATTTCAATATGCAGAAGCATTGTCCTCTTTTTCCACTGACAGAACTTTTCAGTCATGTCAATAAATCTTTTAAATTGCATGGATAAGGTTTACAAATGTAAGCTGAACAATTTACCTGTGCTCCAGATGCTTTCACAACATTCATGATTTTGTCCTGACATAAGTAACTCTGTGAAGCTGCAGGAGGTCCAATATTATAGGCCTCATCTGCCTGGAACAGAATAGGACATAGTTTTAAACTAAAACAGAATGAAATTGTGCTTTTCCTGTCAGATCGAAAGTTTTTAAAACTCATCCTCACAACTAAAACACAAAAAATGCCTTAAAATGTTGCAACATCAGGGAACTGATGGGTAGCACTGCACTTCCATGTACATATATCATAGGGGACTGTAGCGTAATCCTCCCCTCAGCTTTTTGGCAACTTCTTTCTGAATATTCGCAATATTTTCACAAGTTATACCCCACTGTACTGCTGTTGCTCAGTAGTTCCAGTACAGCTTCAGACATACAAGTTAATTAATGTACGAGTACATGTACATATTGTATGTTATCACTCCATTTACATTTCTTGGGTATTACCAGTAAAGTTGTTGAAAGTCATCAAATGTTGTTTTCATTGAATTTAACTTAATTTTTGCTGACAACAAAAAACATATTTTCAAAGTTATCTTTTTTTAAAAATATGATTGTGTTACCATGGAAACATGTAATGAGTCTTTGTCTGCATCGCTGTATACAGCAACAGTCCTGATCCCTAGGCGACGAGCGGTACGTATGACACGACAGGCTATCTCACCTCGGTTAGCAATGAGGATCTTATCAATGTGCTGAACACCTGTAAAGAAATCAGAAAAGTAACCTCCAATTTAATGTATATAGTTATATTGAATAATTTCTCTAACTTTGGAAGATTTTGACATTTGACCTTGAAAGTAAATCAAGGTCATTTATTTCAACAACTTTGACAACCTTCTGTTCAAGTGCAGCTAGCAGACAAATATTGTGACTCTTGGCCTTGTAGATCTGCAGGAGAAATTTGAGGTTTGGAATGCAATAGATACTTGTGACTTTACATAAGAATAAATACCTAGCTATTTGAACAAACTTTATATCCTCTAGCAAAGCAAGCTAGATGACAGAAAGAAAGACTCCACACCTCAAGATTATGTAGATTAAGTCATTTGTTAGACCAGTATACCTTGATTTTTTTTCAAATGGCCATTCATATCTATAAACACATCTGAGAGTCCTTCACCCTAACAAGCTACAGTAGATATGTAATGACACCTTATTTATAATAAGCCTTATGGTTTGATAGATATTGACTAAATAACAATGAAAAATTACAAAACCTCATAGACACTGTGCCATAAATACTGAAGATTTGGATGAGCTGTATTTGTCCTTGTACTCACCATCTGTGGAGTGATGTTGTCTAGTGATATTCTGTTTTCCTCTGTAATATAAAAAGAGGTACATTATTCTGGTAAATGTATACATTACCATGATGCTAGCATTCAAACTGACATTTTTTTTCTCCTTTGCCTTTAAAACTAAATTCACCATACACTTCTATGCTACTCTAATGTTACATGTCTAAGGTTTGCTGCAAGATAACATGATTATTTCCAAAAGTAATTTCTGTTTCTCATCCAAATGAAAACAGTCCACATTAACTAAAACCTCCTCTTTGGGTGATCTAGCTGTTATATTTGACTGTGTATGATCCGATGAAGTGGGCTGACAAAGTAAGCTTCATAGGTAACAAACAAAAGGCGATGATATAACACGGGTGTCAATCTTCAGACCCCTTTTAATAGACTATATTACCACAGGAGTCTGAAATAGTTAGAAATAATGTTATTTTAATCGTCGTCAGAAAGCTACGTTATCGCAGCTGCCCCCACCCCCACACTTAAGTCCGATCACTTCATTATCTAAAATGAACTTCAGTAATCGACAGGTACAGACCCCGTACAGTGCCAATGGTAGGAGGCTTCAAGGCTGCTGTAACGCGTATGTTACAAAGTTACAATATGATATCATCGTATGTCTGCGAGGGGCATCAGAATGTAAACAAATCGTAACCAGTGTGTTAAAGTTAGGGTCATGTCATATTACATTTTTTGCGACTTTCTCCAATAAGCAAATCGTATACGTGACGCAAATAGAAGTGTTTTTGTATTAGGTTTGTTAAGCTCATTTGCAAGTTGTAATCAAGCTGACAACCTGATATATTGACTAAAAAGTCTTTGGAGTGTCCTTCGACTTGGTAGGCTGGCCATTTTGGTTTGAAATTTGTTGTGATATAAGCGGCTTACTTCTGTATCCAACAGAAGCTTAGATATTTACGGTTAATTCTACAAAGGCATCGTTTTTATTGATAAAATTGACAATGACATCTAATTAATTGGAAACTTATAATCAAATAATGGATAAAAGTAACGTGGATGAACTGATTTTTTTTTCAATTTTCTTTGACGTAAGCATTTAGACAATCAAGCATTTGTTTGACCTGGACTGTGGAGATTCAGCTGCTGCAACTGAAGAAGGAGCGCATCATAGATTTCTTTTTATAAATCATATGTTAACGTATTCAATGAACATGCGAAAGTTGATGCCGATATGTATTGAAATAGACATATTTGTCTTCTTATTAAGTAATCAAACAAATTGCAAATAGTCTAATTGTAAAACAAACTTGTGACATCATATGCATTACATAGTTGATTAGCCTACTGACCGACACATTAAATATTGATAATTTTATTTCGAGTACATATTCTGTGAGTTTTAGAACTTCAATTTTAAATTAATGTTTCAGAATTTGATTTCATGTGAAAATTGCATATGTATATTTAAGTTAAAGCCTGTATCTATTGTGAATGGTACTCTATTTATAATTCTGAACTGCATCACATGTGGACATGTCTAAAACTAATTTGACAGTGAAAGAATCGGAATTGAACATTAGTTCCATGTTGGAGAGATTGTTATTCATGGGATCATCCTTATTGGAAGTGAACAGGTGGGTAGTTGTGATACTGTTTTCATTGAGCTTCATCTATCTTTGGAAGAGGAGAAGTAAAACTAACTACCCACTTGGACCAAGGAAACTCCCTTTTGTTGGGTCCATTGATTACTTCAGATCAAAATCGCATCTAAGATTGACAAATCTAAAGGACCGGTATGGTGATATATACAGTATCAAGACAGGCAATTACAACACAATAGTTGTTTGTAGTCTAGGAGGAATATTGGAGGGTCTTTCAGCTGGCCAAGAGCTTTTTTCTGGAAGGCCAGACTTCAAATCAAATGACTTATTATATTTAGGAAACCGCCAAAGAGGTATGTTATAGGACCTGGTAGAACTTGAAAAAAGAATTCTTATTCTGAAGACTTTTGATAAAAGAAAAAAAAAGTAACGAAGAAATAATCCTGCATGAATAACAGATCGACAGAATAATTTGACATAGTGATGTTCATTTCTCTGGGTTTTTTATGAAACATTATCTGACTCTCAGAATTAATCCAGATTCTCATTACATATTTTAAAACTATAGTTATATGCTAGTGTACTTGTATTTTCATGTTCAGATGTACCTCAAAAATCACTGATGTCTCACTCTGAAACAAAGTTTAGTTTGAAAAGGAGCAGTTGATCAAATGTACAATTTCCACCAATTAATCTAAACTATGAAAGGTAATGTTCTTATCTATTGTTTTTTTTCTTCATTTATAGGGATAGCAACAGCAGATCTGGGTTCAAAAACGAAAGTGAAGCGTCAATTTGTTCAGGACAGCATGGATAGCTATTGCTGCGCAGCAGATAATTGTGTTGAACAGAAAATAACAGACGAAATTATGAGTCTTATTTGTTACTTTCTTCAACAATCTGATCAGATCAAAGAATTTGACCCAGCAGAATGTTTTAAATTTGCTCATCTTCACATCATGTTAAAACTTGTGTTTGATGAACCGTACAGTCCAGATGATGACACCGTGGATGAGATGTTTGATTGCTTAGACTTGAGATTCTCTGCAGAAAAAAGAAAACTTAGCGATTATTTTCCTATCCTTGCAACATTTAGTGATGATGAGTTTAAAGAAATGGGCGAAAAAAGCCTGAATTTATTGAAGCATCTCCGTCATTACTTAAACAAGCACAAGGACACGTATCATCCCAGTATCATACGAGATACTGTGGACCAACTCCTGTTATTTCTGGAAAATGATGAAGATAATGGTGAAATTGAGACTGAGGATATTGATTATCTTCTCCTGACTTTAATGAGTTCAGGGTTTGGGGCAGTTCCAGCTCTGCTGACTTGGTTGTTAGGATATATGGTGGCCTTTCCAGAGATCCAAATAAAAGTACAGAAAGAATTGGATGAGGTTGTTGGGAGAAAGCGTTTCCCTAATTTATCTGATCAGCCATATTTACCCTACACAACAGCTGTGATAATGGAGGTACAACGAATTGTAACCCTATTTCCTTTCCTGTTACCTCACAGAACCATGGACAGTTGCATATTCCAGGGTAAAAATTTTTGTTAGAAATATACAAAATGTATTATAATTGGTAGAGTATACACTTGTCTGTATGTTGAATAATCATATAACATGTATGTCCATACTTTGAGCTATATTTAGTATTACACAAATTTTCAGAGGTAGAGCTTTCAGTTGTTGGTACAAAGGTACAGAGTGCTTATTTCATGATGAAGCTGAAGTACATGTGTATACACAACTTACTTTGTATGTGATGTCTACATGAATTATAATTAACTGTTCAGACTTTTTAAACTGCTCATTGAAGGCCTAAACAAATGAAGCATTTCAAGATTCACTTTCAAAATAATTTAATGTCATTAGGTGGATAAGGGAATACTTATATTTTATGAAATACTTAACAAAAGCTATAATTAATTTAGCATTACTTAACCTGTTTAAATAGGCTGAAGTGGAATAGAAAAAATGGCTTTCAAAAGCATATGCTTTATAGGAAAACCATAAAACTGTTTAACTTTTGGCCTAGTTGAACTACCAATTTAACATTTATTCTAAATGGTTCTCTTGCTTTTGTATAGGGTATGACATCCCAAAGGATACACTGATGCTGTTTAATGTCTGGAGTGTACACCATGACAACAGATATTGGAGAAACCCCGTACGGTTTGACCCCAACAGGTAGGTACACAAGGTAGTCGTACACATATCATATAATTCTGTACACCAGTAATAATAAAATTTCAATCTTGTGTTCTTCTCCTGTTTACTTTAAGAATTTCCATTATATTTATCTTGACATTTGGAACATTATTTTTAAATGCAACTTTAATCTATGTTTTTTCCTTAATGCCAAGAGAAGTTCTAAGTATTGTCTTTTATTTATGGTCTTTTAATTTTTCATTAGTGAACTTTTTCATGAAATTCAGGAAGACATATTATATCCCATTGAATTGGTAATTGGGTATAAAATTGACCCCCAAATTGATAGTGGAAAGAAAAGCAATTGACATCAAAACATATACAGTCGAACCTCGTTATCTCGAAGTCGACAGGATAGTTGGGAAACTTCGAGTTATCCGAGTATTCGAGTTAAGCGAGTCCCTATGGTTGGCATAAAGCTTGGTAACACGTTTGGTCCAATATGAGGCTATATATGTCATTGATTTCTCTGACAATCAGTCGATAAATGACAAAAAGATAACTAAATAAAATAAAAAATAACAACTTATTCATTATCATATTCATTAATTAATTAATGTTACAATAAACACACATTCTGTCTCCGACCTCGTGCTATGCTGATAGAAAATTGGATTGCTCAGTTGATTTCGACATTCCGAAATGGGTATGAGTTAATCGGGAAACATATCCACATTTATAGACCCCAATGACACTTGACATCTCCTCAACATCTCCTCAACACGATGTAGTCAACAATAATTATCGTATTGTTCCTATTATCTCTCAATTAATTATCAGTGCCATACAAGCTCCTGTAAAAACATAAACCAACGAACCAGTCCTAGGTTAAGATTTTTACTGTGGAGCTTATTTACACATGACCGCACACTGTGACCCATTTTCTGGTTAGAAAAGTGCCTTACGGGCTCGCAGTAAGTACTAATTGTTGTAAACCAACATTGATGAAGTTTGTTTCTTTATTTGTACAAAGTATTTTTACAGTCAAACACATTTTAATGCCATAAGTTTAATCGAAGTAATTATGACCGAGCGTAAGCTGCTCATTTAGAACTATGTTTACCGTAGCACTGCGTCAAATATGTATCAAATAATTAAAGAATATATGATAGACTTGTGAATCTTAAGAAACGTTGAGTTAGGAGATATTTTTATGTAGGATTTACGTTGTTGGGACCGATGTTTCACTTCAGGATATCCAAGTTTTTCGTGTTTTCAGAGTTCGATTTATTCGATTTAAAAATTGCATACATTAGAATTGAATTTGCCAATATGGGGATCCTTAACTTGGAAGTTTTCACTTTTATCTTGAAGATAAATAACCTTGAAAACAAAGCACCAAAACTAACAAGTTTCCACTGAATACATTACATTTTGTGTTTTGTAGGTTTTTAAATGACAGTGGAGCATTGTCAATCCCTGATTTCTATCTGCCTTATGGGACTGGTGAGCGACGGTGTCCGGGGGAAAGTCTCGTTGACGTGGAAGCTTTCCTGTTTTTTACGCACCTCCTACACCAGCTGACATTTACACGTGGATCCCAGATCCCAAATCTGGAGGGAGAATACAATTATGTCATTAGTCCTAAGCCTTTTAAAATCACACTCGAAACCAGGGATTAAAAATACATGTTATGCTATTTATGTTGACCGAACACATTCAAGGTCTTGTTCTTCAAAGACTTCAAGTTGTCAGTTAATTGAGTCAGTAACAAACATTTTGAAATAGGATATTTCAGAAACATCATGGAAAAATCTCAAACTTTTGTGTTTCTTTACTCGAGATAAGCTTTTGGAATGCCTATGCATACATATGCATACATTTGGCTCTGTTTGATTATTTTTGGAAATATATTTGATATTTTAATTATTTGAGTAGACTTTTTGTAAAGTTAACCATGTTTAAACACTGGACCATGTTGTGTTTTATATTAGTGTGAATTGTAATTAGTGACCCACCAGACACCCACCTTGTAGTAAGTCTGAAGAATTTCAGAGCTTATCTTTTTGAATGAATTGTTGTCATAATATTTTTTTCTATTTTCACACCAAATTCCCCAAAAGCTTTTGGTAATTTTTGTATGCAGCCATAAAAATAAAATAGATTTGAAATGCACCCCCAATGATATTAGACATTGCATTACACATTGATTCTGACATTGCATGACAATGGTTTGACATCATAACGGGCATGCATGGCATAACACTAGTACATGTCATTTTTGTACACATGCGTTAGCATACTACGAAAATTGCTTAACGTAGAATTGCACATTTGACACTAGCGACATCTATTTCCTTAAATGGAGTCCCTCTCCTTATAAGGAATCTGATATCTTTATATGGAATCCCATTCATTATTTTTATTATTTATATGCAAATCCTTTTGCTGCGACACATAGCGGTTTCTGATAACATTTCATTCACAAAATAATGACACCATTTTTTGGTTAACCAACGAATAGAAGCGAATGGTTTCCTCTGACCCGCTTACTGTAGTTATCGTTGTGTCTGCTGGTGAGTGTTGAGTTAAAAGTTTTGTGCAATATGTATATATAGCTGACATAGAAATATACTCTGTTACATACCCTTTTGTAACTCTTTTCATTGGGACAACTTTATATAAAACAAGGCTACCAAGAAGCAGTACATAATATGCCTGGCATGTACCAAGTAAACAGTTGTTTGTAGGATTGAAACATATAACACATTTAGAGGTTTTTGAACAGATGTTAAAGGAGAAATCGTTTTTGACTACTGGTAGATGAATAGGTGGAATACTTTGTTATGGAACACATCAGGAATATGGCACCAAGAGGAATGATACTTCGTAAATTGTCATTATATAAGCAAATCCCATAAAACCCGCTAGGTTTTATGGTAGATTTGCCAGAGGCCACTTGTAATTATATCAACAATAATTACATCCAGACAACCAGGGTTTTATGGGATTTGCCAGAGGCCACTTGTAATTATATCAACAATAATTACATCCAGACAACCAGGGTTTTATGGGATTTGCCAGAGGCCACTTGTAATTATATCAACAATAATTACATCCAGACAACCAGGGTTTTATGGGATTTGCCAGAGGCCACTTGTAATTATATCAACAATAATTACATCCAGACAACCAGGGTTTTATGGGATTTGCCAGAGGCCACTTGTAATTATATCAACAATAATTACATCCAGACAACCAGGTATTTTTTATATTTACATATTTTCATTTTTTAAGACATATTCCTATTAAAACCATTTGCCCTGCCTCAAAATACATTTCAGGCGGCCATTTTGTTTGTTTACATATGTACATATTCCTACACCTGAAACAAGCAGTTGTAATTATAGTCGAGCAGTTGTAATTATAGCCTATATAATTACACTTGCCCTAACACTGTTGTAATGGGACGGCGCGGGGGCAAATGTAAATATAACAACGTTATCTGAGATTTTATGGCAATTAACCTTCAAGTTGTTAGAAAAATTGAAGGTTAACAGTTAATTATAGTACAAAATATCAAAAAGACACTGTTATCTACATTGTAGGGACCATCACTCCAAAACGTACGGTCTGATAATAGTTGTTCTTAAACTTGTCCCAGCTTTTATGGTACAATGTAAATAGCCTTGTCATGAAGTTTGAAGTTAATTTATTAAATATGACAAGAGACATTTAGCAGACACCCTAAACCAAGGGACATAACTCCATTATTTATAGTCAAATAATAATTATTACCAGGTAGCTGTACACCAAGGGACATAACTCCATTGTTTATAGTCAAATAATTGCAAATGCTGTACACCAAGGAGCATACAACCATTATTATTAATTACAGTTAAAAAAATATTTAGCAGAGTTTCCAAAGCATTTTTGATATTAAACCTTGTTATAAAGTTTGAAGTAAATAATATTGCAAGATGTAACAGAAACGAGGGAAATTAAGGGTCCATAACTTGAAAAAAATAATTAATTGGATGAAATGGTTAGTGGTTGTTGAACTTTTCCGATAGTATGTAGAACTTTTTGAGTTCCAGAGAAATGCTTCACTTCAGTTTTTAAGTACATGTACATGTGACTTATTTGACTTTAGAAGCAATATTTCATGGTTGTGCAATTTAACACTTATACAAACAACAGTATATTTATGATGTTGAAACTGTGTATGTGATAATTTTACTTAATGTTGATCATATTATAAACTTGCTAAATAAAAAAAAAATGCATAGTGAAAGGAATCATGAGAATGGTCTTGCTGGTATGTTTTGGTGCGGGATATTGGCTGATTTATGTTAGAAAACAACAACCAATTTGTATTGCTTTGATGGTACATGTACAGCAACATGTTGCTCAGTACAAAGATAATTAATAATTTATCATATTTATGATGTTTTAAATTTATTTAGAATCTCATTAAAAACATGATGTTTTGTGAAATTATATAAGTTTAAGGATTTTGAATCTCTTTTTTGATGCAAATAAATATTTAAAATAATTTTGAGTGGTTTGTATGATTTCTGGTTTGTTATTTAAAAGTGAGTGAAATTATTGACATTATTAAGGAATGTTTATTTTTGTTATCTGTAATGTGGTCTTCGGGTTGGTTTCACCAAAATAAACAATGTCAACTATTATTTAAAATCCTGTTTAACACTCTGACACAAATCGTTTCTGACGTTGGTAGTGCGGAACTATGCCTATTAAAACCATCCATGCCCAGCCTTTTATGAAAATCATTATGCTCATACATGATTCAATTTTCTTATAACTCAATGAAATCATGCGATACGACCGAAAAGGTCTACGATATTGAAGACAGTTCGGCTTCAAACAATTTAATTTGAATAATTAGATAATAGAATAAGGATCTGAGCTCGAACACAGAATCTGGGTTGGTGTATAATAATAGGGTTTTAAAGTGTAAAGGCTTCAGAACTTATGCCTGACTGGAAACTGGTTCAGTTGCACTTTAATTTTCGTTTATTTTTTAATTGTGTATCCCTTGAGTTTATTAACGTGACACAAATACTTCAATAGATTTTCCGGTAACATGTTACGAAAGAAAAGACTTTCTATATTACTTTGCCATATATGTTCCCTGCCGCGATTCATTGACTAGTGATACACCAGTTTGTGAAGTTTTTCTTGGAAAACATTTTCAATCTTTCTGATGTCATTTTTTCGACAAGGTTGCAATTATTTGACACTTGACCAGTAACCGTACCGCGTGACGTTAACCTTGCCACCATATCACGCATGGGAATGACCCCAGAAAACACTGATACACGAGTTGTACGGGACACGCTGCTCAAACATGATATACATTTAACCATGAAGATTCGTCAGAACACAATATTTATTGTTGGGCTACAGGCTAACATGAAACTAATCTGACATTTAACATTTTTCTGTGAACTTTACCCACTGATGTACACCAGGATTACTTATCAAGCTTTTCTGAAGTTATGGCATGAACAAGAATTTACAAAGATATATGACCTTTGATCCAGTTGTTGTGACCTTGTTTTCGGGATATGACCCTCGGAGGTGTACGCACCACGAAAGCTAATACATCCGTCTATAAAGACTCATACAAGATTAGAAAATGATACCGAGCCGTACATAAGTTAAAGCCTGGACAAATGTGATAATGATTTGTCCATTTAACCCTTCCTATAAATTAAGCTTCACCTTTGGCTATGGACCCTGTCGTGATATACCTGGTATTTATGCAAAATGTTACACAAAGATAAGGGAAGTTCAGAATTAAGTTATGGTAAGAGGCGGACAAGAATATAAATCGAATGGACGGGCAAATATATAATCCATCCTATAATTAGAATATAACCGCTCACCGGAATATTATATTGATTATGGTTTTTAATGACGAAGAAATTATTGATTATTATGATATCAACACAATCAAGAGAGTGTGGGACCTTACTCGTTCTTATCTTGGGACGTGTTTATGTGAGGGTATAATATTTGGATATTGTATGGCTATTCTCTTTCAATTGGTCACTTTTGCAGTCGGTCATTTATTGCGTCATACTACTTGAATACCTACTTATCCAACGGTAACCCTGATAATATTATCCACACTAGACAGGTGGAGTTAAACAACAGGGGTACAATGTCTTGTTGAATGACAAACAAGCAACGTATCCAAACTTACGACCTTGTGATCAAGACACCGTGGCATTACCAACTGTGCCACGCTGCGTTACCGGAGTATTCGTATTAAATATCCCCAGATTGTGCTGTTAACCTGATCACTAGTACCAAATATGATTGCGGTTAAATCACCTCGCATTCACGGTTAAGAAATATCTAGATGTGAATAAAACCTGGTAAAAAATAGTTTATATTTTCTCAGTCACGTCCATTAACCTACATAATAAGAGTGCATTTTATGTTGTTGAGTGTCCCATCTAGACGATAAAGAATACTTTTTTCGCGGCCCAACGTCCCAGCGTATGTGTGTAGGTACGAAAATGTGTATATGTGTCGTGGTCTGAAGACAATTCACATCTATGCTCACGAAATCAGTTATCACGTGTATATATATATAACTTTGCAATTAAAGGTTTGATTCCGTCTGCGATTAAACTGATCACATATCTACCAGAAGATATACAATAACATATACATATTTGGCCATCATGTAATGGATATTTTGTCAATAATTAATGTATTTTGTATTTAAAATATCAGTGTGTAATTTGCCGCGGAAATATGAGCTGCAAAATAAAAATGGATCTAATATATCAGTTGTATAAAAACCTAGAGAAATATTTAGTACAGGGTGATGTTTGTAAGTAAAACATGTCCCGACTGCGGCTAGCTATTGGTATGAAATTGTATGACAGAACAAAAGACATGTCATCTAGAAAAATATACGAAGGCAAAGCAAGTATTGAACTAACAATAATTAATTTGGTAGACATAGTGAAATGGTGATTTCTGTATACCTTGACTTTTCACTTAAAATCCTTGACCTTAAACACATTATCCTTGACCTTCGAAACACAATCATTGACATTTAACACATTATCCTTGACCTTAGCCACACAAGCATTGACATTTAACACATTATCCTTGACCTTAGACACACAATCATTGACATTTAACACATTATGCTTGACCTTAGCCACACAATCATTGACATTTGACACATTATCCTTGACCTTAGCCACACAACCATTGACATTTAACACATTATCCTTTACCTTAGCCACACAATCATTGACATTTAACCCATTATCCTTTACCTTAGCCACACAATCATTGACATTTAACACATTACCCTTGACCTTCGACACATAATCATTGACATTTAACACATTATCCTTGTCCTTAGCCACACAATCATTGACATTTAACACATTACCCTTGACCTTCGACACACAATCATTGACATTTAAAACATTATCCTTGACCTTAGCCACACAATCATTGACATTGACCACAGTATCATTGACCTTCGACACACAATCATTGACATTTAAAACATTATCCTTGACCTTAGCCACACAATCATAGACATTTAACACATTATCCTTGACCTTCGACCCACAATCATTGACATTTAACACATTATCCGTGACCTTCGACACACAATCATTGACATTTAACACTTTATCCTTGACCTTCGACACACAATCATTAACTTAACCCATTATCCTTGACCTTCGACACACAATCATCTACATTTAACACATTATCCTTGACCTTCGAAACACAATCAATGACATTTAACACATTATCCTTGACCTTAGCCACACAACCATTGACATTTAACACATTATCCTTTACCTTAGCCACACAATCATTGACATTTAACACATTATCTTTGACCTTAGCCACACAATCATTGACATTTCACACATTATCCTTGACCTTAGCCACACAATCATTGACATTTAACACATTATCTTTGACCTTAGCCATACAATCATTGACATTTAACACATTATCCTTGACCTTCGACACACAATCATCTACATTTAACACATTACCCTTGACCTTCGACACACAATCATTGACATTTAACACATTATCCTTGACCTTCGACACACAATCATTGACATTTAACACATTATCCTTGACCTTAGCCACACAATCATTGACATTTAACACATTATCCTTGACCTTCGACACACAATCATTGACATTTAACACATTATCCTTGACCTTCGACACACAATCATTGACATTTAACACATTATCCTTGACCTTAGCCACACAATCATTGACATTTAACACATTATCCTTGACCTTCGACACACAATCATTGACATTTAACACATTATCCTTGACCTTCGACACACAATCATTGACATTTAACACATTATCCTTGACCTTAGCCACACAATCATTGACATTTAACACATTATCCTTGACCTTCGACACACAATCATTGACATTTAACACATTATCCTTGACCTTCGACACACAATCATTGACATTTAACACATTATCCTTGACCTTAGCCACACAATCATTGACATTTAACACATTATCCTTGACCTTCGACACACAATCATTGACATTTAACACATTATCCTTGACCTTCGACACACAATCATTGACATTTAACACATTATCCTTGACCTTAGCCACACAATCATTGACATTTAACACATTATCCTTGACCTTCGACACACAATCATTGACATTTAACACATTATCCTTGACCTTCGACACACAATCATTGACATTTAACACATTATCCTTGACCTTAGCCACACAATCATTGACATTTAACACATTATCCTTGACCTTCGACACACAATCATTGACATTTAACACATTATCCTTGACCTTCGACACACAATCATTGACATTTAACACATTATCCTTGACCTTAGCCACACAATCATTGACATTTAACACATTATCCTTGACCTTCGACACACAATCATTGACATTTAACACATTATCCTTGACCTTCGACACACAATCATTGACATTTAACACATTATCCTTGACCTTAGCCACACAATCATTGACATTTAACACATTATCCTTGACCTTCGACACACAATCATTGACATTTAACACATTATCCTTGACCTTCGACACACAATCATTGACATTTAACACATTATCCTTGACCTTCGACACACAATCATTGACATTTAACACATTATCCTTGACCTTCGACACACAATCATTGACATTTAACACATTATCCTTGACCTTCGACACACAATCATTGACATTTAACACATTATCCTTGACCTTCGACACACAATCATTGACATTTAACACATTATCCTTGACCTTCGACACACAATCATTGACATTTAACACATTATCCTTGACCTTCGACACACAATCATTGACATTTAACACATTATCCTTGACCTTCGACACACAATCATTGACATTTAACACATTATCCTTGACCTTCGACACACAATCATTGACATTTAACACATTATCCTTGACCTTAGCCACACAATCATTGACATTTAACACATTATCCTTGACCTTCGACACACAATCATTGACATTTAACACATTATCCTTGACCTTCGACACACAATCATTGACATTTAACACATTATCCTTGACCTTAGCCACACAATCATTGACATTTAACACATTATCCTTGACCTTCGACACACAATCATTGACATTTAACACATTATCCTTGACCTTCGACACACAATCATTGACATTTAACACATTATCCTTGACCTTAGCCACACAATCATTGACATTTAACACATTATCCTTGACCTTCGACACACAATCATTGACATTTAACACATTATCCTTGACCTTCGACACACAATCATTGACATTTAACACATTATCCTTGACCTTAGCCACACAATCATTGACATTTAACACATTATCCTTGACCTTCGACACACAATCATTGACATTTAACACATTATCCTTGACCTTCGACACACAATCATTGACATTTAACACATTATCCTTGACCTTAGCCACACAATCATTGACATTTAACACATTATCCTTGACCTTCGACACACAATCATTGACATTTAACACATTATCCTTGACCTTCGACACACAATCATTGACATTTAACACATTATCCTTGACCTTAGCCACACAATCATTGACATTTAACACATTATCCTTGACCTTCGACACACAATCATTGACATTTAACACATTATCCTTGACCTTCGACACACAATCATTGACATTTAACACATTATCCTTGACCTTAGCCACACAATCATTGACATTTAACACATTATCCTTGACCTTCGACACACAATCATTGACATTTAACACATTATCCTTGACCTTCGACACACAATCATTGACATTTAACACATTATCCTTGACCTTAGCCACACAATCATTGACATTTAACACATTATCCTTGACCTTCGACACACAATCATTGACATTTAACACATTATCCTTGACCTTCGACACACAATCATTGACATTTAACACATTATCCTTGACCTTAGCCACACAATCATTGACATTTAACACATTATCCTTGACCTTCGACACACAATCATTGACATTTAACACATTATCCTTGACCTTCGACACACAATCATTGACATTTAACACATTATCCTTGACCTTAGCCACACAATCATTGACATTTAACACATTATCCTTGACCTTCGACACACAATCATTGACATTTAACACATTATCCTTGACCTTCGACACACAATCATTGACATTTAACACATTATCCTTGACCTTCGACACACAATCATTGACATTTAACACATTATCCTTGACCTTCGACACACAATCATTGACATTTAACACATTATCCTTGACCTTCGACACACAATCATTGACATTTAACACATTATCCTTGACCTTAGCCACACAATCATTGACATTTAACACATTATCCTTGACCTTCGACACACAATCATTGACATTTAACACATTATCCTTGACCTTCGACACACAATCATTGACATTTAACACATTATCCTTGACCTTAGCCACACAATCATTGACATTTAACACATTATCCTTGACCTTCGACACACAATCATTGACATTTAACACATTATCCTTGACCTTCGACACACAATCATTGACATTTAACACATTATCCTTGACCTTAGCCACACAATCATTGACATTTAACACATTATCCTTGACCTTCGACACACAATCATTGACATTTAACACATTATCCTTGACCTTCGACACACAATCATTGACATTTAACACATTATCCTTGACCTTCGACACACAATCATTGACATTTAACACATTATCCTTGACCTTCGACACACAATCATTGACATTTAACACATTATCCTTGACCTTCGACACACAATCATTGACATTTAACACATTATCCTTGACCTTCGACACACAATCATTGACATTTAACACATTATCCTTGACCTTCGACACACAATCATTGACATTTAACACATTATCCTTGACCTTCGACACACAATCATTGACATTTAACACATTATCCTTGACCTTCAACACACAATCATTGACCTTTAACACATTATCCTTGACCTTCGACACACAATCATTGACATTTAACACATTATCCTTGACCTTAGACACACAATCATGCATGTCGTACGTGAAATAGTAGCTTAATTACGTATGCATATAACCTCTTCGAAAATCTGGCATCACTAAATTGAAGAGGTGATGTCAATTCGTTTTGATTTAATTACATCATATTCCGAATAGGTAATATCACGTAAACGTTAACGGTTTGATACTTTATCTAGAATCTGGCATTACTGCGTTTGGCGATATATTGAGGACATTTTGTGACCTCCACAGGACTACGTCCTGAGTGGTACAAAGGAATGTAACATGACCTGCATGATTACATAAAGGAGAAGATGCTTACGCTTTCGGAACGCATGGTCTTATTCTCCTTGTACCTTTTCAATGATCTCCATTCGTTCATTTGTTCATATTTTCCCTAGTTTTATTGTTCAAATTATGTTTTTGTTAACAATTGGGTAACCTCTTGTTATTTGTGGGGATTCTACATAAAACGAAGCAATACAAATGTCACGCCGTACATTAACACATTGAAGCCTAAGTTGATGGAGTATTCGTAAACAACATTAAATTAACCTTTTAAAGCATTCAATTTCAAACTAAATATTTAATGCTATTTATACACATGGTATAGGAGACACGCTTATATCTGTATATATCAAACATCCAGACAGTCGCGTTATAAAATAGTGTACACAGTGACCTACATAATATATATATATTATAAATCTAAACGAAAGGCCAGTGTGAATTAATATAATCTGTCGCAACACCCACATTCTCTGATATAGTGAATGGTCCTGGATTTTTATTTCGTATATCAGGTTACTAGATCGCACTTAATTGTGTCCAGGGTTGAGGTGAGATAAATATATATACATCAGGTTGCTGTCGGCGAGATAAGACCATGGTCGGATTGACCAGTGGCCTGTCAGTGAGTTAGCTATGAAATTTGTTAGGGAGATAGACCAAAGATTTGATGGTGAGGAAACCAACGATTTGTGATTACATGTAGCTAAAGACGTGAGCGAAACCAAAGACTTGCTGGTGAGGGAGACCAAAAGCTTGGTGGTGAGATATATCAGATTCCATAAAAAAGCTTCGAATGAGGTTAACAAGATACAAGATAATTAATCATTTTCAGTGAAGATTGTTCTTGCGCAGACTTAGGCTTGTCTGATAGAAAGATATACCGGTGAGTTAATTACACGATATATTTATCGGTGCGACACTGCAGACCTCTGACAATATGATTACTTTCATTCTTATCAGCGTTGTTGTTGGACTTCTCATGTTTATGACGTCATTTTGGAAACTCTTCTCCAAAAAAAGTAATTTACCACCAGGCCCAAAACCTAGACTGATCTTTGGAAACGAAATTTTATTCAAGAAGGACCCCAAGGGTTATCTGGAACTGACCAAATTGGCTGAAACCTACGGTGATGTGTATACATTGTACTGCGGTTCGACTGTCATGATCATCGTGAACGGGTACGACGCCATACATGAAGCGTTTGTGAAGAAAGCAGACGTGTTCACAGATAGACCTCAGCTCTTCGTACCCCTGGTCGGCGTCTCCAGAGGAACAGGTGAGTACAGTTTATATTGATCTACATTTACCGTAAGGATATGCTTTATTTCGTTGTGATTACATTTTCACATGTATTCGTTAAGTGTTAGAACAATGACTAATACGCGTTTATGTATAATATCTTATTGATTTGACTACAACCACGTACCATCACATATTCAAATATCATAACGTTTTCATGCGCTCAAAACAAAACAAAATCCCGGTTATTGTCACAGGATAAATAGAAACTGAAGAAATACACTTACGATATTCCCAAAATATGGGTTAACTGCTGCCGTTAGCTGATAGCTTTATATGCCGAAACCAAGTAACATCAATTTTACTATCTAGTTATTATTCTAAACGATGCAAGGACGAGTTTGTGACAATGATATTAACCGGAATCTGATTATTAACCATATACGTTTATTTAATCATAACATATAAACTTGTCATTGAAGTGATGTGATAAGATCCATGTAATGGTTCGTCCACTGGTTTTTCCCCGCTGATTATATTCTTGATAATTATATTCAGCCAATATTCAGAGACCACCATCCAAGTTGTACGTCTGTTATTGACCTGATGTTATATCATGCTATTATGCAGTAAAGCTGGAGGATTAAATGGGTTTGCTGGTCAGATGTTTCTGCATGTTACCTTCAAAAAATATATGGAAAAGACATTTTTTGCTGTGAAATACAAGTGAAATATGTATTTGAAATTGTATCTATACAATTATTCGCATCCGTTTTTGTGCATATTTGAAAAATATATTTCAGTAAGTAGACACTTTCGATTTGCAATAATCCAGTTTTGAACTACTATACAGGTTTAACATACAACAGCGGCCAACCATGGAAAACGCTGAGGAGATTCACGCTCCAGACACTCAGAGATTTTGGTGTAGGGAAGAAATCTCTAGAGGAGAAAATTCAAGAGGAAATTTCAGTCGTCATGGAAACATTGATTTCATCCAATGAGAAGCCAGTGCGGATGAAGCCATGCCTTCTATCAGCGGCCACTAACATCATTTGTAGTGTAATGTTTGGGGAAAGGTATATATTTTCGATCATTGAATGCTGTACAGGATTTATCAGAAGATAATTACAGAAACACAAACTGTGTAATCAGGCAAAATATTCAAATGAATATGTGGTCGTTATAGTAGGCCTGTATTCATGAGACCGTTCTTATGCCCAAACTCAAGTATTGCGCTCAAGCACACTTTCTTGTTTCTGTGATAAATTAATTAAAAAAAAAATCTCTCTCAATAATATGGAAGAATTTTGGAGAGACTTCACGCCGAGAACTGTTTTTTCATACTTACACTTGACTTTTTGGCCGTTTCACATGATTTAAGCAAGTTACAAGAAGTTGGTTTGAGTACAGAGTCCATGCTTAAGCACGAGAACGGTTTCATAAATATAGGCCCTGATTCTCTTGTTCATCGATGACGTTAAGCAAAATGTAATCGATCGTTCATGTGGAAAAACATAATGAATATTTGACACTTGGCCCATTGTCTTGACCTTTATATTATACCGTCTAGTCACAGTGCATTACAATAAAACTTCGCTACACTGCTAGCAGTTGTTCAGCGAAGGTTTGACATTATGAAAGGATTTCGTGACGTACTGATCCAGAAAGACATTAATAGCAATTTTGTCGAACAAAAGAAGAGAAAAAATGAAAACCGGACCTTGAAATATGTTGAGGGTAAAAGAGGTTACAACTAAAACAAAGGACGTAATAGCGAGCTTTTACTGTAAATGGACATTCACTAAACATGTTTGGTCAGTCCAGTTATCGGCACTGACACTTAATTGCTAGCCTCTGATCTGCAGACGAGACCATGAACTTAATTCGTGTTACGATACCGAGAGTGGTACAGTACACTTGTCCTATGAATGTTCCGGGAAAGAATAAGCCTGCTTTATCACACTGTAAGTTAACGTATGAGGTGACTAATGTGTGCAGAATTGGGGCTGTCATAGTGTCTTCCTGCTTAGGAAGCATTGAAGAAACCAAAAATAATCTGCTTCCCTCATGGAAACACTTGTACCTTTTCTGTCCTCGTCTCCCTACTCTTTCTCCGTCGGTGTTTTCCACTGGGCATATGGCCTTGGCTTTGACGAGACCAGTAAACCTTGAAATAAAATTAAACAAACAATGCACGTTTCTTTGTACAGCAATTAAGGAGATATTGTGTATGGACATAGAAACATGACGGAGCGACGAACAAATACAAGTCCTTCAACTCCCACTGAACGAGTATCGGACTAATTATAGTAAACTTGATTCAATAATTGGCATTCTCGATTCTCTTTTCTGCCGATACTGTTTCAATTCTTATCGTCTTTCACAATATCATCTTCTAGATTGTAAGTCAATAATGGTTATGCCATTTTAGATTCCACTAAACTATTTCAATAGCATACAGTTTTCAGTCAATAAACACGTACTGTTAGGTCTTATTCCAGTTAAGTATAAACTGTAAATTCCTTTACAGGTTCCAGTATGACGAAGCCAGGTTTACACAGCTGACTGGGGTCCTGGAGGAAATCTTCAAGCTCAACGCGCCTTTCGCCAAGGAGAACTTTTTCCCCATCACGAGATGGTTCCCGTCCGGCCGCCAGGTGTGTAACTCTTAAACTAACAGAGCCTTATTTTGTTTACAACCAATGGTGTGTACTGTGTGGCTTTCGTCGACCAAACTGAGAGATGTAGGAGATGAACAGCTAGTTTGGTCTTTGTTCTAACACAAAGAGGTTTAATGAACAGTGGAACCAAGTCAGTCTAAAACCCTAGTAGTGTAAAGTGTAGCTTTTGGTTTATTATAAGGACTGTTGGGACCTCCTTGCTCGAAAGCAATTAAGAGTATTCATGCTAGCGCCGCATATCTCCAAAACCGTCCGCCTGCTTGGTAACCAAACTACTCGGTAGTTGTACCTACAGGGGTAGTAATACTGGGGCCTCATTGATCCAAACCTAAGTGGTATACAGTGACCTACAGGAGTAGTAATACTGGGGCCACATTGGTCCAAAACTGAGTGGTGTACAGTGACCTAGAGGGGTAGTAATACTGGGGCCTTATTGGTCCAAAACTAATTGGTGTACAGGGACCTACAGGGGTAGTAAGACGAGGACCTCATTGGTCCAAAACGAAGTGGTGTACAGTGACCTACAGGAGTAGTAATACTGGGGCCTCATAGGTCCAAAACTAAGTAGTGTACAGTGACCTAGAGGGGTAGTAATACTGGGGCCACATTGGTCCAAAACTAATTGGTGTACAGTAACCTACAGCGGTAGTAATACTAGGACCTCATTGGTCCAAAACGAAGTGGTGTACAGTGACCTAGAGGGGTAGTAATACTAGGGCCTCATTGGTCAAAAACTACGTGGTGTACAGTGACCTACATGGGTAGTAATACGAGGGCCTAATTGGGCCAAAACTAAGTGGAGTACAGTGACCTACATGGGTAGTACTACTAGGGCCTCATTGGGCCAAAACTAAGTGGTGAACAGTGACCTACAGGAGTAGTAATACTGGGGCCTTATTGGTCCAAAACTACGTGGTGTACAGTGACCTACAGGAGTAGTAATACTGGGGCCACATTGGTCCAAAACTGAGTGGTGTACAGTGACCTACAGGAGTAGTAATACTGGGGCCACATTGGTCCAAAACTGATTGGTGTACAGTGACCTAGAGGGGTAGTAATACTGGGGCCACATTGGTCCAAAACTAAGCGGTGTACAGTGACCTACAGGGGCAGTAATACGAGGGCCTCATTGGCCCAAAACTAAGTGGTGTACAGTAACCTACAGCGGTAGTAATACTAGGACCTCATTGGTCCAAAGCTAAGTGGTGTACAGTGACCTACTGGGGTAGTAATACGAAGGCCTCATTGGTCCAAAGCTAAGTGGTGTACAGTAACCTACAGGGGAAGTAATACTGGGGCCACATTGGTCCAAAACTGATTGGTGTACAGTGACCTAGAGGGGTAGTAATACTAGGGCCTCATTGGTCCAAACTTAAGTGGTTTACAGTGACCTACAGTGGTAGTAATACTAGGGCCTCATTGATCCAAAACTAAGTGGTGTAAAGTGACCTACAGGGGAAGTAATACTAGGGCCTCATTGGTCCGAAACTAATTGGTGTACAGGGACCTACAGGGGTAGTAAGACGAGGACCTCATTGGTCCAAAACTAAGTGGTGTACAGTGGAGCCATATTAGTTTACTATTGGTGTGGCCTCCTTTACCAAAATCAAGGGTATTAACAATGAGGGCCTGATTTGTCCAAAATCAAAGGGTGTCCGGCCATTAGATCCGCGTAATTACATGATACTAATGGATGTACAGCGTGGCCTAACTAATTAAGTTGTCTAGTATGGGGGCCGTATGGGCCTCCATAACCCCAAACTATGGGTATAATTGGGTCACATTAATTCAAAACCAAGAGGTGTTGAATAGGATATTTTTAGTTCGCAACCAAGAAAGTAGTCAGACCTTGCGAGTCCAAAACGAAAGGAGTGTTGAGATTGGCATTTGCAGTCCACAATAACGCAGGCGTTAGTCTCAAAATCACCAAACCAAAGGAGTGTTTAGTTTTGCATTTTTTAGACTAAAATAAAGGTTGTTGGCCTCTAAATGCAAAGTCCAAGAAGTAAGATTATAGTTTTGTAACTTTGATTGTATGAAACCAGTGTACAGTGTTGACCTAGTGTGTCTAAAACTAAAGGCAGAGTTGCTTCTTGTTAGATATGAAATCACGTACATTAGGGGCCCGTTTGTCTGAAATATAACTTCGTTTAGGGCTTGCCCGTTGTAGCACATGGACAATGTAGTTGAGATAGAAATCGAATCCCTTAGTTCAAACCTTCTTGAAAAAGTTACCCTAAAATCTCTTTTGTCACATTTTCTATATCGCCGTCATACTCAAATTTAGACTAGTTGAAGATGGAGCTTATTTTGTAAATGATGTTTTCATCAGATTTATTTGTTTTCCTGGGACGACAACAAACATCTTCGATAGGATAATAAAATAAGGTATTTATAAATAACTGTGACATTCTGTCGCATAATTATCAAGCGGAAAACAACAGACGATGTCTGTAGTTTTGCTATGCTTGTATAGAAATGTATCCATTCGTGTAAAATCCAAAGATAGAGATTACCGAAAAACCGAAAAATTAACAGTGCCGTGAGTATAATACTCGTTTACCTAATCTCAGAACAGATACTGCACGAGTCTAACATTTTTCAAAAGTGCAAGTTGTTTGTTTCAGTTGATATCTAAACGCAGGGCGGCTATAGAGAAGGTCAAGTCCTACCTGTCTAAAACCATTACAGAACACCGAAAGACATTTGACCGCGACAACATCCGAGATTTCATAGACCTGTATCTACAAGTGTGTGAGGATAAATCCGATCCGGAACTCTACACCGGTACGTTTAGCAATATCAATTATGTCAATGCAACAAGAGATAAATACGACATAATGGATACCGTTAATAAGAACGGAAAACACACGTGTAATGTATTAAGCACCAAGCCGATTGGTACCATGGCATATCTATATATTTGCGATTAATTTGGTATATTTTCATGGCAATCGAAGAGCAGAAAAGCGAACATTTTCACACACGAAAACATGTTTCGAAATTTAGATATCTATCAAACTTTATTTATTTTACAACAATTATGAAACAAGTTATTTCAACTTATATTACTAACTCTTGTTGGCCCGGGTATTATCGCACTGGCACCTTATTGTGGGCGGACACCGGAGTATCTGGAGAACACCCACATGATAAGGCAGGTGACCCCATACCTTTTCACGTTCGTATGGGGAATCGAACCCCTGCAAATCTATCTTACCATGACATATAGTTGTATCGTTTGGTTCGTTCATGGCCTTTATATCTAAGATACTTTTACACACTAATAAAATATTTTGCAGAGTCTAACATTTACAAAATAATAGTGGACCTGTTTCTGGCCGGAGGGGAGACGACAGGAACCAGTCTTGACTGGTGTCTGCTGTACATGATCCTCTACCCAGACGTGCAAGCTAGATGTCAGGAGGAAATAGACCAGGTAACGTAAATCTTCGATACTCGAGGGGTTACGGTAACGTTCGCTCTCTTCACCCCTGTGATGGATGACATAGCAAAATTGAAAGCTCAGAGTGCACCACCTTGTGAATAAGACGGGAAGACTAGTTTGATCCTTTTATGTACATGAAAAGAATCTGGTGGTCGCGTAACGGTAAAACTTAGTGGCTTTAATGTCGGGTGTCGTTCATCTGCATTCTACAAAGGACAGGTATCATCCTTAGCGAATGGTCAGATTTTTGTTTACATGAGTCCAATCAAATAGCTAGTTGCGTGCCTTCAGTTTTGCTATGACATATTCCAGGAGTGCATAGAGCGACAGTGAGCGTAACCCTGGTGTATCGAGTATGGTAATGTACACACTAGCCTTCCCAGACATTCTGGCTAGATGCCAGGAGGAAATGTACACAATTGCGCATCTTGGTACCCTGGCTAAATGCCAGGCGGAAATAGATCAGGTTTATACTCGATCACGTGTGCACAATAACCTACTTTGAAACCCTGACAAGAACATCTTATTTATTTTCGAAATAAAATATGAAGACACTTTTTAAAATTCCTATTAATGCAAGAACATGGTTAGTTTTGCAGTTGTTGACACATTTATGCAGTTGCATGTCTAAAGTACTCAATGCAAATTTTTCTTCAGCTTCGTACTATCATTGTAGGCGGCAGAGTAGCCGTAAAACTAAATGACATATAATAAAATCGAGGTGAATCATCAGGATATGATAAATGCGCATGGTTCCAGACTCTTCCATGAAGGGTTGAACGCATGTTATGGATCTTCGTTGCATCTGTCACTTTGTACACATGATTTGCCGAGTCTAGATGACATATACCAAAAAAAAAAACCACACAAAAAAACTTGAATTTTGTTGCATGCATCAATCTTGGGAATAGCGGCTGCAATTTCCTTGTCTTCGGAAAGAAGGCCCTTGCCAAGGCTAACGAGATTTATCTGATATTTCTATGGTGGAACACAACACCTGCCAGAATGTAATCATGGCCACTGAAATGAGACACACTAGTTGTAACACTATACGCTATTCTGATCAATAGACGACTATTCACTCTTCTATCTATGTCGCCAATATCCCGTCAGATCACCTGGCAATGTTGTACGAAGCCGGTGCCTCAACCAACGCTGCAGATGCAGGGACAATAGCATGAAGGCCATAGAACCGTGCAACTGCAGGAAACCTGGCAGCAAATATCGGAACGCTTCTACTGTATCGGATTCAGATCAGGAGTACACATCTTTCTGAATAAAACAGACATTTTGCAACAAACACTTCCTTTAAATTATGTTCTGCATCTTCAATTTCAGAAGCACATCCCATTAAAATTTGTAAATACATACTTTTCAGACCAGTGGTGGTGGCGGCAATACTTTTTATTTCTCTATTAGACATCTTTTGAGCGAAGCATACGGATGAATTGAGTTAAGCAACACCCAATACCCTTAAAACTGCAAATTCCATCATGAAATAAACACGACTTCCCTTGTTTTTCTATCACCATTATAGGTGATTGGTAGAGGCCGTCCTGTGAGCCTGACAGACAGAGGGACATTGCCGTACGTCGAGGCTACACTACTGGAAGTACAGAGGATAGGCAACACATGTAAGGCTATGGTATAGTTCACGACCATCTAAAGCCAGACAATTAGCTAGATTCTACCAGATCATCCTAACTCAAAGGGGAAATGAATGAGTCTTTCTTCACAGACGATCTGCAGAAGACAGTTTGAAAGGAATGTTGTTGATTGTATATCGTACAAAAAATGCTTCTTTTGACAAGAACGATATATGCTTTATGATTATCATAATTTAATACTGTACATAACATGAAAGATTTTTGGGTTCATGCTTTATGATATCACAGTCCCTGCATGTGTACACAGGTGAAGTACGCACAATGATTACCACAGTGTGCGGTTGATGTACATTGGGTATCATCTAGCAGAATATTGACAATATTCTGACAAACACTGGATCTACTTTTTTCCGGAGAACATCTCAATATTTTTAACATTTTTATTACAGCATCTTTTCCAGTTATGCCATCATCAGTGAAATTCAAATTCAACTCCTCCACAAAAAAATATTTATGTTATTTTGGGAAATAATTTAGACATATTTCAGATGACATTCAACTTGTTTTTCCTTCGTGTAATATATACAAGCAGGAGTTTCATTTTTTCCTCATAATGGACTGTCTCCTATATGATCCGTCTATAACTGTGAGCTTTCCCCACACGTACTCATAATGGACTGTCGCCTATATGATCCGTCTATAACTTTGAGCTTTACCCATACGTACTCATAATGGACTGTCTCCTATAGGATCCGTCTATAACTGTGAGCTTTCCCCACACGTACTCATAATGGACTGTCGCCTATATGATCCGTCTATAACTTTGAGCTTTTACCACACGTACTCATAATGGACTGGCTCCTATATGATCCGTCTATACTGTGAGCTTTACCCACACGGACTCATAATGGACTGTCTCCTGTATGATCCGTCTATAACTGTGAGCTTTCCCCACACGTACTCATAATGGACTGGCTCCTATATGATCCGTCTATAACTTTGAGCTTTTACCACACGTACTCATAATGGACTGGCTCCTATATGATCCGTCTATACTGTGAGCTTTACCCACACGTTCTCATAATGGACTGTCTCCTATAGGATCCGTCTATAACTGTGAGCTTTCCCCACACGTACTCATAATGGACTGTCGCCTATATGATCCGTCTATAACTTTGAGCTTTTACCACACGTACTCATAATGGACTGTCTCCTATATGATCCGTCTATAACTTTGAGCTTTACCCACACATATTCACAAACTTGAGGCAGTAAAATAAGAATTATGACTAACTGTGATAAGATAAAAGTGAAAATACTACCATGATTCACAGTATTCATAATTCACATTTAAAAGCATGTCTGTAACTTTTCAATGTTGTTTCATTCAAATCTCCAGTAACATTCTCCTTACCACATGTGGCCAACAGAACGAGTGACCTCAGGGGCTACACTATTCCCAAAGATTCTATCATCATCGCCAATCTGTACTCCGCCCACATTGACCCGAAGTACTGGGACAAGCCTCATTCTTTCTCTCCAGAGCGCTTTCTCAATGACAAAGGAAGCATAAAGCGGAGGGATGCATTTGTTCCTTTCTCCATAGGTAAACTCACGTATATTGTGCAATTTTAATATTACTAAATTTTGAAAAGATTTTTTCTTTAGTTAATTTGTGCAGACACTCTTTCGCAAATTAATATGTTACACAAATGGTAACTCCATAGATAACAATTAGTATTAAAATCAAAATAGTATCCTTTCATTTGGGAATTCAGGTATTCACGATAAAAACATTCAGGCATAGCTCACGAAAGGAATTACACCCGAAAAATAAAGTATTTACAATATATCTGCACTTATTGCTACAGGACCCCGCCTCTGTATAGGAGAACCTCTAGCCAGGATGGAGTTGTTCCTGTTCTTCACAAATTTGCTCCAAAAGTTCCAGTTCAGCACAGCCCCAGACTCGCCCAAGCCATCAGTGGAAGGCATCCAGGCGCTCACATTGACTCCTCTACCCTATGACCTTGTGGCACGTCTTCGCTGAGTGTTAAGATATGTTCAACCTAGATCCCTACATGTAGCTTAGTTTATATAGTAATGTATTTGTGTTAAAGGATATATGTAAGTTGGACATAAGGGGCAAAACGTATGTTAAAGTGGAGGAGATATCCAGGTTCGTATAATTGGTATGTTGATCTTCCTGCCAATAAACGCCATACACTATATGTTGGATAGGTGGGGCAAAGTGCATCTTGTATAGTGAAGAAGGGATCCGTTTCTAGTATTGGGTATTTTGATATTCTGCTCATAGGGCAGAAAACATATTTAATAGAGGAGGAAGAAGCTACACTTTGAAGGAGACATTATAAATAGGACTTGTATTATCCTTGGTACATGCCAACAACACATATAGCCTTTTAACATAAGTGTTTGTACGCTAACTTCCAGGGCTTGCCTCCTCATATGTTCTCTGCACCCTGGAATATGTTGGGATGAAACGGGGGTATCTGTACGCACCACCTTGTTTATGATACAAGCCGACTACATCAAAACAATCGTACAGCAGCATAACAGTAAAATTGACCGGCTTGAAGTCGGTTGTCACTCCTTTGTAATCGTTAAAGGACAGCTATCAGCCTACTGATTGGTCAGTTTTACCCCTGAAACCAATTCAATAGCTAACTGCCTGCCATCATGTTTTAATGACATATTTCAGAGGTGCAGAGAAAGCAAGTGAGCTTAATCCCTGGTATATTTATATATATGTATGTTAATGTTATGTACACATGTGTATCACCTTATACTGTCCACTGTGCGAGATAAGATCATTTAGAAAGTGATTTCACAGCGCTATAAATACAGTACTTGTGAATATAAATCGAGCATATTAAGCAACAGTATAATAAAACAAATGTGCAAAACAAAGGTTTTTTAAGGTTTTTTTTTATCAATACGTTGTTTTATTTCAAAAATGTAAACCATTCTTTTACATATTCCAATTTTGGTAAAATACATAAAGAAAATATAATTTATTTACAATTACAATACATTCTTTTCACCAAGTAAAACTGAAATAGCAGACACTCGTATCATATACTGTTGTCATTATAATAATCATAATTCCAGTACCAGTACTGATAGAACTTTGCTCTCAGAAAGGAAGCTATAATGCTGCCATATTCCCGAATAGATGTCCAGAGTAAAACTATGTACATTATAAACGACACGTCCTGGATATATAAACCAATAAATCCACTCGTTATTGTTGGTGTCTTTCATTTCCCCATGAAATGTTGCTATGATTCTGGTGACGCGTCTTCTCACTCTGGCGTCGTGTCAGTCCAGCACCGTGGCAGCACCGTGGCAGTCCAGCACCGTGGCAGTCCAGCACCTTCAGATCTGTTTTGTTTTTGTTAATCCTAAAAAGGTATTGGTCAGTAACTAAACTTTTTATCAGAATGGACAATTTTGAAAACTCTTTCTGGTACATGTAACTGTCTTCAAAAATAAAACCGAATCGTTGCCATTTTGGGTTTGTTGTTTTGGCAATGAAATAAAATCACATCACGATTCATTTGTTGTGGATTTGTTTTTGTGTACAAGTCATCTGAACAACAGAAACTTGATTATTGTACTAAGCCAATCTGGGGTTGTTATATGATCAATTATCAGGAAATTACACCAAATGTTTGGATGGAAATTGAGCTCTTGAAATTATATACTGTTTTGCAAAGTAGCATCATTTCTGTCTTAAATAACAAATTCCATATTTAACCACAGAAAAAGTTTTAGCTAATTAACTACCAATCATAGCACATCACATAAGTAGGTATGCAGATCAATGGCCAATCAAATAACTTTGCATCCAAAGTAGGTATAGATCTCAATGGCCAATCAAATTACATCCAATGATCAACTAAATAATTTTACATCCTAAATACAAAAACATCTAAACAAGCAACAAATATGAAATTACATAAAAGCTACCATACCAGTGACCAATCAAATGATATCACACTGTAGCATTTATACATCTGATCGACCAATCAAATGACATTGCATTCCAACAACCTTACATCTTAAAACAATCTGAGTTAATGTAGAAGACATCCCTATATAGAATTCGCAAAAAAAAAAGGGAAAGTGGCAGAGAATTCCAAATATTTGAAAAACATATCTTACATTCCAATAAATAGACCAAACTGTAAATACTGTATATCACTTCAAAGTATCTGGGATTAACTCTGGAAACGAAATACACAGGAAAAGCTATTATCAGTAGTCTTGTGCTAACACAATGTATCACCTGTTATGATTCTAAGTAGAAGTAGGTCTCCAGTAGGTTACAGGCACGCTCGCGTAGCTGTAGATTATTGTGATACTCCAGCGCTTCTAGTCCATCCAGCCCTCCACATTCCTCCAACACTTTCTTTCCCTTAACACAAAATATCTAGTAAATCACTGTCAGATTATAATAGTTCAGACTGGGGAAAAAAATCTCTTTATACTCACAAAACATTTAAAGACACTGTACCTTTTTTTATATGCAGAAATGGCTAGCTTACAAAAAAACAAATATCACATTTTTTTCCCCAATGTGGAGTTAACAAGGAAGTCAAATTACGATTTTTAATGAGTTGCACATTATATGGTTCTATATTATTTTGATTTTTTTTCTGCAAAATAATGTTAAAATATACTCTCAGAAAATGTGTGTAAAATCATCTCTCTTGCAGAATTGAATAATGTAAGAGAGAGTATTTTGTAATTTAAAGAAATAAAATAGATATATTTTTTGTTTTTAATTTGCTCTTGGATCCTACTGCCATTTACATAGAAAAAAAAGAACAATGTATCACAAATTATAAAATGTATTTTACAATAATTATATTAATCGATCTTGTTTGTCTGAATGTAAGTATGCACGCATGGGGTGTTATTGTGGCAGGAAACTTGAGTACCGGAGAAAAAAGCCCATGTTGTTGAGCGGGTGTGATAAGGATATCCTCGAAGCTCCTTGATGAAAAGTTAGTGCACTATCCACTGCACCACCGACCACCCATGATAATGTATGTAGCATTGAAAATATATCCAGTTTATACATATGGATGGAATGGTGTTCAAACCTACTGTCATATCTTTATTAGTAAACTAGGGTATCAATGATGATTGATAGGAGTACTTCTCCAGATTTTAGTTACCAGGTTTTAGTTACCAGATTTTAGTTACCAGGTTTCAGGTTAATATTTCCTAAATGTTGTTCAGTAATATAACTGTGTCAGTATGCTAAACTAGATCTACTATTACATTTGTATTAGTATTTTTCTTGTTCTGTTTGATTTGTAAGAAATAGTAAATTCTCCATTGATGTTTCACTTTACTAGGTCAATACGCATGGTCGGAAGTTTCCTTCTGCTTCCTGTTTTGCAAATAAACTGTAATCTAGTTGAAATTCTCTGAAAATTCAGTTAAAGGGAAAGCTATTGTCGTTTGTGATTAATCAAAAACTACATTTTCCTGTTTTGACAGTCGTTTAATATTAAATATTTACATTTGCACTGCATAGTGCCTGGATAACTCTACTGGTTCCATTGTTACATATTTTCCAATGAACTACAATGGGGATTAGGTCAGTGTAATGATACACTGACACAGTGTAGTGATACACTGACCTAATTACCGCCAAGTGGCGATGTTCCGCTGTGTTGTGTCTTAAAATGTTATTGTATGACAGTTAAATCGCTAAATGACCACAACATATATTAAAATGGTGACATGTTAGTATACAAATTGGTAATTGACATATATGCATTTAAATAAATAAAAAATCAATTATCAAATTGATGTGTTTACTGTGGAACTTTCTTGTTTATTGTTTTTGTCGGCCTGGTTGCCCTTGACAACGACTGTGGAATGCGAAACTACCCGGCTGTTCCAAAATATTTACCGCTGACCCAGTCGGTGTGTATAAGAGTTTTAAACAGCAATTAACAATACTCGCAACATTGAACAACTAATATTGTTGGTTTGGAATATAAATATAAGGATTGGTTGTCATATGTTTGACGTTTATTGGCGTGTAAACTACATCGGGCTGGCGATATATTTAACATATCGCGCACCATTCAATATATCGCAAGCCCGATGTAGTTTACACACCAATAAACGTCAAAAATATGACAACTAATCCTTAAAACAAGTTGATTGTATTTTCATCAAAGACAGTCAATGTTACATTTACCCTTGGCCTACTGCGAGATTCTTTTGATGTACAACAAAAGATCAAACTAATCTTTTTGTTTCATCTACAAGTCTTCAATTTTGTCATGACATATTCCAAGGATTCTGAGAACGTAGGTAAGTGTAACCCCTGGAGTGTCTAGGATGAGTTTCACTGTATTAGACAGTTGTTTGCTGGTCCCTAGTTAGCATCTTGTCACTTACCTCATCAGTATTTCGTAGTATCAGTTCAGTTAGTGCTAATCCTAAGTTCAGAATCTCCACATCATGTGCCTTTAACACTGGCGCCAACTTCTGGAGGATTCCATTAGTCAACAGCTGTAGGCTAAATTCCTCCCCATGACAAGCAATGTTACAAAGCACATATAGAGCCTGAAGGGTAAAACATAAATGTGACTGGTGGGGGTCACAAGGAAGTGCCCCAACCCTTTACATATACCTTAAATAAATAAATAATTTACGTTTGGTTATGATAATTTTTTTCAGTCCAAATTTTCATTAATGGGGAAAATTCATTATTTTAGTCCACCAACATCAGATGTTGGGCTAACATAACTAATTTTTCCCATTTGGAATCCCCCTTCCTGATATGTTTTCGGATTCTCCTACGCCAACACCTAATAAGGAACGTGTACATTTATAACAAAATTGAACTACTTTTGGCCAGGGTTCAGTGTACGATGTAGCTTCATAGCAAATGACAGTACCTGCGTTAAATAGTTCTTAATGAGTTGTCTTTAAAACGAAAATTGGAAATTGGACAGGGTAATATAATACTAGTCCACAGATCTACAGCAAGGCATGATGTCACTTAGCCAATGGAAAATTTGTGTTCATTCAGCCAGAACTAACTGGTCGAAAAAGTGTTACCTGGACAACAATGCAACATACCTCCATCTTAATGTCATAGGCTCCAGCGACTTGATCAAGAACGACTGGAAGGAGGGGTCCAAAAATCATTGTGTGACAGGTATGGGGCTCTCCTGGGAACAAAAGAAATGTACACCTATCAGCTACATCATGTGTAATGCTGAGTACTGAATGAAGTGGGGATCACCACAGGTACAAACAACTATCACATCATAGTAATCTATTTTATCATGTGCATACATTATGGAAAGGCTAAAAACTGGTCTTTTCAACAGAGATGGTCTCTTAAGACAGTATATACTAATACATAAAGTAAACTGTTTTGTAAGGATGCGAAAATGTTGGTCTATTGAGAGGATTGCCTTATAGGAGTGGTTTCTCAAGTAGATCCAAACGATTAAATTCTATGGGTGTTTTCCTAAACAAATCTTGGAGTCCAGAATTGCTGTTCAATCAGCTCACCTGCCATGTTGGAGAGGACCCAGAGGGTTTCTTTGCGGATGTGCCGGTGACTGGAGGCCAGATAGGCAGCGAGGGTCTGGAGGAGGGCAGGGTTTACACACGCCATCTGTGTGTACTCATCTGGACCACTACACATGTTACCAAGGCAACGGAGCAATGGCGTCACTATCTGCAACATCAATGAATTGACTAAATTGAAAACTCCTCATTTTTTTCATGCTTGCGAGTTTAATTTTGATTTTGATTTTAATAAAAGTGTCAATGAGTTTAGCCTAAAATAAAATATCACTGTGGAAAACAGGAAGTAAATAAGTACAGGATGCCAGGCTGGAGGTAGGGCCTGGTGGGTCTGAGCTATACCACATAATATATATTAAATATTGCATTGTGAACCTCTGTTCATATTTATGACAATTTAAACGACACATTCAACGGGATAATGACTCTTTATATCTAATTGAGTGATTTGTATACCACAGAAAAATGCAAAAGTAAAAGGCTCGCCAAGCAGCCATAATGATGACATCACTTCATATTTCAAATGTCAAATAGAACTTAAAACATTCCTGTTCTGTATTACGTGTTGCTAAAACTTGTAATTGGGTGTGTGTCTGTGTGTCGTATTTTGATCACCAAACAGGAAATAGACATGCTTTATGCTTCATTGAAAACATTTAAGCATACATGCAGGCTGACACCCTGGATATTCAGAATATCTAAACACAAAATGAAATCAAGCTCCATATTGAATATGGCAATGGACCCACTATCTCGAAGACTGAACAAAAACTTTGTTAAAAATGAAATATATTGATTTATTCAGAATTGATTAGGACTGTTACCTGAACTATGTGGTTGGTGAACATTAAGTTACATGGACTGTTACACCTGTACTAGGACAATGTGGACCTTATTTGGACTGTAACCTTAGTTATGTAGCTGGTATCTAGGACCTTTTTTGGACTGTAACCTTAGTTATGTAGCTGGTATCTAGGACCTTATTTGCACTGTACCTGCCTTTGGCCTTTGAGTGGTGTGTGTTAACTACCACATGTAGACTGTTTTATTTAGACATGTTTGATGCATAACCTTATCCTGACCGTTACTTGATTTCGAGTGTTGTACATGTTACCTGAACTTGGGTGTTGTACATGTTACCTGAACTTGGGCACGTTGTACATGTAACCTGAACTTGGGTGTTGTACATGTTACCTGAATTTGGGTGTTGTACATGTTACCTGAACTTGGGTGTTATACATGTTACCTGAACTTGGGCACGTTGTACATGTTACCTGAACTTGGGTGTTGCACCTGTTACCTGAACTTGGGTGTTGCACCTGTTACCTGAACATTGGTGTTGTACCTGTTACCTGTTGTACCTATTACCTGAACTTTACCTGAACTTGGGTGTTGTACATGTTACCTGAACTTGGGTGTTGTACATGTTACCTGAACTTGGATGCTTTACATGGCCTTTATCTGACTATTACCTGAGCTATGTGGGGATTGGTGGATACAAGCTGGACAAGGATATCAACAATCTGTGTAAGCATGCCCAGTCCTGCCATCTCCTCACTGAACTCTCCACTGTAAACAAAACAGCAAAATGTGTATATCTCCTTCTAATTGAAAGCAGACGTAGCAAGGGCATTACAGGAAAATATGAATACCATGATACAATGCTGTCGTTTTTATTTGCCACCTCGCTTCATAACCACCATTATACAAAGTGCCCTTTTTCTTTTATCGTAACAACTCCTTTGAATGTTTCCAAACATATATCCAAACCTTACCCCTGATCAAATAACTGACAAGTCATACACTGATAGACTGTATACTGGTAAATTTTCGCCCCTCGCTTATGAAACCAATTTTCACCCAGTGTTAATTTCGCCCCTCACATATAACTACTATGTATATTATGCTGTTAACTTATATTCGCTGTAATGATAAATTTGCCCTCACTACGGAGGGGCAAAAAAGGCAAAAATTAAATTGCACCAAAAATTTCCCGGCATACAGAATATATATATAGTTGCAATATGTCTTGAAGCAATGCTCCTTGTTTCATTTGTGACCTCGCTTACCATCAACATGTTTCAAGGTCCCTCCTTTTACGTTTTTTATCAACAATTTGAGTACACTGTATACCTTGCAGCCAGATAGGAAAGGACCCAGGAGACTTCTGTCAAAATGCCTTGGTTCTCTGGTGTGTTGACCAGTAGGGATTGAAGTAAGGGCAATGCCTTCGCCAGGACAATCTCCCTAGGTTAGGAGACAAAAATCAGATAACATGAAAAAGAAATAAAAAAATACCAGCAATTTTATCTTCCTTAAAATGTCCATATCTTTATGAATCACTGTCAAACTGAGCATATCTGGAAGTACTTCTGATCTACGATTTAGTCTGAAGCCAAATAATCCAGAAAATGTTCTAGCTTTATACCTATATCTTAATAACTACAGATACTTAAATATGTAACTAGCCCCTTCACCGAAATGTATCAGACCTTTCTGTCAGTCTACTGGAATAATAAATCAAACTTGATATGAGGTTATCAAAAAGATCTGTTGTATCCTTCATAAATGTAGAGAGACAGGAAAAGAAAGGGTCAGCGCAACGATTTGTACAATTTTGAATCCCCACTACCTAGGGATTCTTCCAGTCAAATATGGTTGATGTCAATCTCTTAGTTCCAGAGAATAAGTTGCTTAAAGCAATATAGACAAATCGCCCCCTTTTGGCCCCGCTCCTCAGCCACCTGGGGGGTCAGCTCCACCATTTGTACAATTTGAATCCTCACCACCTAGGGATGCTTCCAGTGAAATTTAGTCAAAATCCAATCAATGGATAAGAAGAAGGAGTCATTTGAAGAAATTGTTGACGTATGGACGACAGACGCAACAGTACTTTGGACCAGGTGAGCTAAACATTGTGACATGACTGTAGTGTCGTTACCATAAACTTTTCTATTTATAACACAATTACTTTGTGTCCTCAGTCTGTTGTAGAGGATCGGAAATCATGTACCAGAAATCTATCATTAAATACCATTAAATGAAATGATAACCATAAGGAAGCAAGGTAGGCTAGTGGTAGGACACCAGGGTCGTGACCGAAGGTTGCCGGGTTGAGTCACGGCATGGCACTGGATTGTATCTTTGAGCAAGATACTTTACTTTGCTTGTTCCAGTCTACTCAGCTGTAAATGAGTATATGTGGTTGGGTAGTGCTAGAATTGTTGAATGGTAGCTGTAGGCGCCAAAATGGCAGCACCGGCTGCATGCTCCCCAGGGAGTTGAGAAAGATATTGGCTGGTTGCAAAGACCCTATAACCACGGATAATAATTTGTGAACCACTTTGAGACAACCTACGAACTAGGTTGTGATAAAGCGGTATATACAAACCTTGAATATTATTACCTGTTTTTTTTTTAATTATTTCAATTATCTCCCTTACCTTGCTATGTCCTGTGATTCCTTGGCCATATTAGACAGGGCAAATGAAGCCGACTGTACAACTGATGGATGAGGTGACTGAAGATATTAAAACGAATTTGATCAAACCTGTAGTTTTTTTATGTCAGACTTATAGTTGAAAAATCATACATATGTTGTGAGAAGGCTATAGGAAAGATTTATAGTTGTTATGAAATATGCTTGCGACGGTGAATGTAATCTATGATCAGACCAACAGCATGTAAAACACGTCCGTATAGTGGCTTGACCAAGTGTAGACTATGCTGTCTCGTTAGGCACTGTCGCACATGTGAATCTCAGAGCACAATACTTAAGTCAGCTCAGTCCCGATTTATACATGATTCACAACACATACCTTAATATTTAATTCCAGGTTTATCAAGTAAAGACTTAATTGGTAAGATCTGACTGTAGATTGGTTTTATCATTCATTTAGCAACAATTCTTAAATATAAATTCCTACTTTCGTAATCAAACTTAAGGTCCGGCAAGAGAAAGACTGTATTTAATTTGCAGATGGTAGAAGGCAGATTTTACCTGTAGAAGTTGTACAAGAGGCAGAACAACCCCCTGGGCCTGTATCATGGTACAACTTTCCTTGCTGTCTCCAGCCAAATTCCCTAGTGCCCAAGCACTCTGGTCCTGAAAATAAGGTTTCAAAATTTTATTTTGCATCTAAAATTGCCAAATTGCGAATAGCTAGGTTACTTTGATCTAATATTATTTATAGACAACATTTTGATAATTCTTACCTGTATCACCGGTACCGAACTGCTCAGGTAAGTAACAAGGTAGGGTGCAACATATTTAGCAATGGCAACAGCATGTTGGTGTGTCCCTGCAGATATGTTGGTTATACACCAGGCAGCCTCCTGTTGTAGTTCAACATCCTGTCCAGTGAACAGACTCACTAGCCACCTCAAAGAGTTATCTATACTGCAAACAAACAGCCAGTCAATTCAGGGAGTTATCTTTACTGCAAACAAACAACCAGTCAACAAGAGAAGTTATCTATACTGCAAACAAACAACCAGTCAACTAGAGAAGTTATCTATACTGCAAACAAACAACCAGCCAACTAGGGGAGTTATCTTTACTACAAACAAACAACCAGTCAGGTCAGGGAGGTATCTTTACTGCAAACAAATAACCAATCAACTAGAGAAGTTATCAATACTGCAAACAAACAACCAGTCAAGTCAGTGAGTTATCTTTACTGCAAAAAAACAACCAGTCAAGTCAGTGAGTTATCTTTACTGCAAACAAATAACCAATCAACTAGAGAAGTTATCTATACTGCAAACAAACAACCAGTCAACTAGGGGAGTTATCTTTACTGCAAACAAACAACCAGTCAAGTCAGTGAGTTATCTTTACTGCAAACAAACAACCAGTCAATTCACTAAGTAATTGATACTGCAAACAAATAATTTTATGACTCAAATGACATGTTACCATATTATACAATAATTCATGGATTTAGCAAATATTTGGTTCAGTATACGTAGTATAGAGTATTTTGGAAAATTTTAAATTTTAAAATTGTGAGTTTTGGAAACCAACAATATCACATCAAATCTGAAACCTGTACAGTGACTGTTTGCCCAATTTTACAGCTGATTACAGGCACAGGCTGCTTCCTCTTGAAGATCCTCTCAATTTCAATAATAATATTGCCATGTTTTCCAGTCATGTAGGAAAAGGCTACTGTAAAAATTTTGGAAGAATTAACACTGCTGTACCACCTATATCATATGATAATGCAATGTCTGATGATAGCTGGCTCTTAATGCATGCATAAGACTTCAAAATGATGGTCAAGTTACCTGAAGAAAGCATCAATATACACAGTTCCCTGGGAGAAGGCATGTTTTAGTGATTTCAGGTTCTCCAGTCGATGAGGACCAGGTTTCTGAAGGCCTGCTGTTGCATTTCTCACCTGGTCATATCGATAACAAAACATGTTTTACAACACCATGAGGTACTAAGATAGTTTATTGAAAACAATTCAGAATCTATATTTAATAGAAAGATCTGAGCCTTTCTCCCTGGGAAAGTTCCAGTTTACCAGTTGCCCAGGTACGTTTTATCCTAATACCTATACATGTATAGTGTGAAGGAGTATAAACAATCTGGCACAGTGCCCCTCCATAATTATGATCTTTTTAATTTCTTACTTCATCTCTAAATCTGTTTTCTTGATAAATGATAACATTTGAAATTTGAATAAAAAATCCATTAAGTCCTATAATTGTTATAACATGCCATCTGCTCAAAATCTAAGGAGCAAACTAAGACAAACTATTTCAGCTATATGATTAAAAGTGAAATTGTAAGATGATCAAGATTTCCAGATATTGACTGTATACAGCAGACCATATATACACAGTACTTGGTGATACCAACCTCGTCTTGTGTGACCTCGGCCCCAGCCTCCTCCTCTGTTATAAACCGGAACCTTTTTGCATTCAGAGCTTTTTCCTTCTTCTCTTTCCTTAGTGCTTACAGGTTCATGAATAAAAGAATATTTGGTTAAGAGGTCTGGCTTTCCTCAAGAATATGCTAGAAGCAATAAAAGAAGTATAAACTTCGAGTGAAAAAAAAAGAGAGTTGCTGTTTAGTTTTAAACTTTAAGGAATATTGAGTAAATCTTTACATTATCATGCAATTGTATTTATTAAAATAATGCATGACTACGCTCTCAGAACAGTTAAAATAGTTAGAGAGAGAAAAACCTTAATCAAAATGTTCTCCGGCACTTTAATTGATACTAATTGAATATGATTATTCTATTCATTTCAAATTTCACTTTTCTTAAAATTAAAAACAAGGAATCAGATATGATAGCTTTCTTATTTTTTTGATTTTGTGCATGAAAAAGGACATGATCATTGCGGCGGTGCCTCTGTTGCTGTGCTAATTATTGACCCGGCCTCAATAATAACAAATGGGAAAATTTTAAATGTAGGGGGGAAATATATTTCTTATATAAATATATAAAAACAAAAATATAATTAAAGCATAGCTGTTGCAGACCTACTGGTAAGTGGTATAACTGCAACAGACAAACAGAATGGTACACATTCATAGCATCAGACAGGTGAACCAGAGGGGCCCACAGAATTAATCAAATATCAGCCCACACAAATATGTATAGATATTCATTCGCTCAGTTTCGCTCAGTTGACATCAATGGTAAGCCGGGGCTTGTATAGATGTATCTTCTTCTCTACTTAATAGTATAACGTACTTTCGCGTACTATTGACTTCTGGTTGCTATTTACAAATGTTATTTCATTAACGCATAGTAAGTTTGATATGGAGTTACGTAACTCCAAGTAAAGTTCCTCTCCTATATAGTTAAAAGTATGGTTAAGATACACTGTTCACACTACTATCAGTATCACTGTTCATATCAGAATGTCACACAGTGTCTAATAAAAAGATGGTTTGAACTTGGCTGGGTGTTGCTTCCAGTGGTTGTTAAGACGAGTCTTAAAGATGTTTAGAGTTGGGGAATTTACTACCTCTTCCTCCCTAGAACTGTTGTTAACTGGAATTCGCTACCATCATCCCTAGCACAGGAGCCAAACCTGAACTCTTTCAGGTCTGCCCTGGCTAGTTTCAACCTTCCATAAAGTGTTTTCTGTTTTTATCTGATAGTACAAATTAACAAAAATAATTGTTTTTAACATTTTTAATGCCACCTCTCAGGATCAAGTGCACTCAAACCTTTGAGTCTGATCCTTGTAAAGGAAGAAGAAGAAGATTAAATTGCGCGCACCATATTAGATCGAGTTTCTGTGACACATGTTGCAGTAACTTATCAGAAGGTTTGCAATTTCTATGCAGTTTGTAATTTGCTCAAATGTACATTACACTACACTTTTCAAAATAAAATCATAGGATGTCCTCCCATTGCCAATGTTTCAAACCAAGTCATATGAGATTCAAATGTGCTGGAGGAAAAACAAAGGGCAATAACTGTCACAAATTATAACGCAGCTAATAATAATATAGCTAGTTACTGTAAATATTTACAGATGTTCTGCATGACAACATAATCCGCGCTGCTTTTGATGTGTACGCCTACACTAGTACTGTGTAACTGTTACATGTAGAACTATGTTTCAACCACAGGTACTTCCCTCGTTTGTCCCTGTCTGCCTGTGTTTCAATTGCATGATAGATACGTATACGCGTACGATCAAGCCTAATTTGGTAAAATCACGAACCTACTTACCGACATCCTCATTTCTAGTTCGGTCTCTGATCTTCTGTACGTCATCAGCTTTGTGTTTATATTGCGATTTTCGATCCATGATAAAATAATAATAAAAATCTAGATAGGCCTACTGATATTCACCCAACATCCATGTTTACTTTCTCTGTAGTGGATTTCAAACAGAGTAAGCTCCCCTCTTCTATTTTTTGTACACGGATGCCAGATTCACGGAGGGCTTAAGTAATCTAGTTATGATGATTTTCTAGTTTCTTTTACAAATTGTTCTTTTTGTGATTGCTTAATAGATATTAATGGATATTTTGCTATATGTGGGTTCCATTACTGATGCCCTGCAGATAAAGTATACTTTTTTGAGTTTTATATATTCATCAATATCTCATTTTTCTGAAACGAACGGTCCCGGAAGTTAAAAAGCGCGCCATATTTGATAGAAGACCGTCCTGTTGTGCTTGATTATTCTGATAATTTCATACATTATTATGCATCTTTCTCTCCGTTAATTTTCAAAGATGAAAATGACATTGTTGGAAAAGAGATGATCTTTATTTGAGATTTTGTGCCATAAAATTACAATGGTAAAGTATTTCGAGCATTAGATCTATAATACTTGTATTCCCCATGAACAGATGCAAGCATTGCCACGCCCCTTCTTTGGATTTTCTTAGTCTCAGTACCTATCCGGGCTTTGACAAAGCTGTCAACCCTCCCTCATTAGGAGGGAGACTACCTCTTTTTGACAAAAAATTACCTATCTCCCTCGAAACTCCCTCATTCAAGTACAAACTCAAATTCTTTACCTGTTGTCAAATGATCTAGTTACTGCAGACCATAAAAGGTACTGTATCTGAATCAATTTAATGCTTTTTGGTGTTATTTTGATTCGTAAAAAGGGAAACTACATACTTGCTAACTTTTTAAAATGTCCATGGGGGAGATTACGCGTGCTTAGAATTAAAAGCATCAATAAAATGTACACATGTATGTACAGCCTAGGGAAAAATAGCACCTTTAAATGGCATTTTTGGCCAGATAATTATTATGCAAAGCAATCAGAGCTTATAGATTGGCGATTCCCGTCCGTCCGTCTGTTTGCGCTAAGGTAAAAGAAGAATGGTTAAGCTCAGTTTCCAAGTTATTTATTATCCCACAACTAAAAATTCATGGCTTATGTATCTATGGATGGTTATCACATGCGATGCTTCGGATGCTGCTTCTGACCTACTTATTCCGCTTGACTGACCAGGTTAAGAAGATTGGTTGAGGTCAGGCCCCATCTGCACTATGGTTAAGAAGATTGGTTTAGGTCATTTACCAAGTAACTACTTGACCTACATCAATGTAACTCGCATGGCTTATGTATCTAAGGATGCTTATCACATGCAATGCTTCGGATGCTGGTTCTGACCTACATTTTCCGCTTCAGTGACCAGGTCAAGAAGATTGGTTAAGGTCAGTTACTAAGTCACTATTTCATGTACATCAACTAAACTTGCATGGCTTATGTATCTAAGGATGCTAATCATATGCAATGCTTTGGATACTGGTTCTGACCTACATTTTCCGCTTGACTGACCAGGTTAAGAAGATTGGTTGAGGTCAGGCCCCATCTGCACTATGGTTAAGAAGATTGGTTTAGGTCATTTACCAAGTATCTACTTGTCCAACATCAATAAAACTTGCATGGCTTATGTATCTAAGGATTCTTATCACATGTGATGCTTTACATGAAAATGTACTGTAGCAATTTAATTGGCCATATCACCATTGGCGGTTTCTTGTTGATCTGTTCTTTCAGGTGAAATCATCAGATCTTAACAAACAGGAATAGTTAAGCAAATTCAATGGTTGAAAATGCATTAAGGGGTCCAAAATCGGGAGTATGCCTCCTTAAATATAAGGAGAGTTGGCAAGTATGGAAAGATAAATCGAGCAAAGCAGTTTCAGTCACATTCCACGCACTTTTTCCCTCATTGGAAATGTGGAATGGGGGAGATCTCCCTTATTGAAGGTTTCAGAGGTTGACACCCATGCATTGGCAGCATACTCTTTACGTCTGGACACGAGTTGGAAGTGCTGTATAAAATGTGTTTTAAAGATGGTTAATAGAAAAAAAAATCTGAATTATTCTGTCCAAAGTCTTTTGTAATAATAATTAATTTGATATTTTTGGGATCAAACAGCAGGTTTTATGATTTGTTTGGTAATTTATGCAAAAAAAATAAAAACTCATGTCAAATAGCATTGGCACCTTATGCAAATCCAATTAGATGACCAGGGTGCTGATTTGGTAGACTGTCTTTTTAAAGTTTTAAAAAATGCTGATCCCAATGATGATTGGTATCTTTCACTATAGATATTGCTTTTATCATATTATTGATAAAAGACTAGTTCTCACTGCTAAAACTATTACAAAGAACATTTAACAGTGGCAATGTCATTGCCAAAAAATCTTATCAAAGATTGTGTTCAAAATCTAAATGTAAATTAATTTGCTTTCTACCATTTGTTTTGTTTTCAGTCTAGAAAGAAAGGTTTGAGTGTTGAAGAAAAAAGGTCACGCATGATGAATTTTTTCTATGAAAAGGTAATTAAACAACCAGTACATGTATGCACATCAAGCCTTGACTTGGTAGGACTCATCATTACACACCATATCCTGTCGCGTCTGAGATCAACCCAGCATAGGTTTTCCCTTTTAAATATTTTTCATTTAGACTGTTGATCTACTACAAATATGCATGCTGTTGAAGGTGTTTCTTGGGATAGAGAACACTTTTGAATTGGTAGTTGTCTTGACTTAAGTATAAGTCTAGGGACAGGTTTTTTCTCCTGAAAGATAACCTGGTAAATTAGTACATTGACTATATACTTTTGATTATTACCTAGAAGATGAATGTGAACATTACTCGACACTTAATGGATGTTGGTTTTTTACCCCTGAATTTTGGTTATTACTTCATGTGCTTTAAAATTGCCCCAAAAGTTGGAAATCTGAATGTATTTTAGGATTTGAGTTGACCGAAATATCAGATTAATTGGTCATAATTAATAAGCTTACTGTAGGGGATAATTAGCCAAGTTAGCCAACCCACTAATTTTTTGGCTTTTCCCAGAATAGGCCCACATCTGGCTGTGACCCATCTCCCACTTTTAGATATCAAATGAACCCTTAAAGGTGAAAGAAAGATTTTTTTCTAGTTAAAAAAACAACAATATTTTTATTGTAAGAAAAACACTTAAGTATTGAAGAAATGAACAATTTTGAGTTTTGTCTTTATACACGTGTTTAGTCAATCATTTAAGTAAAAGTTTCAAGCTAATGGTGATATTAACATTTATTGTATCAGTATATTATTTTTGAGTGTGTTTTTGTGTTTTCAAACTGTGTATACATGTGAATTATTAATTAGATAATCCTAGTGTAGACATTTCCACAATGCAAAAATAAATGAATGCGACTGAAAACACAACAGAATTTATTTAGATCCAAATTATTTCTGTTAAAGTAAACCAATGAATCAGCTAATTAATTGCAGTGCCAGCAAGTGCTGTTACAATAATTCAGGTTTCATGATATTTTTTCCAGAAAGACTTCTTCACTCTGAAGGAACTAGAGAGGATGTGTCAGAAAGAGAAGGGGATCACCTCCATGTCTGTGAAGGACATTCTCACCAGTCTCGTTGATGATGCCATGGTCGACACAGACAAGATCGGGACCTCCGTCTACTTCTGGGCATTCCCCAGCAAGGCCAGTCAAAATGTGAGTAAACCTTCCAATAAGAGTTCCTCGATCCATTAGTGTCTCCTCTTAATGTTGGGGATTTATCAAGGTATTTTAGGAAGTTGAGAAAAAACATCTTTTCAGGGCAAATCTAGGAATGGGAATTCTGAAATGTTTATTAATTAGGAAAGAAAAAATAATAAATTATCTACCAGTAACCTGTTTGACAGTGTGTCTCATAAAACTCTTTATCTATAGGCGAAACATTCCGGTTCAAGTGACATATGAAATGTACAATTTTGTCACATCGTTGTACAGGTAAACAATACAAATCACTTCAGTCATAGCTTGTTAATTGATAATTGTTTTTATTAATGAACCTAAAAGGGAGTTGAGGAATACCGGCCATCTATCGTTCTAGAAGCAAACCTTGAATGTTAACTAAAGCACTATACTGTTGTTGAGTGCCTTGTATCGTATTTAAAGGAGAAGGAACGAAATAATTTACCTGCTGATCAGTTGATATAAAAACAATACCAATATTAATGTTGAAAATACAGAGGAAGAGAAAAATCAATGATGTGACGAATCAGCTGGAGGAGTTCGAGAGTAAGAAGAAGGCATTAACAGAGTCTGTGTTGAGGGCCAAGGTTGGCAAGGAAGATAATGTAAGTAATATATATATATAACAAAATAATTAATTGTTGAAGTGTAACTTTTTTGAAAACTTTCATAGGGCAGATCACGTTTTGAACTTAACATATCTTGTTTGTGTAACTTGAGAAAATTCTAATTTTCCTATTTCAGTGATTCTTCTTTTTTGTTCATTCTGTATAAAAATAAATAAATTAACTATATCCCCACTTCTATATTGTTGTACCATGGCTTTGCTGTCCAGGGGGTTAGTCCTATGTCAGCTGTGTTTTAGCTTGAAAACTTAAACACCCCTGCATGCAGTCTTCCTTGGCAAATTCCAGGGGTGTAGACTAACTCCTTCTGCAATTTCTGTAACCTGCTCACGAATATGATCACGCCAATCATGTGAGAGGTGGGTTAAGCTTGTTCTGATCTGACCCGACCTAGGTAGGGTTAAGCTTGTTCTGATCTGACCCGACCTAGGAAGGGTTAAGCTTGTTCTGATCTGACCTGACCTAGGTAGGGTTAAGCTTGTTCTGATCTGACCCGACCTAGGTAGCAAATGCTCTCGATTGGTTTTAGACATTGCAGTTAAAACATTGCTTGTAAAGGTGTCTATACTTTTTTATAGGTATAATGAAACAGTTAAAATATTGCTTGTAAAGGTGTCTATACTTTTTTATAGGTATAATAAAACAGTTAAAGTATAGTATTTTTGGATAAAACAAGTTTCTGGTTCCCCTTGACAAAGCTTTTTTTGTTTTCCATTGGGGAAATAGACCTGGCCTCAGGGAACCAGAAATTTGGTATGTCCCTCCATTCAATACTATCCTTCAGCTATTTAGGTGATAAACACTACTATAGGAGGATGTCTACAAATCAGATAGTTCCTCAGGACTTCTGCAGTGATTATTTCATCACTGTCGCTTCATTTATGCATTGTTCACTGAAAAATAAATACATTTAATTCATAACTATATCAAGAAATGATTACTGCAATTTTATGTTTACCTTCCATCCTTTTCCCACTCTGCAGTAATGAGGCCAAATACTAGACTTGTCAAAACGTTCCTATAGAAATCTCAAATAATGAATCTGTTCACAACGCTTGGGAACCATAGATCTGAACATTTTTAACACTACAGGTAATTTTACTATATATTCAACCACTTTTTTTTACAAGAAATTTATAGTTTATGTGAATAAATCAAGTGATGCTAAAATTAGACAACTGTATCAAAATTATTGTTTAAATCTCTGGAATAAGCTATTATCACAGGGTTGTCTCTATTACTGGAATTGATTTCACAGGATGACCGATCCGAGTTGTTAGCAGAACTTGTAGTGAAGAAGGACGAAAAATCTCGGTTGATGTCAGAATTGGATCTGTATAGAGAATGTGACCCTGATGTTCTACAGGAAGTCCAGAACCAGACAGTTGTTGCCAAGGAAGCAGCCAATCGGTGGACAGGTAGGATCTGTAAATATTACAGTTACTTGTTGCTGTATAGGTAAAGTATAACCCTATAAGCTTGCTTTAAGTCTATGGTTTTACTTATCCACCAAAGGACTGAAGTTTCTCTGGTATACCCTCATACTGGGGGACTGTTTCTTTCTCTCCCATCCTATCAATATTACGTTCAGAGACAATGTTTCTATGCATTTGTGATCCGTTTTCTTTCCTGATTTCACATGTTCTCACCTGTTGACAACCAATAGTGATCTCTTATTTAACTGTTCCCGTGACATCACAATCTTATGGTTCCTTCCGATGACAACCGATTGTAATGTCTTATTTAACTGTTCCCGTGACATCACAATCTTATGGTTCCTTTCGATCATGTTACTTCATGTCATTCCACTGTCTTACCCAAAGTGTGACAAAAACAAGAGGCCCAGGGGTCTTAATAGCTCACCTGGTATTTTATTTTTCAATTTAAAACCTGCTGAGTACCATTCAGGTTTATCAAAGGAGTACAAGTAACAAAGTTACATCTTCCATTTATAAATATTCAATTCCCTTTGCCCAAAGATTCTCTAAAACAAGTTTGGTTAGGTTAAAATCCCTTCAACGGTACAGAAGGAGAAGGATCTTTAATGTTTTCCTCTATTTCCCCTAATGGGCCCCACTAATCTGCCCCAAAGAAGGGGAATCCACACACCTCAGTTTAAACAAAATTGATTCTTTTCTCCCTAAGCATGCTTCAGACTGCATTTGGTTTAAATCCCTTCACTTGTATAGTAGGAGAAAAAAAATCCTCTATTTCCCCTATTGGGCCCCGCTCCTATGCCGCCAGAAGGCCCACACCCTCCGTTTATACAAACTTGAGTCTCCTTTGTCCAAAGATGCTCTAGGACAAATTTGGTCAAAATCCTTCAATTGGTTGAGGAGAAGATTTTTAAAGATTTACCTATTTTCCCCTATTTGGCCCCGTCCCTCTGCCCCCAGGGGGACCATACCCTCCGTTCATACAAAACTGAGAACCCTTTGGCCAATGATGCTCCAGACCAAATTTGGTCAAAATCCCTTCATCGGTACAAAAGGAGAAGGATATTTGATGTTTTCCTCTATTTCCCCTAATGGGCCCCACCCATCTGCCCTTAGAAGGAGGCCCACACACCTCAGTTTATACAAAATTGATTCTTTTGTCCCTAATCATGCTTCAGACTGCATTTGGTTAAAATCCCTTCACTTGTATAGCAGGAGAAAAAAAATCCTCTATTTCCCCTATTGGGCCCCGCCCCTCCGCCCCCAGAGGGGCCACACCCTCCGTTTATACAAACTTGAGTCTTCTTTGTCCAAAGATGCTCTAGGACAAATTTGGTCAAAATCCTTCAATTGGTTGAGAAGAAGAACATTTTTAAAGATTTACCTTTTTTCCCCTTATTTAGCCCCGCCCCTCTGCCCCGAGGGGGGGCTATACCGTCCGTTTATACAAAACTGAGAACCCTTTGGCCAATGATGCTCCTGACCAAGCTTCAGACTGCATTTGGTTTAAATCCCTTCACTTGTATAGTAGGAGAGAAAAAATCCTCTACTTCCCCTATTTGGCCCCGCCCCTCTGCCCCCAAAGAGGCCACACCCTCCGTTTATACAAACTTGAGTCTCCTTTGTCCAAAGATGCTCTAGGACAAATTTGGTCAAAATCCTTCTATTGGTTGAGAAGAAGAAGATTTTTAAAGATTTACCTATTTTCCCCCTATTTGGCCCCGCCCCTCTGCCCCCAGGGGGGTTATACCCTCCGTTTATACAAAACTGAGAACCCTTTGGCCAATGATGCTCCTGACCAAATTTGGTCAAAATCCTCTGAGCCATTCAGGACAAGTAGCATTTTAAAGGAAAAAGTTGCCGGACGCTGCACCATGGGATAAGCTCACCTGGCCCTTGGGCCAGGTGAGCTAAAAACGATCACCTTTGGGGTGGCAGCATCCTCGATATCCAGGGGTTACACTCACTTTCGCTCTCTGCACCCCTGGAATATGTCATAGCAAACTTGAAGGCACGAAGAAAGCTTTTTGATTGGTGTCAGGTAAAAAAAACCTGACCAATCGCTAGGCTGATACCTGTCCTTTGAAGATTACAAAGGAGTGACGCCCAACTTCAAAGCCTGTCAATTTTGCTAGGACATATTCCGGGGGTGTAGAGAACGAAAGTGAGCATAACCCCTGGATATCGAAGATGGGGTGACAGAGAAATGTTGAACAGGTAAAACGGGAGACAATTATGTAAATGTCGGGAGAAATTGGCTTGTTTTGAAAGACTGCTTAAATGTTTTCATCCTTTTCTGCCTTGACTCTAGAAAATCTACATCTTAATAAGTCTAAGGTGGCAACTTCAAACCCTTCAAAACTTGACATCATAATTCAATTTTTTGTCAAATGTTTGACAATGTTATTAACCATATTTGATCTAATAAGGGTATCTTGTTCTTTTTTTAAATGACTCCCTTTCCTTTTGTAGATAATGTGTTTTCCATCAAGTCCTGGATTAAACGGAAGTTCTCCTTTGAAGAGAGTGTGATAGACAAACAGTTTGATATCCCAGAGGATTTTGATTATGTTGAATGACAGTTTTTGTTTGGAAAATAAATACATTTATATCATATGTAAATTTGATTGAATATATTGATATTAAACTCACCTTGTAAAGTTTGCTACAATGTATATAATATATATAAATGGTTATCTAGTATGTTCTAATGAAGACAAGTTCATGGGGGTAATATTTGTTAAATATTTGAAATGCCTTCTAATATACCGCAATGCCTACAGATATGATAATCAGCATCTTGCTGGGATGCAGGACTATCAACATTATAAGGCCCCCGCAAAATGTGGGTCAGGGTGCCCTATAGTAATCACAGTGTCCATCTGTCCGTCTGTACTTTCGTTTCCAGAGATTATCTCGTGATTCAGATCGCCAAAATTTCTGAAATTTCACATGGTGATACACTGTGATGTGCAGATTTGCAATAGGGGTTTAAAAAGTTCCAAAGGTCAAGGTCACTGTTTCTAAAAATAGAATTGGGACCATACTGTCAAAAATACATCATATAAGGCTGTAAAAGGAGGCCTAACTTTCTGAAATTTCTTATGATGATACACTGTAATTATATGCAGATGTGCAATAGTGGTTTAAAAAGTTCCTAAGGTCAAGTTCGCCGTTACAAAAAATAGAATACATCATATAAGGCCCTTACAGAAGGCCAAATTTTCTAAAATGTCACAAGATGGTACTTGTGCAATAGGGCTTTAAAAGTTTCCAAGGTGAACACTGCACTAACTTTAAAATAGAACAGGGCATATACTGTCAAAAATTGATTGTAAATGGTCCTTCCTGAACAGTCAATGATCACTTTTGCTTTGTGCTTATACGGGAGATGCACTGTCAGGCATACAGCGGGGCCCTTGCTAACCTGTCAGTATTCTAGTTCAAATAAATTACCTTAAACCATCAAGAAAGTTGCACCATTCTATTTTGACGTCTTCAAACAATTTCTTCTGTGGAATATGAAATTTAGAGTACCAGTTGTGTTAGTTGGTCCATATGGATTGTTAGAATACATGGCTATCAACTTATTGTTCAAATGAATAACAAAAGTCAACATCACACTGGCTTTTTATAAGGTTTTATTCATTTTGGCATAACATTCAATATATTTTTGCCAACACCATTAAAATATCAGGGGATCAATAAAGACCCTTAGTGCTTCTTTTTCAGAAATCATATATTCATGTAATTGCTTTCTGTCAACTCTCTCTTTGACATAATTAATATTTTACAAAAACAGAGGCCCATTAATAACTCCTCTGAGGTATGGTCCCACTCAACTACCATATCCATTGTACTTAGTACTGTGGTTTGGGGCTTTCTAAGCATAAGTTCACAATAGGAATTAAGTAAACTTTGAGGACAATTCCATCGCCCAAATCATGCTATGCGCCAAGCAAAATTCATGAAATTGTCATACAAACAATAAATGTTAGCAGAAATCCCTTACTTCAGTCTGGTCTGCTTCATACATGTATGCATTAATAGATTAAAAATAGTGTTAAGATAAAAACAACAAGCTTACCAAACAGTATACCTATAGGTTCAGAATTCCTGGTGAAGGTCTTTTTTTTGTATAACAGTTCTCTATTGATTAACAAAAAATGTTGATGAAAACAGGTATCCGATATCTTTCCTCGCATGTTTGCTTTTCTGAGAAAAAATATAGGGAAAAAGTAAATATTTTGCTGGTTTTTTCTGAATAGCCAGTCAAAATGCATTTAAAATGTTGAGCTAATTCTGACCGTTGGAATGAGATAAATATGCTTTCATGTCCAGGTGTGAAAGTAAAAAAAACAATTCGGGATTTCCAAATTGGGGCAAAATCCTCCACAAGCCTTTAGCTAGGGTGAAATATCCATAACCTGCACAAAGTCTTCCATTTTTAGCTCGCCTGTTCGAAGAACAGACAGCTATAGCGATACCCCCGGCGTGAGTGTCAGCCTGAAAATGTTAAAGTTTTACCTGCAAGTTATTTAGAAGCTTGTCATTCATTAAATATGTGTACTAGGATGCTGATATTTTGCAAAGAGGTTCCTGTGGGGTTAAATATTAATGAAGTGAAGTTAAAATAAAAAAATAATTTTTTTTTTTTTTTTTAGACTTTTGACCTGTTTTGAACTTTACATTTTTACAAACAAAATTTTGAATACAATGAAAGTTTGAACAGGCGAGCATTTGGTGGCTTTGACACCATCTCTGGTTAACCATCTCTGGTTAATCGCCATAATGAAGATAGAACAATAATAGGATTTCATGACTTTATGATCTTATCTAATGCTTTGGCATATGCTTCAGAATTAAGATCAATGTCATCTGAATGTTCCTGAAACAAGTTATGTAAAGTTCCAAGTGTCGCTGAACGACCAGTCCTATTTTTCCATCTGACAATAAGTTGATGTATGACGGTAGATCCTCCATATTTCTCGTTGTCGGCCTGGACTTGTGAGATTTCTACGTCATTAAAACCAAGACAAGCACCAAATGCAATTAATTTTTGAGGTGGAAATGTTTTTGAAAGGAACATTGCATATTTATCTGTCACCGATTTGATTTTCAATTTTTCAGGAATCTCTGGATAGCGGTCATCACCTGTACAAATATAATAACACAGAATACACTTCGGACACGCATACATTTAGTATCAACTTCAGAGTATTCCGTCTTTGCGTATTGCAGAGTTATCTTCTCTTTAGAGCAGGTATTGATTGTTACATCATTTGTTTTTGAGAGTAACGTCATCAATATTTGAGAAAACGACGCAATTTTCTCACACAAACCAATGACGTAACAATCATTACCTGCTCACAAGTGAAGATAACTCTGCAATACGCAAAGACGGAATTGAAAGGTTGTGACACTTAATACAATCTAAATTGCTTTTTCCTATACTGAAAAGGAATACCATTTTCTATGCACCGACAAAATTTATTTACATTTTATTCCGGAACTTATTAATGGAAATAAAAGTTAGTTAAGAAACAGTTAATTGTATCTGTCACTTATTAGATACATCCAGCTTTTCAGTGTGAAATGGACTGACTTTTTTTAACAAACATTACAACCAACAGGTTATAAGTGAAAACCATTATCCAAAGTTGTGTTTCTTATAACAGAAAGTGATGAAATGTCAACATTTTGATAGTTACATATACTTAGGTGTCATTCATCAGAGAAAAAAAACATATATATAAAATCCTGGGTTATAGCTAGGTAACACTATAAAGTCTAATAGAATGATGTAATTTGTATGAAAACCGTCTTTAATAGAGTGAAGTAATTGAAATAATTTACCTGCTCCATTTTCTGAGACCTGAATAGGTCTTTTCTCGGTTTCTCTAATTTTCTTAGCCAAATCTTCGTTACTATGTTCTGCCAATTGGTTAAGAAAAAAGTCAAATATTCCAGCTTTTGATCTTTTTTGGTGGAGGAGCATAACAAGTCGTTCTATTTGGTCTTGGGGAGTTTTTCCCCTCATAATATCTTCTACTACATCTTCAATGGAAAAATAACCTTGGTCAACAAAATAGTCCATAATGTCATCAGCTTGAACATTTTTCACTATTTCTGCATAATTTGCCTCTATTTTCTTGACCTGCTCTGGAGTCATTGAAGTTGCTGTCTGTGCCATTTTCCTATAAGAAAGTATTTGAAGCATCATGTAACAATTGAAAACTTGTATAAAATTGTTACCAACAAATTTGGAATTTAAATATAAAATAGTACCTTCGATTAAAATTAAGACAAAAATATCCTACTTTGTTTTCCAGTTCCTTCATAAAAATCAAACCCAATTATCCCACCAGTTGGGTTTAAGCAAGAGGTCCAATGGCCTTTAATTGCTCACCTGGCTATTTTTGAAATCAACTTGATATCTGCTTCTTAGTTTGTGAGCAGAATTAACCCCCAGTTATCTCAGCTAGCCCCTCTATTTGTGTAACTTTGGGGTTAATGAAATAGTGTTTTATCAGTTTGTAATTTAACTGATGTGCAGTAATAGAACATAGCGATTTTTTTTATTTATTTACCTGTATTTGATCCGAAACACTCATTCACCCCTGAAGACACATTTGAACTCTTCCAATTCAAAGGTTGGAATAGCTCATTATGCAATTTCAGGGGTGAATGAGTTGAGGAATATATCAATTATGAATCAAATATTGATCTTGTTTTTAAAAAGTCACTTCCATACTTTTTCATACTTTGGTAAATATATTTAGCATATCTCTCTTTCTCTTTTAATTTAATATCATCTCATGATCTGTAACTTTGCTAATTTTATAGACATATTAGATATCTTCCTATCAATTTTCTGTACACAGAAGTTGGACCCCTGATTTCCAAATTTGTAGGTGCAATATCAGAGATAAATAGTTCCATCCGTAACATGTCATCAAGAGCGGCCTGAGTTTCCATAGCAACTTTAAACAAATATATACATGTTTTCAAGATGTTATCGACATACGCTTTTTAAAATAATGTACAAAAACAAAGTAGACTAGATACATGTATATGATAATAACAACAGCTGATTATTGACAAATATCTGTCTTCCCGGAAATCAAAAACGCGTTTCTACATATCCTGTTTGCTGGTTTGTGCCTCGCAACACGGTGTTTGCAACGATGAGGAAACCACATAAGCGTAGTGACCAACAATAGTATATATTTAGAGTATTGAGAAGGCTAAATTCTATACAAATAATGGATTCGATTAAAAAACATCTAAAAAATTGTACCTGTTTGTCCGTTTATTCCAACTCGTTTACTTTCGGTTTCAATGTTTAAGCGCAATACTGACCGTGATCATATATATAGTACTGCTGTAATGGAACAATTTGTTGCTCGACCCGTACCCGTGTTACACATATGTTCGATAAGAAAGCAAACGATTCGGAAATGTTTGAAATGCTGATCCGCGGTTTTAGAATGTTTTAAAAAATGATATCACTTTTTCACAAGTGTAACAGTAAATGCGATTTGTTTATTGAGTAAACGTTTTCATTTAAATTCCGCCAATTTGATAATGACAAGACCAATTCCCTAAAGATGGTGGATTTTTGTGGGAAAGTTAGAAAAAAAAATCAATGAAAGGGTGGTCGGGTGCAGTGGATAGCGCACCTGCTTTTCACCAAGGCGGCCGGGGTTCGACTCTCCGATCGGACGTGAAAAGGTATGGGGTCACCTGCCCTACCACGTGAGTTTTCTCCAGGTACTCTGTTTTCCGCCAACAATAATACCCGCGCGCGCTAACAACCGGGCCAACAAGAATAATTAATATAAATTGAACTAACTTGTTTCATAATTGTTGTAAAATAAATGAAGGATATATATATATAGGAATTAGGCACAGGTAAATCTGACAACTTATATATATTAGTCCGTCTCCCAACATATACACTATACAATTACCATAGCTAACTGATGGTTACAAAAAGTTTACTCATTATGATTGAAATGAAACGGCAAAGAAGAAGGAGGAGGTAGAAAGAGGAATAGGAGAGGATGTTTCGGTTTCAATATTTGTCGGATCATCGCCTCTCATATCCCTCCTTTCATCTCTTTTGAAGCACTGATTGTACGATTCATGAACCCATCTCATCATTTTTTGATAAACTTGACCGTTCTAATTGACCTACCAAAATGGTTGATAGTAAACGGTTTGTTTTTTATATAACTGAATACCCTTATCTTATATGAAATTATTATACTACCCTTGTTATCACCCACTGCACCTGTAAATAATTTTCACTAGTTATTGAGAAACAAGTCTTCTTCGATACCTCCTAATGCAACCGGAAGTGAAGTGGACAGAATTAAGAAGCACCTCAAAAAGCGACTGACGCTTACAACGGTGTCATAATCAATGAACCAAAACAATGCGATTTGTTTGTGGTCTGTATGACGTCTCTTCTAAAAAAGGAGGCCATAATGTTATCTCGGCAATGAATGGCGGCTCAATTTGTTTTGTTTCCAAATAATCATATCATTATTATCTATAAAGAGTGAAAAGTAAATCCGTTAAAACTATAGTTGTCCCCTTGTCCCCGAATCTGTCATTGGATTCTATTCCATTTTTATCTCGCGAATGAATTAAAGGATGACTCGGAAATACTGGTATGTTACCCGTTACACAAATAAAACAAGTGATGTATTTAGAAAAGTACTATTGTTTTTGTGCCGGCATCTCATTTTAATTTAACAAAGGGTAGCAAAGCTTACAGCTTTGTATATTAAAAGGTATTATACTGTATGTATACATTATAGGTTAGGAAATCATATCACTTTTTCTATAATTCCACTCCCTCTTTTTCAAAATTACATTGTTTTTAGGTCGAGGTAAGGTTATACATTACCTCACAAAAATACCCTGTTGATTTCCCAAAAGGGTGACCAGCGACCAATGTTTGACAGATGGGGGAATGCGTACCTACCTCCAAATAAGGACAATGACTTAAGCTTCCAGAGTTTATGCTTGATATTAACAATTATTACATGAATGCAACGTTAAATTATGTTTATTACTATTATATAAGATCGTTCTCAACCAAACTTATTAACAATTTCAAAATATTCAGTGGATGCACAAAACATTAGGATAATATATACTAGTAAGAATATTGTATGTTAAACTTAATTTTATTTGGAAATTAAAGTAAAACACATTCATATGTCACTTTAAACATGTGGTTGATTCTTCGCCAATGCAAACAATCATGAATACTTTAGGCATAGTTGACATTTTTCACTTTATATGTAATAAATGTATTAAATTGAAGTGTGATCGTTTTTAATTAAGGACAAAGTCACGTAGTTCACATCAATTCAAAGTTTTATTTGGCGTCTGTTTATATTTTAACAATACATCATTGGCTTCAAGGAGCTATTGAAGCCGATTATACTGAAGGCAATCACGTACAAAACAAATTCAAAGACATCACATATTATACAGTTATAGAATGGGTATGCCGGAAATAGCAAATGTATGGTCCCCCGAGGTGAAAAAATATCCTAAAGTGGTGAAGCCGCCGAGGGAAATAGTTTTTCACCAAGAGTGACCATAAAGCTATTTCCCGAATGACCCATTCTCCGATCCGCCTACAAATAGTCATGCGGGAGTAGTCGTCTTTCTGGCAGGGAGTAGTCCTATTTTGGGGAGGGAGTAGTCCCATTTCTGGCAGGGAGTAGTCCTATTTTGGGGAGGGAGTAGTCCCATTTCTGACAGGGAGTAGTCCTCTTTCTGGCAGGGAGTTGTCGTCTTTCTGGCAGGGAGTAGTCCCATTTCTGACAGGAAGTAGTCGTCTTTCTGACAGGGAGTAGTCCTATTTTGGGGAGGGAGTAGTCGTCTTTCTGACAGGGAGTAGTCGTCTTTCTGACACAAATGGTTTAAGTGATTTTAGGAAAATAGGACATTTAATCGTATTATTTTATAAAGGGAAAACTCCGTAGATGTATAATAATATTCATATATTTGTTCATACAGCAGTAAACTATTGGCTTGGTAACAGGTGTGCAAGGGTTTGTCGCTCATTGACCTGCGTAATTGTTATTGAAATTGAAAGTTGTACTGTAAAAAATAAACCTGATGAATAACAGGCACTTTCTGACATCGTGATTCTAAACTAGATCTATGTAGGCTGTCTGCATGTAGTTCATGTGCATAGTGGTCAATACAGAGACGTATATGTAATATACACGTCTCTGGTTAACAACCATTTCGGTTTAAAATATTCTAATACAAACAAAAGATAGGATAAAAAAGTATATATCTATAATATGTGGAAAAGCTTTCAAAAAGCTTTACTGTACAAACAAAAAATAACTGATTGATGCAAAATCTCGATCAGATTCAAAGGATGTTTTATCAAAGTCTTTTATCTACATACATATTATTAAAACAATCTGAGTATTAAAGTTAAAATACATAGTAGATCGACAACCTTAAATAATGTTGAGTTACCAGAGACAACGATAACTATCACTATAACGTATGTTACATCTTAGCTGTACCAGGTGTGGCAGCATACGTGAATCACATCACATCATAAATATAACACACATACCAGCTTTTCTGTTAAAGCGAAGTATGTTTACAATTGTTACAATTTGCTATCGAGATATTATATTGTTACACAATAAGATCACTCGGTACTAATGAAATATGATCGAAAAACACATCATAAAATACTAATTATATGAAAAAATCTTCCTCCTTTTTAACATATCTGAGCAGAACTTGGCTGTTATTTGATTAATATTGGCATTATCTAGGATCACAGTAATCATATGCATAACTTCCAGATCATCAAAGTCAGATTAACACTGTTCACATTTTTTATGCAGACTACATTCATTTCCGACCAGTTAATAAAATACCAGCGTGGATACTGAATGTGTTCTCTGGCATTCGTTGGCTAACCACAAAATGACGTCATTACTTTTCTTTCATGAATGAAATGTAATGCATGGTTGCGCGGCGAAAGCATTTGCATGTTTTATCAATGAAATTCAAAATTCACCCACCAGATGGCATCACCATAGGAAGTGCAATTCTAGTATATGCGATCAGACATTGTAGTATATGCGATCCCTCGACACCTGCGTCACCAAACGCATGTGTCAAAAACAACAAGCTGACCAAACTCAATGTATAGTTTCAAAAATCCTGTTGAAGGGCTTTGTTTTGTACAACAGTTTTCTGTTGATTATAAAAAATGATGATGAAAAAGGGTATCCTAAATCTTGCTCACAGGTTTGCTTTTCTAAAAGAAATATGGGGAGGAAAAGTAGTTCTTTTTCTTTTCCTTAATAGCTAGTCAACACCCCTTTAAAATGTTTCTGAACGAGAGAAACATATATTTTAATGGCCAGGGGATTTCTAAATTGGGGCAAAATCCCCGGCAAGCCTTTAGCTGGTTTTATCTGGAAAACCCTCCTCGTGTGGAATTTCCCTATCCTGCAAAAGTTTTTTACATTTCTAATTTACATAATGAAGGAAAGGACAATGTGATTTCATGACTTAATTTTGATCTTGTTTAATTCTCTTACATATGCTGGAATGATAAGACCAATTTCATCTGAATGTTCCTGAAACAATTTCAGTAGTGTTCCAAGTGTCGCTGAACCACCAGTCCTAGTTTTCCATCTGAGGATAAGCATTAGTATGACGGTAGATATGCCACTTTTCTCATAGTCGGCATTGATTTGTGAGATTTCTACTTCACCAATACAAAGACGATTACCAAATGCAATTAACTTTTCGGGTAGAATTGTGTTTGAAAGGAACATAGCATGCTCTTCTGTCACGCTTTTGATTTTTAATTTTTCAGGAATCTCTGGATATCCGTCACCACCTGTACAAATATAATAACACAGTATACATTATTAATTCATCGCTATGTACAATATAATTTCATGTTTCCTCATTAAGGAAAGTATAAACCTTATATTATGATTAACAATTTTTGAACTGTTTCGTAAATTGATGACTTAAAAGGTGTAACATGTGCATGCATTGATAATTTCAAAGTAAATCTGGATTTTATCTATCTAAAATGTGCAAAGCGATGATTATATTTCAATACCTATACGTTTATCTTGATCATTATCCATGTCATTTATGTTGGAGATGTATGTGGACATGCATACCTTTAAGTATCAACTTCATAGGAGTGTAAGGTTGTGACACATTCAACCTAAATTGTTATTTCCTATTCTGAAAAGGAATTCCACTTTCTATGCACTGAAAACAATCCCTTTTATTCCGGCACGGAATCTAAGTCCGTGATTCCGGAACTTATTAATGTAAATAAAAGTTAGTTTAAGAAACAGTTAATTGTATTTGTCACTTACGACCTTTTTGTGAATTAGATACATCCAACTTTTCAGTGTGAAGTGAACTGACTATTATCAACAAACGTTACAATTAAAAGATTATAAGTGATTTTTTTTTTATCCAAAGTTGTGTTTCTTATAACAAAAAGTCACGAAATGTCAAACGTTTGATAGTCACTTAGGTGTCATTCATCAGAGATATAAAACACATATAAAATACGGAGTGGCTATCGATCATTTTCATGACACTCGGGCTAGATAACGAAAAAACGGTGTGCCGGGTAGCGGATCCCGGAAAGTTTTTATGCGGCGTGAGTAATAGTGTGTGTGGTTGTGTGTATCCGGATAGGGCTAACAACGACAAAATAAGCTTTGCACAATACTAATTAGTTATTAATATTACGCGAATGGATAAGTTACCAATTTTAACAAAGTGTACAGGTATATGCACTTTATTAAACGTGTTTAGCTACGTGGTTGTTATACGGAAAGGCCGAGTGCGAGGACTGCCAGTGTACGGGACATACATTGTATTGTGTAGTTGTCATGATATGATTTAAAGCTAAAGTGAAAAACAATTATCTGTATAAGTGAGACATTTCAGTATTTGTATCGATAAAATTTGAGCGATAATGCAAAGTAACCAACACATAGAAAACTGAGCGTTATTGATTGCTGTCGACTTTCCCGAGGTTTCAAAGTGCATTCGTTTGGTTTTGTAATACATACAAGTTGCTATCAGTATACAATGTTCACTGCTTGCCAATGTCTATTTGAGACAATTGAACTCATTACATCACCTATAAATATATGAATTAGTATCACCTTGTTGTTGACCGGTCGGGATGCACTTGTCAGCAACGGGAAATGGAAAACTCACAAATTGCTTCATTGAGATAAATAACTCATAGGCATGTTTTTTTCTTCAAAATAGTGTATTTGTATGGGTACTTAAAGTTTTTCAGATGGTTTTTAATATATCTAAGTCACAAAAGGGCCATTCACCTGAGTTAAATTACATGTTACCAAAAAAACGTCTTCTGACTGTGGATTGACTTTTACAAAATTAAGTTGAGGAGTGACCAAAATTTCAAAAGAAATAGTAAACATTAGTTATAACATAAAATAATATTGAAATAAAGTAAAGATAACCCCAAAATGGGGAACAGTATTTCCCATTGAAAATCAACAAAATATCCCCAATAAAATAAAATTCCATGAGTGACTCAGGTGACCTGAAAATCAATTTAGATTTCTCTTCAAAAGTTATATTGGTCATCTTTCATGATGTTCTACTATTAAAAACCAGTGCAGTAGTGTAATTCTGCAGTTTTCAGCATTTACCCTTAAGCCTAACGTGAAAAAATCCAATTCCCAAAGGAACAAAATCTTTAAATGTATCCTCCAATTTAACACTTTTCTTGCTGAACAGCCAAATATTAAGTCTGAAACTAGTTGACATATGTCACAATTCAGGTGTTGCTAAGTATTGCAAGTGGCATGATTCCATCTAATACAGAGGAATTTACAAAAAGTCTCAAATCTAAATATTTCTTCTCGGGAAGTTATTTTGGTTATCTTCTATGACTTTATATGCCAGTAAAACAGTATATTATGAGTAAATCTTCATGTATTGAACAAGCGTATTTTGAAAAATATTTTGTTTTCAAATTTCAGCATATTCCCTCATTTCTTCTTTCCGAAAAAAGCATAATAGCAAGATATTCCTCATATACAAATTAATACATTTTCATAATTAACAGGTCAATATTTAGTCTGAAATGAGTTTAAATGTTTCGATTTCAGCTTTTATCAAATAATGAAAGAGGCAATATACCAGCTGATACACGAAAAAATCTCACAATTTTACATTTTAAAACAATACTTCAAATGTGAAATCACATGTAGATTTTCTCATTTTGTTCCTCTATGAAATATTTCCTTTCTCCCAAAACAAATTTAAAACTTATAACAATCTTCAATAAACAGGTCAAATTAACCAAGTTAATAGATTAATTACTCAATTAAAAAAGATTGTTGTGCATATATTATTTTCCCTTTTGAAGATACGTCTATTCAAGTGATGACTTGATTAAGAATTAAAGGCATATGCCATATGTTGTGTTATTAAGAGTTGTGTACATGTACACATGCCATCAATGACATCAGATATGGTTTCATGATCATTCTCAATTGGGCAAGCACAGTAACACACTTATTAACCAAACAAAATTGTAATCATATGTAATTTGGTTGTGATTATTTATAGGTGTAAGACATTAAAACTGCACAAATAAAGGGAATGATAGCCCTTTTGTTTATGAAAGGGAATGTTTGGTAATGACAATGACAATTGTTTTATTCTTACAAGCAATACAGTGTAGAGAATACATATATACAAGTGGGTGACAATAATACATGGTGGAACAGGATGGACATTAGTATTGTTAACTAATTAACTCATTAATATCGGTAATAAATTTAGCCAATGATATAAATTCATGTTGTGTTACATAATTGAATAATGTATGAAATTTAAACAAACAACCAGTCAACTAGGAGAGTTATCTATACTGCAAACAAACAACCAGTCAACTAGGGAAGTTATCTATACTGCAAACAAACAACCTGTCTATTTAGGGAGTTATCTATACTGCAAACAAACAACCAGTCAATTTAGGGAGTTATCTATACTGCAATCAAACAACCAGTCAATTCAGGGAATTATCTATACTGCAAACAAACAACCAGTCAACTCAGGGAATTATCGTTACTGCAAACAAACAACCAGTCAATTTAGGGAGTTATCTATACTGCAATCAAACAACCAGTCAATTCAGGGAATTATCTATACTGCAAACAAACAACCAGTCAATTCAGGGAATTATCTATACTGCAAATAAACAACCAGTCAATTCAGGGAGTTATCTATATTGCAAACAAACAACCAGTCAATTCAGGGAGTGATTTATACTGCAAACAAACAACCAGTCAATTCAGGAAAATTATCTATACTGCAATCAAACAACCAGTCAACTAGTGGAGTTATCTATACTGCAAACAAACAATCAGTCAATTCAGGGAGTTATCTATACTGCAATCAAACAACCAGTCAAGTAGGGGAGTTATCTATACTGCACATAACCAACCAGTCAATTTAGGGAGTTACCTATACTGCAATTAAACAACCAGTCAATTCAGGGAAATTATCTATACTGCAATCAAACAACCAGTCAAGTAGGGGAGTTATCTATACTGCAATTAAACAACCAGTCAATTCAGGGAGTTATCTATACTGCAAACAAACAATCAGTCAATTCAGGGAGTTATCTATACTGCAAACAAACAACCAGTCAACTAGGAGAGTTATCAATACTGCAAACAAACAACCAGTCAACTAGGGAAGTTATCTATACTGCAAACAAACAACCTGTCTATTTAGGGAGTTATCTACACCGCAATCAAACAACCAGTCAATTCAGGGATTTATCGTTACTGCAATCAAACAACCAGTCGATTCAGGGAGTTATCGTTACTGCAAACAAACAACCAGTCAACTAATGGAGTTATCTATACTGCAAACAAACAACCAGTCAATTTAGGGAGTTATCTATACTGCAATCAAACAACCGGTCAATTCAGGGAGTTATCTATACTGCAATCAAACAACCAGTCAACTAGGAAAGTTATCTATACTACAAACAAACAACCAGTCAACTAGGGGAGTTATCTATACTGCAATCAAACAACCAGTCAATTCAGGGAATTATCTATACTGCAAACAAACAACCAGTCAATTCAGGGAATTATCGTTACTGCAAACAAACAACCAGTCAACTAGGGTAGTTATCTATACTGCAAACAAACAACCAGTCAATTCAGGGAGTTATCTATACTGCAAACAAACAACCAGTCAATTCAGGGAGTTATCTATACTGCAAACAAACAACCAGTCAATTTAGGGAGTTATCTATACTGCAATCAAACAACCAGTCATCTAGGGGAGTTATCTATACTACAAACAAACAACCAGTCAACTAGGGGAGTTATCTATACTGCAATCAAACAACCAGTCAATTCAGGGAGTTATCGTTACTGCAATTAAACAACCAGTCAACTAGGGGAGTTATCTATACTGCAAACAAACAACCAGTCAATTTAGGGAGTTATCGCTACGGCAAACAAAAAAACAGTCCATTCAGGGAGTTATCTATACTGCAAACAAACAACCAGTCAATTTAGGGAGTTATCGTTACTGCAAACAAACAACCAGTCAACTAATGAAGTTATCTTTACTGCAAACAAACAATCTGTCAATTCAGGGAGTTATCGTTACTGCAAACAAACAACCAGTTAACTAGGGGAGTTATCGTTACTGCAAACAAACAACCAGTCAATTCAGGGAGTTATCGTTACGGCAAACAAACAACCTGTCAATTCAGGGAGTTATCGTTACTGCAAACAAACAATCTGTCAATTCAGGGAGTTATCTATACTGCAAACAAACAACCAGTCAATTTAGGAAGTTATCTATACTGCAATCAAACAACCATTCAACTAGGGGAGTTATATATATTAATCTATACTGCAATCAAACAACCAGTCAACTAGGGGAGTTATCTATACTGCAAACAAACAACCAGTCAATTCAGGGAGTTATCGTTACTGCAAACAAACAACCAGTCAACTAATGAAGTTATCGTTACTGCAAACAAACAATCTGTCAATTCAGGGAGTTATCTATATTGCAAACAAACAACCAGTCAATTTAGGAAGTTATCTATACTGCAATCAAACAACCAGTCAACTAGGGGAGTTATATATATAAATCTATACTGCAATCAAACAACCAGTCAAGTAGGGGAGTTATCTATACTGCAAACAAACAACCAGTCAATTTAGGAAGTTATCTATACTGCAATCAAACAACCCAGTCAATTCAGGGAATTATCTATACTGCAAACAAACAACCAATCAATTCAGGGAGTTATCTATACTGCAAACAAACAACCAGTAAACTCGGAGAGTGATCTTTACTGCAAACAAACAACCAGTCAATTTAGAGAGTGATCTTTACTGCAATAAAACAACAACCCAGTCAATTCAGGGAGTTATCTTTACTGCCAACAAACAATCAGTCAATTCAGGGTGTTATCTATACTGCAAACAAACAACCAGTCAATTCAGGGCGTTATCTTTCCTGCAAACAAACAACCAGTCAATTCATGATGGTCAAGTTACCTGAAGAAAGCATCAATATACACAATTCCCTGGGAGAAGGCATGCTTTAGTGATTTCAGGTTCTCCAGTCGATGAGGACTAGGTTTCTGAAGGCCTGCTGTTGCATTTCTCACCTGGTCATATCAATAACAAAACATGTATTACAACACCATGAGGTACTAAGACAGTTTATTGAAAACAATACAGAATCTATATTTAATAAAAAGATCTGAGCCTTTCTCCCTGGGAAAGTTCGAGTTAACCAGTTGCCCCGGTACGTTTTATCATAATACCTACATTTATAGTGTTAAGGAGTATAAACAATCTGGCACAGTACCCATCCATACTTATGATCTTTTTAATTTCTTACTTCATCTCTAAATCTGTTTTCTTGATAAATGATAATATTTGAAATTTGAAAAAAAATCCATTAAGTCCTATAATTGTAACCATGCCATCTGCTCAAAATCTAAGGAGCAAAATAAGACAAACTATTTCAGTTATATGATTTCAAGATATTTGCTGTATACACATGTACAGCTGACCATATGTACTCGGTGATACCAACCTCGTCTTGTGTGACCTCGGCCCCAGCCTCCTCCTCTGTTATAAACCGGAACCTTTTTGCATTCAGAGCTTTATCCTTCTTTTCTTTCCTAAGTGCTTACAGGTTCATGAATAAAAGAATATTTGGTTAAGAAGTCTGGCTTTCCTCAAGAAGATAGCAGAAGCAATAAAAGAAGTAAAAACTTTGAGAGAGAAAAAAAGAGAGTTGCTGTTTAGTTTTAATCTTTAAGGAATATTAAGTAAATCTTGACATTATCATGCAATTGTATTTATTAAAATATATCTATAATGCATGACTACGCTCTCAATGGCATTTTTGGCCAGATTGCAACGCAATCAGGGCTTATAGATTTGCTATTCCCGTCCGTCCGTCTGTCTGTCTGTGCTACGGTTAAGAAGAATGGTTAAGCTCAGTTTACAAGTTATTTATCATCCCACAACAACTAAACTTGCATGGCTTATATCTAAGGATGCTTATCACATGCGATGCTTCGGATGCTGCTTCTGACCTATATTTTCCGCTAGACTGACCAGGTTAAGAAGATTGGTTGAGGTCAGGCCCCATCTGCACTCTGGTTAAGAAGATTAGTTTAGGTCATTTACCAAGTAACTACTTGTCCTACATCAATGTAACTCGCATGGCTTATGTATCTTAGGATGCTTATCACATGCAATGCTTCGGTTATTGGTTCTGACCTACATTTTCCGCTTCAGTGACCTGGTAAAGAAGATTGGTTAAAGGCCGGGGACGACCTACATAAAAAAAACCGGTTGATCAGCAATTAGCTGATTAGAGAGTGGGCGGGACTTAAATTGGCTATACACAGCTTCTTCAGCTGCTGCTTGTAAACACAACCACATGGTCACCACATGGTCAGTGTTTATACTATTTACTGTTTTTACATGCTCACTAGTGTATACATCTCAAGAAGATTTGTATATAAATCTATCGAACATTGACTTTTTTTTTTTTTATTGAATTTGAGAAATTCTACTGAAATTGATTAAATAAAACAAATAGAAATATTTCATATGGAAAAACTACAAAAAACATTGAATGTGGCAAATGTTCATCTCTTTTTCTTCATTCTATTATAATGTATTTATATGCAATACATTTACCATTATAATGTGAATGATAGATACAAAGGTAAGAGTATCTAAATTTACTATAATTTTAGATGAAAGTTTTGTGTTTTGATAGTTTCTTTGTTCAGTTCAAAATCCTTAATATGCTCTTTCCTGTACTACACGTTGTTTTGTTGAAATTGTTTCCTTACTATTTCGAACTCTTTACTGCAATGTTGCATACAAATATATACAAAATACTGCATCACTTACTGATTGTGTGAACAACTCTTTTTACTCACAGTTTAGTGTTCCTGACTGTTTTTAAATCACAATTTCGAACAATTTTCTGTATTAAAAACAGTTTCATTTTGTCTGTGTTAATATCAGTAAATGATAAACCACTGACAGATATTGTTGATAAATCTTTTCCAAATAGTAATGATAGGTTGGTGCTTTATAATTTTTCTTTCCTTTTCTCCTACGAGGTGCACCCGCCCTACGGGGGTTCCAAACTGAGGTGAAGGGTCTGTCAACACTCTCATTCCAGTGACAGACTGCAAGTTGAGATTTTGCCAGGTATTGACTGTCATTGAAACTGATTCGTTTGTCCTGAAAAATGTTCAAGGTGTTGTTGAAACTTTCCACGTAATATGTATTTCTGGCAAGTACGCAATTTTCGGGGTGCTTGTACACAGCAGAATTTGTAATAACTATGAGAAGCATTTTTTCTGCCATTTCACTCCTCGGGAGAGTCACGGATGGTTCATACTTTTGCTCCTTTTGACATCGAGCTGTAGGATGACGGGTATCGTGTACATTTTGATAATGTTGTGTAGCCTTCACCAAAGCTTTCTGCAGTTTTGATTGGTCGTTTTCACAGTTTTTCATGGCCCAATGGAAATGAGTATACAGTGGTTACACTTTGTCCACTAGTTCTTCGGCCCATGTTTTTCCTCTCAGGTATGCCGGCCCCTTATAAATGATTTGCAACGCCTTTTGCACAGATTTGACTGCATGCCATTCATCATTCTGATTGACCGTAAGTGGCTGATTATCTTTCACAAATTTGTTGATTGACAAATTCATATTGAGTTTTTCAGTGCCGAACCGCTCATGTCTTTGTGACACAATGTCGTCAGACTTAGTCACATGGATATACTCCAGTACTTTGTGTGTTTGTTCTCCAATAGCCACAACGCTGGAATCTTTTGCATTTTTTCTCCAGCCATGTCTGGCATCCGTCATGATATCGATACCATGAAGGTTGTCGTACATACCAATTTCTTCATGAAGTGCAGACTCCATGCTGTCCCTGTATTCTGATTCTATGTGATCCTTATATAACCGAAACATGTAATTTCTCTTCTCTTTATTGATGTGTCCAATATTTGAAGCTTTACAAAACCTTGTATATTGGACAGGAAGCATTCCACTACACACAAATCCATGCATCACTCTATGGTTGACAAGATATTCGTTGTTTAGCAGGTATGGAGATGATGACCAAAGTATGGTGTGATGTTTTTCTTTTTGACAATTGAGTCGCACTACAGCAATATGTCCTTTACTAATCAAAGTGTTCTTGCTGAGGTTGCCATCACAGAGTCGAGCATGGTTTTCAGTGGCCTCCACAAACTTTGATAATGATGATTCTGCTGTCATAAACACATTTTGATCAACATTCTTTTTAGGCACTCGTAGAAAGGTAGCCATGTTTGTATTTCTAGGTACGGTATCCAAATGGCACTTGTGCTGCTCAATAAAGGTGTCCAACACATGGTCCAAAAGGTCACCATTGTTCACTGAAAGATTCAGCTGTCTGTACAGCACCTGCTTCACTTCGTGTATTTTTGACAATATACTTGCTTTTTTGCTGGTGTCACCAGGAATTTCAATTTTAAAACTTGAAGCACGTTTTCTTTCAGCTGCCATTCTTTCTTGAAGTTTCTATTGTTGTAATGTGGGGGGAGGGGGGGGGGATACTATTTTTCCACTTATTTTCACACTATGGATGGGATTTAGAAGAGACGGTTTATACAGGGTTTGATACTGACGAATTTAAGAATCGATGTAAAGCAACATGACCAACTTTGATGAAAATCCAGAGGAATGTGAAGCAAGCAGCAGCCTATCTGAAATAGGAGAGTATGAGGAATTTATTGTTGAAAAAGATCCATTGTCAACTGAGTGTCATCATTGTTTTAGTCAGCCTTGCGTTACAGGTGAAACTTACAGGCAATTGTGGTGGGAAACAGAAAACAAACAACAACATGCACGAAACCATCATTGCAGGAAAGAAGTTTATAAGAAGTTTTGGGTAATGTTATCACACAGACAGGTTTGGAAATATGCTCGCTATTTACAAAGGAAAAAGCAAGCACTAGAGAAATATAGCCATACACGAAAACTGGTGTGGCATAAACGCGACATTATGCCAAACTGTGTAATACAGTTAGTGAGGAGGTGGTATCCTAATCCAGATGGTGTCCCATACATGGGTCATTTATGGAACTAAACCTGACAAAGAAGGAGGATTCTGTGTGATATCAGCAGGAGTATAGAATGCCTGTGATCTATCTTGTATATTATGATTTACAAATCCTGGTGGTATTGGATATATGGGTCATATCTTTGAAAAAATGACTATGTTTGTTTTTCGGCAGTGTGGTTCTGTCTTGTTATCAGTTTATGACTGTGATAATTGGATTAACATTCATATGTATGTGCCTACGCGATATGGTTTCTGGTCATTGCCGCCAAAATGTTGGTAAGGTAAGGACTTTTGTTTACTCAGCATGCGTAGCTAGGGCCATGGCAACAACACAGTTGTAAACTTTCGGCAACAACTTCCGGTGGGTCAAATTCAAATTTCAAATTTAATTGACAGCCTCCAAAATTACTACAAAAATATTTATATTATGAATATTACCTAATTATTTTTTTGCAAAGAAAATGATAACCATAGTTAGATTCTTCACAAAAAAACTCTGTAGCCATGACAAAATCTGTATCAAATATTGTTTTGAAAAACCTGAATTTGAAGAAAATCATTCTCTGAAGTGAAGGCAGCCAAAGTTTTACAAATTCATCCATCGAAGTTGTCTCCCTTTAATACCCCATCCCTGGCCTTTAAGGTCAGTTACTAAGTCACTATTTCTTGTACATCAACTAAACTTGCATGGCTTATGTATCTAAGGATGCTAATCATATGCAATGCTTTGGATACTGGTTCTGACCTACATTTTCCGCTTGACTGACCAGGTTAAGAAGATTGGTTGAGGTCAGGCCCCATCTGCACTATGGTTAAGAAGATTGGTTTAGGTCATTTACCAAGTAACTACTTGTCCAACATCAATAAAACTTGCATGGCTTATGTATCTAAGGATTCTTATCACATGTGATGCTTTACATGAAAATGTACTGTAGCAATTTAATTGGCCATATCACCATTGGCGGTTTCTTGTTGATCTGTTCTTTCAGGTGAAACCATCAGATCTTAACAAACAGGAATAGTTTAGCAAATTCAATGGTTGAAAATGCATTAAGGGGTCCAAAATCGGGAGTATGCCTCCTTAAATATAAGGAGAGTTGGCAAGTATGGAAAGATAAATCGAGCAAAGCAGTTTCAGTCACATTCCACGCACTTTTTCCCTCATTGGAAATGTGGAATGGGGGAGATCTCCCTTATTGGAGGTTTCAGAGGTTGACACCCATGCATTGGAAGCATTATACTTTACGTCTGAACACGAGTTAGAAGTGCTATACAAAATGTGTTTTAAAGATGGTAAATTGATTTTTTTTCTGAATCATTCCGTCCAAAGTCTTTTGCAGTAATAATTAATTTGATATTTTTGGATCAAACAGCAGGTTTTTATGCTTTGTTTGGTAATTTATGCAAATAAATTAAAAACTCATGTCATATAGCATTGGCACCTTATGCAAATCCAATTAGATGACCAGGGTGCTGATTTGGTAGACTGTCTTTTTAAAGTTTGAAAAAATGCTGATACCAATGATGATTGGTATCTTTCACTATAGGTATTGCTTTTATCATATTATTGATAAAAGACTAGTTCTCACAGCTAAAACTATTACAAAGAACATTTAACAGTGGCAATGTTATTGCCAAAAAATCTTATCAAAGATTGCGTTCAAAATCTAAATGTAAATTAACTTGCTTTCTAACATTTGTTTTGTTTTCAGTCTAGAAAGAAAGGTTTGAGTGTTGAAGAAAAAAGGTCACGCATGATGGATTTTTTCTATGAAAAGTTAATAAAACAACCAGTACATGTATGTACATCAAGCAAACCTTGACTTGGTACGACTCATCATTACACACCATATCCTGTCGCTTCTGCGATCAACCAAGGCCAAGGTTTTCCCTTTTAAATTTCATTTAGACTGTTGATCTGCTACAAATATGCATGCTGTTGAAGGTATTTCTTTGGATAGAGAACACTTTTGAATTGGTAGTTGTCTTGGCTTAAGTATAAGTCTAGGGATAGTTTTTTTCTCCTGAAAGATAACTTGGTAAATTAGTACATAGTGACTATATACTTTTGATTATTACCTAGAAGATGAACGTGAACATTACTCGACACTTAATGGATGTTGGTTCTTTACCCCTGCAATTTGGTTATTACGTCATGTTCTTTAAAATTGCCCCCAAAGTTGAAAATCTTAATGTATTTTAGGATTTGAGTTGACTTACATATCGGATTAATTGGTCATAATTAATAAGCTTACTATCAGGGATAACCCAACCCCTTTATTTTTTTGGCATTTTTCCAGAATAAATGAACCCTTAAGTATGAAAGGAATATTTTTTTTGAGAACTTGTCTTTATATACACGTGTATAGTCAATCATTTAAGTAAAAGTTTCAAGCTAATGGTGATGTTAACATTTATTGTATCAGCATATCTTTGAGTGTGTTTTTGTGTTTTCAAACTGTATACATGTGAATTATTAATTAGATGATCCTAGTATAGACGTTTCCATAATGCAAAATCTATGAATGTGACTGAAAACACATGCAACAGAATTTCTTTAGATCCAAATTATTTCTTTTTTATAACAAAGTAAACCAATGAATCAGCTAATTAATTGCAGTGCTAGCAAGTGCTGTTACAATAATTCAGGTTTCATGATATTTTTTTCCAGAAAGACTTCTTCACTTTGAAGGAGCTAGAGAGGATGTTTCAGAAAGAGAAGGGGATCACCTCCATGTCTGTGAAGGACATTCTCACCAGTCTCGTTTATGATGCCATGGTCGACACAGACAAGATCGGGACCTCAGTCTACTTCTGGGCATTCCCCAGCAAGGCCAGTCAAAATGTGAGTAAACCTTCCAATAAGAGTTCCTCGATCCATTAGTGTCTCCACTTAATGTTGGGGATTTATCAAGGTATTTAAGGAAGTTGAGAAAACCATCTTTTCAGGGCAATCCTAGGAAGGGAATTCTAAAATGTTTATTGATTAGGAAAGAGAAAATGATACATTATCTACCAGTAACCTGTTTGACACAGTGTGTATCATAGATTATCTCATGATCCAGATGGGCGAAATTTCTAAAATTTCACATAGTGATACACTGTGATGTGCAGATGTGCAATAGGGGTTTAAATAGTTCCTAAGGTCAAGATCACTGTTTCTAAAAATAGAATTGGGAATAAACTGTCAAAAATACATCATATAAGGCCCTAACAGAAGGCCAAACTTTCTGAAATTTCTTATGATGATACACTGTAAGTATATGCAGATGCGTAATAGCGGTTTAAAAAGTTCCTAAGGTCAAGTTCGCTGTTACTAAAAATAGAATACATCATAGAAGGCCAAATTTTCTAAAATGTCACAAGATGGTTAATGTGCAATAGGGCTTTAAAAAGTGTCGAAGGTCAACACTGCAATTACTTTAAAATAGAACAGGACATATACATGTACTATCAAAAAAATATTTTAAATGGTCCTTCCTGAACAGTCAATTTTGTTTGGTGCTTATACGGGAGATGCACTGTCAGGCATACAGCGGGGCCCTTGCTAACCTGTCAGTATTCTAGTTCAAATAAATCACATTAAACCACCAAGAAAGTTGCACCGTTCAATTTTGACGTTTTCAAACAAATTCTTCTGTGGAATAGAGTACCAGTCGTGTTATTTCGTCCATATAGATTGTTAGGATACATGGCTATCTCAAGTTGTTCAAATAAATAACAAAAATTACCATCACGCTGTGCCTTTTATGAGGTTTATTCATTTTGGCATAACATTCAGTATATTTTTGCCACCACCACTGAAAAATTAGGAGATCAATAAAGACCCTTAGTGCTTCTTGTTCAGAGATCATATATACATGTAATTGCTTTCTGTCTTTGACATAATTAATATTTTACAAAAACAGAGGCCAATTAAAAATTCCTCCGATATGTGGTCCCACTCAAAAGATTTCTCAGCTACCAAATACATTGTACTCAGTACCTTGGTTTTTGGCTTTCTAAGCATAAGTTCACAATAAGAATTGAGTAAAATTGAGGACAATTCCATCGGCCAAATCATGCTATGCGCCAAGCAAAATTCATGAAATTGTCATATAAACAATAACTGTTGGCAGAAATCCCTTACTTCAGTCTGGTCTGCTTCATACATGCATTAATAGATTAAAAATAGTGTTAATGTAAAATAAAAACAACAAGCTAACCAAACACTATATGTGTAGGTTCAGAATTCCTGGTAAAAGTCTTTTTCTTGTACAACAGTTGTCTATTGATTAACAAAAGCTGTTGATGAACGCAGGTATCCGATATCTTTCTCGCAGGTTTGCTTTTCTGAGAAAAAATATTGGGGAAAAGTACATATTTTCCTTTTTTTTCAAATAGCCAGTCAAAATGCATTTAAAATGTTTCTGAGCTAATAATGGCCGTTGGAATGAGAAAAATATGCTTTCATGTCCAGGAGTGAAAGAAATTAAAACAACATTTTGGGAATTCCAAATCAGGCCAGAATCCTCCACATGCCTTAAGTTGGGTAGAAATTTCCCTATTCTGCAAAAAGTCTTCCTTTCCTCCATGACTTTATTTAGACGCTTGTCATTCATTAAATATGTGTACTAGGATGCTGGTATTTTGCATAGAGGTTCCTGTGGAGTTACATATTGATGAAGTGAAGTTAAAATCAAAATATGATTTCTGGTTTTTTTTTAGACTTTTAACCTGTTTTGAACTCTACATTTTTACAAACAAATTTTTGAAAGTTTGAGCAGGCGAGCATTTGGTGGTTAATTAACATCATGAAGATTAGATAAATAATAGGATTTCATGACTTTATGATCTTATCTAGTGCTTTAGCATATGCTTCAGGATTAAGCTCAATGCTATCTGAATTGTTCTGAAACAAGTTGTGTAATTTTTCAAGTGTCGCTGAACGACCATTCCTATTTTTCCATACGGTAATAAGTCTCCAGATGACAGTAGATACTCCATATTGCATATTGTCGGCTTTGACATGTGAAATGTCTACGTCACTTAAACCAAGACAAACACCAAATGTAATGAGATGTTGTGCTGGAAATGTTTTTGAAAGGTGCATAGCGTATCTTTCTGTCACCATTTTGTTTTTCAATTTTTCAGGAATCTCTGGAAATCGGTCATCACCTGTATCAATATAATAACACAGAATACATTCATAGTACAACATACTTCAATGTTTCCCCAATACGGAAATTGTAAACTTTCTAATAGGATTATCAATTTTTGAACTCTTTTGTAAATCAATGACTCAAAAGTTGTAAAATGCTATTTCCTATTCTGAAAAGGAATTACATTTTCTATGCACGGACAAAAGTTATTTACATTTTATTCCGGAACTTATTAATGGAAATAAAAATCAGTTTAAGAACAGTTGATTGTATCTGTCATTTATCCGGCTTTTCAGTGCGAAATGGATTGACTTTTGTTTAAACCAATGTTACAACCTGAATATTTAAGCAGTCATAGCAAAATATTCTCATTAAATATCCTATTGCACTACAAATATTTTTCTCGCAAACTTTGTCAGCTGTTGAAACTACCTTTTTTTCCCTGTCACCTTGTACGTTGGTCAATGCCATTGTCCTTCTCAAACTTTGTTAGCTCTATCCCAAAAAGCTACCAGCCAAATCTTATGAATCCATTCCTTTTGGTTCTTCAGAACAAATTGTTTGAAATGTTGTTGACCTCTGTGACCTTTAAAGTACAAATGTAGGTTGAGGTCTTTTTCATTTGCAGAAGAAGTCGCTTGATTCTATCCCAGGAAGCCACCAGCCAAATATGAAGATTCTATACTTTTTAGTTCTTCAGAAGAAGTCGTTTGAAGCGTTTGACATATGTTACCGCAGTGACATTGAAAGTTAGTCAAGGTCATTATCATTCTCAAACTTTGTCAGGCTCTACCCCAGGAAGCCATCAGCTAAATATAAAGACTCTATACCTTCAATTGTTCAGAAGAAGTCGTATGAAAACTTTGATACATTTGATCCCTGTGACCTTGAAAGTAAGTCAAAGTCATTTTAATTCTCAATTTTTTTCGGGCTCTATCCAAGAAAGCCACCAGCCAAATATAAAGACTCTATACTTTTCAGTTCTTCAGAAGAAGACGTTTGAAGAGTTTAACACATTTGACCCCTGTGACCTTGAAAGTAGGTCAAGGTCATTTTCGTTCTCAAATTTTGCCGGGTTCCATCCCAGAAAGCCATCAGCGAAATATGAAGATTCTATACCTTTTAGTTCTTTAGCCTAAAGTTTAGGAGAAGTGGTTAGAAGCATTTGACATATTTGACTGCTGCGACCTTGAAATTAGGTCAAGGTCATTTTAATGAGTAAACTTTATAGCACTTTATCCTAGGTACATGTACCTACTGGCAAAATTTCATGACCCTATGCCTTATGGAACTTGAGTAGAAGATTGTAAAAGGTTTTGACATATTTGACCCCTGTGACATTGAAAGTAGGTATGGGTAATTTTAATGAGGAAAGTGTATAGCACCCCATCCCAGGTATCTACTGACAAAATAGTATGAACCTGGGCTTTATGGAACTCGAGTTAAAGATTGTTAAAGGTTTGAACATATTTGACCCCTGTGACCTTGAAAGTAGGTCAAGGTCATTTTGATGAGTAAACTTTATAGCACTCCATCCCAGGTAGCTATTGGCTAAATATTATGACCCTGGGCCTTATGGAACTTGAGAAGAAGATTATTAAAGTTTTAAACATATTTGACCCCTATTACTTTGAAAGTAAGTCAAGGTAATTTAAATAAGGACACTTTATCGCACTCCATCCCAGGTACCTACAGGCAAAATATCATGACCCTATGCGTTATGGAACTTGAGAAGAAGATTGTTAAAGTTTTTAACATATTTGACCCCTGTGACCTTGAAAGTAGTTCAATGTCATTTTAATGAGGAAACTTTATAGCACTCCATCCCAGGTACATAGTGGCCAAATATCATAACCCTAGGCCCTCAAGTTCTTCAGAAGAAGTCTCTCAAAGAAAATTTGACGGACAGGCGACGGACGCCGCAGTACAGCATAAAAAATATTCAAAATGGTGTTTCTCATAACGAAAAGTCTGGAAAAGTCAAAACTTTAATAGTTACTTAGGTGTCATTCGTCTCATATAAAAAAACTGGGTTATAGCTAGGTACCACTATACAGTCTAATATGACGATGTATGAACACAGTCTTTAATAGAGTGAAGTAATTGAAATAATTTACCTTCTTCAGTTTCTCTAATTTTCTTGGCCAAATCTTTGTTACCATGTCTTGCCAATTGGTTAAGAAAAAAGTCAAATATTCCAGCTTTTGATCTTTTTTGTTGGAGAAGCATTACAAGTCGTTCTGTTTGGTGTTGGGGAGTTTTCCCGCTCATAATATTTTCTGCTACATCTTCAATGGAAAAGTAATCTTCGTCAACAAAATAGTCCATAATGTCATCAGCTTGAACTCTTTTCACTATATCTTCACAATTTGCCTTTATTTTCTTGACCTGCTCTGGAGTCATTGAAGTTGCTGCCTGTGCCATATTCCTATAAGAAAGTATTTGAAGCATCATTTAACAATTAAAAACTTGTATAAAATTGTTATCAACAAATTGGGAATTTAAATATAAAATAGTACCTTCGATTAAAATTTAGACAAAAATATCATACTTTGTTTTCCAGGTCCTTCACCAAAAACAAACCCAATTATCCCACCAGTTGGGTTTAAGCAAGAGGTCCAATGGCCTTGAATTGCTCACCTGGCTATTTTTTAAAATCAACTTGATATCTGCATCGTAGTTTGTGAGCAGAATTAACCCCCAGTAATATCAGCTAGCCTCTGTATTTGTGTAACTTTGGGGTTAATATAATACAGTGTTTTAACAGTTTGTAATTTAACTGATGTGCAGTAATAGAATATAGTGATTTAAAAATTGTTATTTACCCGTATGTGATTGGAAACTGTGCTTTAACTGTATTATAAATGGAATTTAACTTCTTATTTCTAGTTACATTGCATATTAACTCCTTCACCTCTGAACTCATTCACCCCTGAAGACACGTTCTGAATACACATTTGACCTCTTCCAAATCAAAAGCTGGAATAGCTCCTTATGCAATTTCAGGGGTGAATGATTTAAGGAATATATCAATTATGAATCAAATATTGATCTTATTTTTAAAAATTCACTTCCATCCTTTTTCATACTTTGGTAAATATTTACCATCTCTCTCTCTCTCTTTGAATTTAATATCATCTTATGATCTTTAACTTTGATAATTTCATAAACGTTAGATATCAATTCTGTACACAGAATTTGGACCCCTGTTTTGCAAATTTGTATGTTTGTTGCTTTGAATGTTTTATCGGTGCAATATCAGAGATAAACAGTTCCACCCTTGTGTGTAAATGATGCAGTGATGTAGTGGAACTGGACTGGGTTGATCGTCGGTGACCAGGTAGCTTAATTGGTAGAGCCTCCGTCTAGAGTTCGGTTCGTCTCAAGGGTTTCGCATTCCAACCCCAGTCTGGCTGTTGCAATTCTCTTTCTCTGTTACAAAATTGGTGAGCTTGATTCAAGCACCGGGTGAATGATTGACAAGGGGGAAATATATACGAACCTTACTTGTAAATAGTTGGGTCTTCGAGAGCGAAGACTAAGAAAAAGGAGGGAGGAATGTAACGGAACTAGACTGATAGAGTCGATTGTCGCCGACCAGGTAGTTCTATTGGTAGAGCGTCGGTCTAGAGTTCGGAGGGTCCCGGGATAAACAAACAAAATATGGGCATTGTGACATCTGGGCGAAACGACTAATTCGTAATGTCATCAAGAGCTGCCTGAGTTTCCATAGCAACTTTAAACAAATATATACATGTTTTCAAGATGTTATCGAAATGTACAAAAACAAAGTAGACTAGATATATGATAATAACAACTGTCAACAGCTGATTATTGACAAATATCTGTCTTCCCGGAAATCAAAAACGCGTTTCTACATCCTGTTTGCTGGTTTGTGCCTCGCAACATGGTGTTTGCAACAATAAGGAAACCCCACAAGTGTAGTGACCAACAATAGTATATATTTAGAGTATCGAGAAGGCTAAATTCTATACAAATAATAGATTCGATTAAAAACATCTAAAAATTGCACCTGCTTGTCTGTTTATTCCAACCCGTCTTCTTTCGGTTCAATGCTTAAGCGCAATACTGACCGTGATCACAGTACTTATGTAATGGAACAATTTGTTGCTCGATCCGTACCCGTGTTAAACATATAATATGCTCGATTAAAAATAATGATGAAATGGCAAACGATTATAAAATGTTTGAAATGCTGTTCCGTCGTTTTAAAATGTTGAAATGGTATCCCTTTTTCACAAGTGTAACAGTAAATCAAATGCGATGTTTTTATTGAATAAACGTGTTCATTTAAATTCCCGCCAATTTGAAATTGACATGATAGAATTCCTGAAAGATGGTAGATTTTTGTCGGTAAGATATATATTTCCTTTATATCTAAATTTATTTCACTGTTATGCACTAATTAAACTAAATAACATACTAAATAATTCAAACATATTTTGTTAGAACACCTGCCGTTCACCAAGGCGGCCGGGGTTCGACTCTCCGATCGGACGTGAAAAGGTATGGGGTCACCTGCCCTACAACGTGAGTTTTCTCCAGGTACTCTGTTTTCCGCCAACAATAAGACCCACGCGCTAGCATCCGGGCCAACAAGAATGATTCATATAAGTTGAAATAAATTGTTTCATAATTGTAAAATAAATGAAGGATATATATATATAAAGGGATAAGGCACAGGTAAATCTGACAACTTATTAGGCCGTCTCCCAATATATATACACTATACAATTACCATAGCTAATTATATATATAGCTGATGGTTACAAGACGTTTACTCATAATGATTGAAATGAAACGGCGAAGAAGAAGGAAGAGGTAAAACGAAGGATAGGAGAGGATGTTTCGGTTTCAATATTTGTCGGATCATCGCCTCTCATATCCCTCCTTTCATCTCTTTTGAAGCACTGATTGTACGGTTCATGAAACCATCTCATTATTTTTGATAAACTTGACCATTCTAATCGACTTACCAAAATGGTTGATAGTAAACGTTCCAAGACACAGTGATTTTTGTGTGGCCTGTATGACGTCTCTTCTTAAAAAGGGCGGTCATAAAAATGTTATCTCGGCAATGAATGGCGGCTCAATTTGTTTTGTTTCCAAATAATCATTATACCATTATTATCTATTAAGAGTGAAAAGTAAATCCGTTAAAACTATATTTGTACCCTTGTCCCCGAATCTGCCATTGGATTCTATTCCATTTTTATCTCGCGAATGAATTAAAAGATGACTCTGAAATACTGGTATGTTCCCCGTTACACAAATAAAACAAGTGATGTATTTAGAAAAGTACTATTGTTTTTGTGCCGGCATCTCATTTTGATTTAACAAAGGGCAGCAAAGCTTACAGCTTTGTATATTAAAAGGTATTATACTGTATGTATACATTATAGGTTAGGAAATCATATCACTTTTTCTATAATTCCGCTCCCTCTTTTTCAAAATTACATTGTTTTTGGTCGAGTTAAGGTTATAGATTACCTCACAAAAATACCCTTTTGATTTCCCAGAAGGGTGACCAGCGACCAATGTTTGACAGATGGGGGAATGCGTACCTACATCCAAATAAGGACACTGACTTCCAGAGTTTATGCTTGATGTTAGCAATTAGTACATGTACGCAACGTTAAATTATGATTATTAATATTATATAAGATCGTTCTCAACCAAACTTATGAACAATTTCAAAACATTCAGTGGACGCACAAAACATTAGGATAACACCAGTAAGACTATTGTATTTTCAACTTAATTTTACTTGGAAATTAAAGTAAAACACATTCATATGTCACTTTAAACATGTGCTTTATGCAAACAAACTTGAATACTTTAGGCATAGTTGACATGTTCCACTTTAAATGTAACAAGTGTATTAAATTGTGATAGTTTTTAATTAAGGACAAAGTCACGTAGTTCACATCAATTCAAAGCATTATTTGGCGTCTGTTTATATTTTAACAATACTTTTTGGCTTCAAGAAGCTATTGAAGCCGATTTTACTGAAGACAATCACGTACAAAACCAATACAATGACATTACATATTATACAGTTATAGAATGGGTATGAGGGACATAGCAAATGTATGATCCCCCGAGGTGCAAAACTATTTTCTGAGGCGGCGAAACCGCTAAGGGAAATATCAACTTCGATGACCATAACTTTGTTATTACTGTTTCCTCTCCGCCCTCAACTGGTATTGTATTGTTTTTTATAAAGGGAAAACTAGAGAGGTATAGTAATATTCATACATTTGTTCATACAGCACTAAAATACTGGCTTGGTAACACATGTGCAAGGGTTTGTCGCTCCTTGACCTACGTAATTTTTATCTAAATTCAAAATATTCTGTAAAAAAAAGAAATGATGAATAAAAGGCACTTTTTTGTCATTGTGATTCTATACAAGATCAATTTAGTCTGTCTGCATGTAGTTCTTGTGCATTGTGGTCCTTACAAGCTCTGCATGATTGTATTGAATTGTGTGAGTGTTGTTGCTGATGTAGTCTGCTAGGTAGCCCCAAATTTGTATTGAACTTGATCGAAAAAAGTATCCCCCCCTCCCCTGTGGTTTTGTGATGCTTTATAGCGTGTTTTTTCTGTACTATTTATATATGACTGCGTAGGTAAATGGGTGTTTGTTTGTGATTTTGTATTCATCCACAACAAAATTTATGAAGAGTCTAATTTGGAGGAATGGTGATTTTGAACGGGCTAGTAAATCTTCGTATGCATTTGTCGTCATATACGAATCTGAGTGCCCTTTCCTGTACTTTAGTTATCTAAATTGCCGAAATAGAGGAAATTCTTTTTTGATTTTACTGTTGGTCACGTTTAGGTCGATACAGGCACAAGTGCGCCATACCTTCTTACCTTTTCACAGGTAAACTCTATAGCCATCCACGTATTTCACAGTGAGAAAACTGTGAATACATTGTAGTAAGCTATGTGCCAATACTTACCGTAATGGTGAATTCACCCTCAAAACAGAAGAACAATTTAACTACGAAGAAACATTTTCCGGGAAAAAGTTCTTGTCTGTCTTCAAACAAAAATAGCAAGGACACATACTTACAGGGAATCATAACAATAAACGATTACAAAACTAATTTGTGGAAACTTTTGCAATTTGTGTAATAAATCCAGTAGGCTGTTTATTTAAACTAAGATGTTGGCATTTCCGTATAAAATATTCCAACACAAACAAATTATGGCCTAAAAAAAGTATGTGGTTAAGACTGAATTAAATATTCGGATTTGTGCTTAGATGTTACGTGTAGTATAACTTGTCGAAAAACCATTAAAAAGCTTTATTGAGCAAAGGAAAAATATAAATGATCAGATTTGTAACGTGCAACCCCTAGTAGCGTGTGTGCACCGTGTGAATCTCAATTATGACCGAGCTACCTGCTCTAGAAGCGATTGGGATCCTCGGCTACCTGGCCGAGCAGTTGAACAATAACACTTAAAAATATCAACTATATTTACAAATGAAGACAATTGTGGGCCAGGACAGTACCTCTGTCCTATCAACCCGTGCTGTCGAACCACGACACACGTCGCCTGGACGTACACAACCTCTCCAACCACACGACAACCAGCAAATCGGAATGCTGACACTCCTAGCTCCAGGTATGGCCTTGCTACCCGCTAACAGTCCCGATATACGCCTGCCACCTAGCCGATCCCGGGTAGCTCCGAGGCACCCTGTCACCGAGCTGATCCCTGACAGCTCCGAGGTAACCTGTCCCTGATCTGATCCCTGGCAGCTCCGAGGTACCCTGTCCCTGAGCTGATCCCTGGCAGCTCCGAGGTACCTTGTCACCGAGCTGATCCCTGGCAGCTCCCGAGGTAACCTTCCACACTCCCCACCACAGCACACCGGTACCAGATCAGCTGCGGGCTTGGATTACCAGAGTAGCCTTCTCAGGCGACCCCTTACGCAGGAGCTTCTGGCGTCTCCAAGCCGTTCACTTACCGGTACCGTACTTGTCACTGAACACAACGTACAAAATAGCCACCAGAGTAGCCTTAGCAGGCGTTACTGGTATAGTATTTTGCAGAGGTGTTCTTACCTTCTTCTGCTGTATGGAATGCCACTCGATATCTTCTGTAGGTTTAACACAGCCAACCCTAAACCACTGGCATAACCCTGCTTATATGTGGAAACCATTTTCAGGAACTCAAGGTACCAGGTCATTTGCATAATCATCACATTTATTCATTTATCAATAACTATCCTACAACATACATGTATACAGAAATAATGTCATATCCATTCCAAGTAATTAATAAAAGATTCTGGTAATATTGGTTTTGATCAAACTTCGCTAATCATCATTAATAAAGAGAAATCAATACAAATATAGATTCCAAGAACGTTTACTTAACGTTTGTTCAAAGGGGAATCACTCTACCGAAAATCACATAATCATCACAGATTCAAAGATTTTATTAAAATCTACCCTCTTTACATACATAAATCATTATAACAATATGAGTAATAAAGTTAAATACATAGAAGACAGACTTTTTAAAAATGAAATTGAGTTGTGAAAGACTACATGATAACTATCACTATAGTAGATTATGTGTCTTACAGTTGTACCGGGTACAATGTAATATACAGTTTATATGTGCAGCAAACGTGAATCATACAACATCATAACTTTACAGCATATACCAGCTTTTCTGTTACATTTATGGCAGTCGCTATTTACTACCAAGATAGGGTATCACAATCAAGTTAAATCACTCGGTACTTATCAATTATGTAATGACAGATAAACACAACATAAAATACAAATTCTATAAACAATTTTTAGCTGACATTTTACTATTGGTCATCGAAAACAGAACAACACTTTCTCCCGCCCTTCACAGGTGTGTCTCCTTTTTACGCCGCAAAAGACCAGTTTGTCATCCCCTAGGGGGAGATAGTCTCGTGCAGGATGGCGCGATCCAAGTGATATAATGATAGTTTGGCGTCACGTCATCAATGCAATTACGTCACGCCAATAGAACTTGAATAGCAGATCATGGAAGACAACTCTGGATTTGTTGGAAAACATTATTTGTGAGTGAAACATGATGGGAGAAGAACTAATAGAACTAATTGAATCTTCCCCTACCTTGAGGGTGATACATGGAAATCTCCAACTCTCGGAATGATATTCTTGAATGTCGATATTTCCCTCGGCTTTTATTAGATCACACTAGTTTTCATGTAGATTACGTTTGTGTTATGTCCCTGTTGCTGTACATCCACATACGTTTCTTCTGTTCGCTTCTAGTATCACTAATCGTCCTAAAGCGACGAAATGAACATCGGTGAAATATAAATTAACGTTGTTTGACTCTCTACATAAACGTATTAAATTTAAACTAAATCCGTATTTCGTATTCCTTGTGCTAATTTGAGCTTATGCTTGTCCTTCTTATTAATATTAACGACTAAGATATTTTGAATTTCTTTTAATTATTGGAAAAGGAAGTTGCCACATGTGTCTTTTCATCTAACAAGATTTCCGCCTGTGCTTTAATTGTATATGCTGATGCACATGATGCTAGGTATTTGAAAACAAAGTTTGAACCATAGTGGTATTTGTTCATGTTGATGGACCATACAAAATCAGTCAATCACACGCCATCCTCTGTCATGGAGCTTATATATCCATGGTAAGACAGATGGTAAGCAACTGTCATGTCCCTTTCCACTTTAAAACGTAGTAGCCCAGGACACGCAGACCTATTATAGATATAGCCATAGTTGAGACGTAACAGTGAAGCGGTAGATCTATCCCCACTCCAACCAAAATATCCTGTGACGTCACCATGTTTGTGTTGTTCACAAGACACCGCGGATAAGAAGTGACGCTGGTCTCATTACAGCTAAAATGGATAAAAGATGCATTAAAGAAATAAACATATTAAAAAATATAGGAAAGTTTACATCGTCAATCGATTGTTTGTATATTTAACCATATTAAGTAGGATTATCCACAAGTTCAATTTCTTCTTTCCGAGAAATAGAAGTACTTGTGATTTATAATCTGAAGAGAGAATGTTTATAAAAGGAAACATGAGAAATATAGCCCCCCCCCCCTCCATAAAAAAAAGGAACAAACAAAAGAATAAAAAAATAAAAAAAAGTGTCAACAAAATCGTAGTTGAGACTCAAGTATACAATGGCAAGTTATGAACAGAGAAAAAATGTCAATTGAGTCTCCTGGAAAAAGTACAAGAAAAAACGACCAGGTGTTCCGGAATGGAAAGCAAGTTACTGTATGACTGTACTGCCATTACTGTTGTATTCTCATTCAACACTTGCCTGATAGTGCCCATGTCCTTCAGCAGGTAGATCATAGTCGCAGCGTAAGGGTAGTGGACCAGTGAAATGTACTTACTCCAAACTAACCAAGATGGCGGATGAATGTTGTAGAAGCCACCTAGAGCGGATAGAAGTTTTGTCAGCAAAGTTCAGTTGCAAAATGTAACCCCTTTGGTGTATGGAGGTAGAAATTACCTCAACCCTAGATTAGAATGTTTGAAGCGAATACAAAGATGAACATTACCACGAAGAAATAGGCAGCATTGAGAATCTACTTGAATTTAAGGAGTTTGTGATTCCGGATCAAGTTTACCTAACAGCAGACCGCCTATGTTGAAGCAGTCCATGATGAGCATGCTGAGCGTCAGGTCGGTAATACAGACGCCTATGATATGTGCCACACCCTGAAATAAATCAAAAAATGGTCTCCATCAGGTGATATTAATTGTACTCAATATTTCGAAATTTCTCGAGGTTTTACAATATTAAGGGTATATAAAATTAAGAAACTGATAAAGGTTCCAAGCAACGAAAAAAGGGATTTTATTGGATTTTAAAAGGAGGGCCATTTATTTGTCACACACTATCAAAATATTAGTAAGAACGTCAACTCATTGGAAGATTTTGTTTTCGTGTTAACAAAAACATTGCAAACACCTGCGATCTGCAAGTAGAACCAATGTAGATATGTATGGACGGACAGAGAGAACACTGAATTTTTGGATGTTTGGACAACAGCATAAGTGTAAGTATAGAGGTGACGTGACAGTGTGAAAATAGAATTGGTGGTGGCTGGATAATGAAACAACTGGATAAATGGTGTCTTGGTAGTTGGATAACTGAATCGGTGGTTGCTTGGTGTCGGGACAACAGTATTAGAGGTGGCTGAAAACTGGAAAATCTGAGCCGGTGGTGGCTGGATAGTGAATCAACTGGATGGATAGATGAGCAACTGGGTAGTGGGAAAACCGAATTGCTGGTGGCTGCATGTTGTGACAATAGTGTTAAAGGGGGCTGAATAATTGTTGGTTGTTGGGCAGTGGACCAACTGGATCATTTGTGAATGGATTTACAAGGCACGTTTGACATATTTGAATAAAACTTTGGGCATAAGTAAATATAAGGTGACGCATTGATCACACATGCGTACAGTATACAAAAAATGCTACTCACCTGTATGAGAAGACAATTAAGAATGCCAAGACCACAGAAGGCAAAATAACCGCCCACACCTCCAAGACCGGCTGCCCAGTACACGGCCGTGTTAAACAGTGTCGGGATGACCAGCAGTAGTGGTAGTTCGCTAGTTATCTTAGACAGGTAGTAGGCTGATAACCGGTAGGATCCTACCGATCTCTCCTTCCGTATTACATCAGTTTCCTGGCGTACTATAATCGATATAAAATAATGCATTCAGTTTTGTATCAAATTTACAACGGCATTGTTAGTTAAATTTAGTTAAAAGAAATATTGGGGGGTGGGGGGTGGGGGGAGAGGAATCAACATGACAATAGAAACAGAAGAGATGTTAAAAGCAAGGAAACACAAACAAAAACATGGCGAAATACTCAAACAAAAACAGGTGCTCATTGAACGTTAGTGTTTTCTGGACCATCTGTGGCACCTTCCTTGACGTCGATTGATATCAATTGGATTCTCTTGCTTTTTGATATACGTGCATATTAGACATGAACGTGGAGGATTGTCTCCAAAATAATACTTAAACGCATTCAATGTTGTATATGGTGTTTTTTTTGTTAAAGACAGCATATTATGTTAATTCTATTACGAGTAGTGACAGCTTAATTTGGAGTGCGATTTATTGGAAAACAGTCGTACTTACAACTCCAAATAGTAGCAAATCGAATTCGGAGTCCCCAGTGCAGCATAGAGAAAAACACCTAGAGAATGCGCAAATATTTTTTTCAGAGTTAATGTATTTCGTATCAGTTATTGAACAGCTTCATTTAAAATACGATTTTTCATTCTGATTATCATATATTAAATGAAAGTCGTGCACATTCACGTTTTTATATTTATACTAGAAAATCAAATGAAAACATCACCATTTACATTTGCAGCGAATTTGTGACGTCATTGAATTGTTCGTGACAAGTGACGTTACGATGGTGATGATACTTCAATTTACATATCGAAAGGCTATGTGATGACGCTACACTGCGTAGTCATCTGATTATTTGAAAAAAAATGTTATAAAGGAAAACAAGCATTGTAAACGTTCCTGATTCGTCGCATAATGAGATAAACCAAGGCTTGTAACTCTTTAACTTATAATTCATTTCTGATGTTGCAGAGAATTTGGTCATCAGAAAACTTTGTGAAAGTAAAAGTCATGCAAATTGGCAAAATTGAATCACCAAATCTTCGTTTTTACCTTACGGTAATAGTATCAGTAATTAATAGGAATTGATTTTATTTTATTGCGAGAAAATATAAAACTCATCCTGCATCAACACTTAGCCTCAGTTCACGACGGTAAACCTATCTTTATACACTTGAAAATCTTATTAACGGAACTTGTATATTTCTTCCAAAGCTACATCGGAAACAAAATGTGTGAAAATGATCAAATATGTTCCATGTGTATGGTTTAAATTGTGACAAATCTTACCAAACCCATTTTGTCCCTGACAGTGTTTTCGACGTTTGCAATTTGGAAATAGACAGCTCCCATAACCAGTGCCAGAAATAAAGCATGGATGAAGTCATACTTTTGAAATATTTGGCCTTTCGATTGTTTGATTGTCCGCCAGTTCAACATTTTCAGTTGGTGTAACATTGACGTTGGCCAACGTGGGTATGTGTTCTTTAAAGTTTTCTCCGCAACAAAAACTGTTTCACTACCAACAGAAATCTTTGAACCTGTATATATAAAATGCTTTACTCGTAATATAAGAAAATACAATAGCATCATTAAAAACATAACGACAATATTGAAACTCATAGTCGAAAACAGAAAATAAGAAACATCAAAACACTTTTCCAAAACAGCTATTGGATAGGATATATGTGTTGTTGATGTTGGATGTTAACAATTCTTTACACCATATGTAATTATAGATATCCATAAAAATGTGTCAGTCCCTATCGGCCATAAACCATGGGAGACGCTGAAACTCTAAAACTCCTTTTGAATCACACATATTTGAAAATCGTATTGAAAATACGTCATCTGAATGCATCACCTTCTCATATCAAAATAAAATAAAAGATCATCTAAGGGACAATATACCACGACGGACCATGGCGGACCACACGTCTACACAACATACTATTCACGACATACCAGGAAAACTGCCATTGTTTCCATTATGGATTTTCGGATTCACATCATTGTCGGCCTGTAACTGTTTGAGTTCGGTTCCATCACCCGTGTAGGAGTATCTCCTATTCACAGGCTGTTCGTTCTCTGATACAGGAGAATATATTCTGAAATAGAACACGTCGTAACATTCTATGAGAAAAAACCAAATTTACTGGGAGAACGCGCATCTTAAGAGCGCTAATTGCATGCCCGCTACACTTGTAATGAGCTCTAAAACAGCAGAGGAAATATGTGCGACATTTATTAGAAAGCATTGCTTGTGTTTCATCAGAAAACACAGCCAAGTCACAGACTTCGTTTATCTGTGGTTCTTAAGTATTCAAATGGTAATGGTATTTTCATACACACTTTCATTTCATCGGCATATTCAGTCGGATAACCAGTTTACAATTAATACAGTGAACATAGTATCATTGACATTATTAGGAATTCAATCAAATAATATTACACAATAGGTTATATCTGTAAACTATTTCTGTAATAAATCTATGCCTGACATCATAATTGACTATACTTGCCTGATCGTTTTGCCCTTTTCCTTCAATAATTCAATTGCATTCGAATCTGATGTCAGTAATTCCACTGCAACATGATTTATTTGCGTTAATTAAGAAAATTTGAAGATTTGAATAAATATGGTCTGCTAAAATTCATCTCTGAAATCTGGAAATACCTAGTGCAGACTTAACTATTTCAAAATTTAATCATTCACTGCATAAAGCAAAAGAAAGGTTAACTTTATTACTGCATCATGTTGTAAGTTTCTCCATTTAGGACTCCTCTATGATACTTAAGAGCAATTGATCTGATTGATTTAACTATGTCTCCCCTTCGAATGAAGGGAGACATATTGTATTAGTACTGGTTCTTCTTTAGGTTCTTCTAATCGCAACTTGTCCGGGCTATAACTTTATAACCGTTAAAGATATCTTGATGAAATTTAAGGTATGCATGCATCGCCCACAGAAGTTGTGCAGTGCACTAGAATTAGGTTACTGTGACCTTCACCTCAAGGTCAAAGGTTAAATAAGTGCAATATATTCATTAAACTCTTGTCCGGCCCGTACATTTTGAACCGTTGAAGATATCTTGATCAAACTTGAAGTATAACATCATCACCCACAGAAGATGTGCAGTGCCGCGTTATACAGTGTTATGGCCCTTTGTTTATTTTTAAAACCGAAGTTTGTCCGGAGCATAAGTTCCATATTATTTCACCTACGTTGACCAAACTTACAATACTTATGTATCTTGGGAAGGTGGAATCTTTCGCACTAAAATCAGGTCTGGTGCCCCATTATATACAGATGTATGGCCCTTTGTTAATTTTTAAACCGAAGTTTGTCCACGGCATAACTTCCATGTTATTTCACCTACGTTGTCCAAACTTGCTATAGTTTTAATGTATCTTGGAAAGTAGGGGTGTCGCATTCTAAATTCGGGTCTTGTGCCCCACTATATAAAGATATATGGCCCTTTGTTAAATTTTTTAACCGAAGATTTCCTATTGGCTAATAAGGGGAGACATATATTGTTGTTCACAAAACAAAATTCTAGTTTTCTATTGAATGAATATCCATATCTAAATTTTTCCAAAACATGTAGGAATACAGCGAAAGAAAAGGGTACTTTGGAACCCATTACACAGGAGGAACGATTTTAATGTTACGTTTGTTGTATCGGTAAAGCATTTCACGTGATATGACATATTTACTGACGCCAACTTTCTTTTTTATTGGCTTTATACATATTGAATTTATAGGGCAGGGATGCTTCTTTTTTTTTACACCATCACTTATGTTCTTTTAAATTTAATCATCTTTGATTTCAAACATGGAACTTCATAAATGTCGCGTTAGATTATTTCATAGGCCTATAGTAAATTCAAAATTGAAAATTAATTTTTATGTCTTCATCAAAAACGCCTTCAGATGTAAAGCTGTCAGTGAACATAGAGCTAAACTGTATGCTCTTGTCTTTAGAAATTCAGAAAACCATTCTACTGAAGTTAAACGAAAGTTACTTACGAAGGAAGTCAGCTGGATTATAATCCGGAATGCAGGGCATTCCAAGATCTGTAAAGTAACCCATGGCTGAACTTGCATGACCAAAATACGCCATCTGCAAAAGTCGTTTTAAATTAGTCAAATTTCATAAATTCATATTCAAGATAATCATATTTAAATATTTGTCACAATTACACTTCAAATGTTTTTCATGAGTTCGTTGGGACAGAAATATTTTAAACAAATATTTCTGAACAAATGTTAATTTAGACTTGTACTTCTGAAGCAATCATGTGACTAAACAAAAAATGGAAACGCTCAATGGAGGCATAGCTTAAATATTGATGAAATCGTTAATGAAGAATACGCGTATAGAAGAAAGAATACTAATACAATATATTTACCTCCCCTTCCACGAGCAGCAGTAAGGTAGAGAACATATGGAACACTTGGCTGGAGGGCTGGTGTATTGTGGCCACTATCGTCTTGTTGTATCCTGTGGCGTAGTTCTTCAGCTGAACCATCAGCGTGTGTGCAGTGCTGGAGTCTAAACCGGAAGTCGGCTCCTGTTTTAATAATTGTTATTATTATAATATCAATTTACCCATTTTTGATACAAATTGAAGTGAAAGCAATAGTTACGGTATAACGCGAAACTGTCGATATATTTCTGTATTGATGATTTTGCGACTTGTAGTAACACCATGACTATCAGAGTGATATGAAATGATCCAAATGAAATTATAAATCGAATCTTACATCTAAGAGGAGAATATCTGGGTCCGTCAGCAGCTCACAAGCAATACTAGCCCTCTTTTTCTCCCCTCCAGACAATCCTGATAGGCCATGACTATATGTACGTCCGATAACTGAAAAATGAAAGGTGATATAGCGTCCTTGGTTTGTTAAAAATAAATCGAAAAACATCAACACGTATATGTAATAAATAGTGACAAAACAGAAAGCAGATAAAACACGAACGCGACGCCCCCCTACCCCAGAACCCCCNTTTATCCGTAGATCTTTTTGATTATTTAAAATATATTTAATTTAGAGCCCGTGAATTTGAAATAAAACAGACATGTAAAAGCAAAATGAAGCGTATCAAAGAATCATACGATTAAAGTAATTAAATAGGAGACATCCGGTTTCTATAAAATAAACGTGTTCAATAAGACTATCAGTTTACAACATTGATATGACTGATAGATGTACACAAGCACTACGTACTTGAAGTGCTTTAATTTACCTGGGACATATATCGCAGTCATTGAAAAACTAGGAGACTCGAGCTGATACCATGAAAAAAAAAATAATAAAAAAAACATGCTTGGAGTTAAAATGTAGTCTTATAGTCAGGAGAAATATTATTTGTGAAAAACAGATGCTTGCATTCATATTCGGTTTTTGAATGTCGTTTCATGCTTTTTAGTTCGCCAGAGGTGCTTTTATTAGATTTCATATGAAATAGATCATGCAAGATTCCCTTAATGTATAACACACTTTGTTATCAGCTGAATAGAAAGATACTTAGTGTGTTAACTAACAACTTATATATGTTTTGAAATAACTTGTTAAAGCACTTAATATTTAGCGGCTATAATTAGGAAGCGTTTATAGCGCCAATCACGAAGCGCTAAATTATTAAAACTGCTAAATGTATAAACGTTGTATTCTGGTATGCTATAGCATCGTTTAAGCATTGGTAGATATGCATGGTCTTTATCAGAATTGATAGACACGCCCATTTACAAAAATTACTAAATTACGTTCAGAAAAATGAAAATTTGAAAGTGAAGTTGCTAGCTATCAATAACTTATAACAATATAAAGCTCAAAGATTTCCAAAGTAAAGTTTGAAACGTCGTTACACAAGATGAAGGTTTATCTAGGTGTGTACGTATGGAGAGCTTGTTTATACCTTCTAGGCGTTCTATCCCACTAACAATCATACCAGTTATTTAAAGTGATAGGAGATGTTGAAAAAGGAAGACTTACCCGTCTGTAGACATTTCTGAAGGCCGAGAAACTTAACTATGATGTTTATACGGTCTGTCTTTTCTTCCTTTGTGAATCTGTCCGGTATTCTTACCATTGCTATAAACTACACACATAAACATTTAATCCAGAATTCTATGGTACTAATAATTTAATATCAACTGATTAAGACCTTGTTACATTCATATTGTTACCATACATTCATATTGTTACCATACATTCATAGTGCAATTCATATCGTGCAGTAGTTTTTTCGGCAATCAAAATTTTAAAATATGATATAGTAACTACCATCCATCTTTTGAAAGATATCAGACATTTGGAAATTAATCTTACAACATATTTTCACACATTGAATGATTTGATATATTTGATATGTAGATACTACTTCATCGGGTACTCAGTCCATGAAACGTATAAAGCATATATGATATAAATATATTTACATAAAGTGTTTCCCACAACGTCAGATTAGGCAAGAATACATCGCTTTGCATGACATAACCAAGACGACGACGGAGTGCTTTGTCAAAAGGTAGTCCGTTTAAATGTACACTCCCGGAAACAACTGGAATTTTCCCCGCCAGTGTATTAAGTAAGGTTGTCTTTCCAGATCCTAGAACAGGATGAATTTTAATTACAACATATATATTCCATCATGAATTATGACTAAATTTACTTCCCAAAATGTCTTGGTTTAACTTCACTTAACGCTTAACATCTCAAGTATATGCAATACAATGATATAACCTACATCAGTACTGATTCGAAGAAATGCAGGTAAGTATTCAAAACAATATGATATGTATCCATAGGACAGAGCATTAATGACAGACTAGGCGATTTCAAACTGGATGCAGAATAGCCTCGAAATGATACGTAATTTGCGCTGCAACCCACTATATCAACATTACCAGCAGAATTGCATTTTCTTTGAGTATGAAAGCAAAATCTCTCGTGACGTAACACGTGGTTTACATATCGGCATTACAAGAGCTTTGGTTATGAAAAACAAATTGGAAAAAAATAATAACTATTGTTAGATAATAATAAAAAACGAAAAAGAACGGCCAAATATGCTTTGCGTTATCAATGCTCTACTGCATATATAAAATAGCAATGTATTAATGTTGTACGCTTACCGGTGGGACCCATAACAGCCAATAGATCCCCACTGTACACAATGCCAGAAACGCCCTTCAGTATTTCCTTGGAACTGACAGTCACCGCCAAATCCGTAAATTCCAAATAGGAAAGCTTTGAAACAGATACAATTTCTGAGGTAATAAACTACCAAACTAACAGGTTATATTTTTCTAACATGGTTATTGATATTTTTTCTATATATTCATATATTAATATATCTTCTTATGCCAATACGCACCTTGAAACTACGTCAACATACATTACTACAAACTTACTTATGAAGCGCACTCACATTTTAGCGCATTATCAAATTTTAACAGATTGGCAGTTTGATGAATAGGCGCATTTGAATCATAAACAATAGAAAATAATAGACAGGGACATCAATTGGAGCTGTTTGAATTGAGCGCAATAGTTATAGCACTAAAAGCGTTAAAATAAGACTACTGCTAAAATCTATTCAACTATTTTGCTAATTATTTGATCGAGTTCCTTTTAAACACACTACTGGTGCCAGGGAATGAAGTTGAGGTCACTAAACTTATCTTTATTCAGGTTGTCCTCTTAGGTTTTCATTTATTATTTCATACTGGTTATATTTCTGAAGCGTAGACTGGTATCGTATCATATGTAGTCACCCCTTATATTTATGTTATTGTTTTGTTGATAACACAAACCACATGCCAGTACAAATGGTATTGTTTTCACCATTTTAGTGCCTCAATGGGAAAATCCGTATTTTAGTCGGTCCTAGCAAAAATTGTCCAGATGTCTGGGCATTTAGTCAATTTTGGTACTGTTTAGTGGCAGGGATTTGTTTTAAACATATTTTATAAATAGGGATGTGATGAATATTTGTTTTACTGTTCAGATAAATTAATTAAAACCCGTTGCATCAATAAACGAAATAACCTTTATGAGACTTTAAAATATGTAACCGTTAGGCCTTCAAATCCTTTCCGGTGGGATCACGTTTCTCTCTCTGTGTAAGGCAATGTCTTATTATCATAACTTTTTTTTGTGTACTCAGATTTGGCTCTTCATTGTATATGGTTGTCTAATTATTACAATTATTATAAGGCATTGCAATTTATTAGCATACTTTTTTTGTTTGTTTGTATGTGAGTAGTTAGTGTGCATGTGGTTGTTAAATTTATTATTATATATATATACATTTTTGCTCTATATCGTATATATGGTGCTTGGCACCGAGCCATTCATCATTGTCTACTTCTTCTTTTTTTTAATGTTTTTCTTTTTTTTATTTATTATTTTTTCATGATCAGTACATTGAGATTGCATCAAATATATCGAATCACTATAAAAATAACAAACCTAAGTGTAATGTTTTCATTGATAGCGAACATTAGCGGTAACAATTTTCTGGCCCTTTATTCCTTAATTAATCATAACATGGTTACTCAAACATATGATGTGTGCGACTTGATAACACTATTTAAAATACTGCGAAGACTGTGTGTATATATCCCTTACTGCTAAATCTTTAAACCATATTTTTGTATCAAAGCGGAATCCTAAAACTAGATTTATCGAGTTTTAATGATAAAACATTCATAATTTACCTACAATGATAAAATAATCCCAAAAGTGACAATCGAAGGGTCTTTAAGATACTTATTATTCTACGTATCAAATTACTGAACTTGAACGAAAATTGATAAATATGTAGGGTTATTTTGTATAGAAAAAAAACAATACTCACCATTATGTCGGTTGTCTAACGTTGTTTCGTTGTGAAAAAAAGCACAGCGACTAATGATTTTGACGGATGGCTCTTGTATTACAGCGGGTTACTGTAACTCTAGACTGTTCCAATATACATCGTATAGAGGGTGCTTATTCATTTTAAAGGAGGTCAAATGTTTCAATACGATTTAATATTGTAAACAAGATATGCGGTACCATATTGGCTTGAGGCACCAGTTTCGCAGTTAAAAGGGCCGAACACTTTTTCAGGCAAAAGATCTTTGCAATTTATCTCATTAAGTTAAATATTTTCATTAAAATCATAGTAATGCAGTTGCTTGGTAAACCCTGTTATCGGAATGTATTGCATATTCGCTATGGAATTCCTGGACACATTTCCTTGATTTATATTACATATATATTTAGCAGGTATAAATACCACCATTAATTACTTTGTACAGCAATGATATCTATTTTAATTGATTTACTTTTGATATAATCGCTGTTATTGAATTTATATGACCTGTCTCTATAAATATATTGACAAATTTAAGCTAAAGACAGGTGTTAAAGGTGTAAAAAGCTTCGCATGTAAATATGTTTACGAGTTCTAGTAATATGATATGTCAAAAAAAAACCTAGTAAGATATGCACTTATAAGGGTTGGTTTAAATGTATTAACCCGTGGGGTGGCCATATCCGATGAACATAATTTTACTTGCAATCAGTCATATCCCGATATTTTGGTAGTTCTACATATATGTGTTCATCTGACGTCTCATAATGTATTTGTTTATCGTGTGCAAGGCATTCGGGCAATTTGATACGTCAGGTGAACACATATATGTGGCTTTGCTGGCATTACATACCTGCAAATATTCTTGACGTCAATATAGCATTTTCTGCAAAACAATTGTAACACAATAGGTCGTAAACGCTGTTAATAGTTGACAATAGTCATATGTACAGCTTGTAACAAAATGTTATCTACATGTACGTATAGTTATATAGACTCGTAATCTCCAAGCTAAGTAACGTGATAGTTGTTTCTCATCTACATGTACGTATAGTTATATAGACTCGTAATCTCCCAGCTAAGTAACGTAATAGTTGTTTCTCAATACATGTATGAAAGCCATCTCTATGGGATATATGGCATGGACACTATGCTCGGCTAAACAGGATGACTGCCCTCAATGGTCTCCAAAACCAGACTCTATGTTGAGTAAACCTGTCCCTGTTTTCCACTAAATTACTGTGTAGTCAAATGTCGATCGTCTTCATTACAGTAATTCCTTAATTCTTGTATAATACCCGGAACCAAGTATGCACGGTACCTTGACCGCTCTCATCAATTACCTGTCACATATTTTTATGTCGCTTTTGCAAACACCACTGGAGTAAATTAAGCCCTTTAATCAGTTCAATCAATTTTTTGAAATGCTCACTTTGTCACAAATAATCATCACTTCCCCGTATAAATTTCAATCTGCTTCCTTAAATCTTGAACCGAATAGCAAGAGTGGACAAATCGACGTCAGATAGTAATGTCACGTTTTTTTTTTATTTTTTTATTATATTTTCAAAATTTTATGACATATACATATATATAAATATACATACAATGTACATGAGCGTCTAGAATCGCCTTTAAATAATGTATATACTGTTCAAAATATTCTATCAAGTGTCAGTATTCGTCTTACATTATATATTAACAAATAAGTAAAGATTCACATTCTGGTATAAAAAATAAACTTCCGGATATTCTTGTCCGTACTCTATTCTAATTAAAATTGTATTAGTAATGTCACGTTACCGTATCATAATGGCGCTAAAATGTTCGGAACCCATTCTTGTATCAAATCGTCGATTTGCCAGTTGATAACAACAGATTGATTCCAAGCTATTGGATTCATAAAAATCTTGTATTATCACAGTGTGAATATTACAATACATTGTATTGCATGGTCTTAAAATGGCTATATATCTATGGTGATATTCATACAATAATTCCCTTTACCCTGTCGGGGTTATAACTGTGTACATGCATATTGACAGTGTACTTCGATGCAAATTAACAACATAGATCCGTTTAAGGTAATAGGATGTGTCGCCATTTCTCAGTAGAATTTCTTCAAATTTTGTAGTTATATTGCTTTGAAGTAAAGAAAGCAATTTGCCACAAAAAAATATAGGTTGTCAGAATTTTAAAGATTTTAAATGGAAATTTATGTAAAAAAGAATGAATTTTGAAACAAAAATGAAACACACAACTTTTTGCAAACTAATGTCAATAAAAATGATACTGACATAGATTAGTATTGCATTAATGTATATCAATTTCATAAATGCTGAAATTGTGTAAAATTAATTATCTATAAACAATTAAAAATTGACATTTTATAATAAAAACCATATACACATAGTAATTGCATGTAAGAGTTATCGTTCTTGAAAAACTTCACAGTAGTGAAATAGGTAGCCGGTTTCCTGAAATACAGAAAAATGGACACATGTGACTCTTTGATTAAAAAACAACTGAATAAATGCCTGGATTGCTTTGAAATACTTTAATATTGAAAGAACACACTGTTTTGTCAATAAACAACAGACAATATTCATCAGTTTAATATTAAACATTATAATATGCGGAAATTGTGATACTGTCTCCCTACATTGGGTTTTCAGCTAGGGATGTACTTCCTATTTCCGCTAAGCAATACACTCCTATGACCTTAATATATAACAACGAGAATGGATTATAAACAATGCTTGAAAAATACAAAACCTTCCTAACGACACAGAGGTAAACCATACAGAACACAAACCAAAAACGAAGTCAGACAATTTAGTTTATTTCCATTATTTGTCAAAATTGCAATGATACACACTTTAAAACAATTGGCATTTTCAAAGTATTATTAGAAATGAATCCCTATGAAAAAGACCTCTTACCACAATGAACGTCGACAATTTACATGTAGTTAGAGCATGGGTCAGCAATGGGTATACTTAAGTACACAACCACCTCCATGTCACACAAAGAAATAGCACATTGTCTTAAGAGATCATGAAGGCGACCAAAAAACGTGTCCAAAGTCTTCATCAACTGCATCTTTGTAAACCGTGTGTTGTAAGTCTGTCCGATCACAATCGGAAAGTCGAAATCGTCCTGCTTATCGTACAGCTTAGCAGTAAGCCGTCGCTGTTGGTCAAGGTGTAAGTAAAGGTCGGGGAAGGCGGTTGAAATAGAAGAGACTGCAGTGTCCTTGATTTCAAGTTCAAGAGGGTACAGATCGGTGTGGTCAATACACTTATTGTAATTCAAAATCAGCCCATCGTCGCTATATTAGTGTCTAAATAGGAAATGGAGTTTTTAATTGTTACCAGTCTGCACATAT